GGCCACCACGGCCACCACGGCCACCACGGCCACCACTACGGCGACGTCGCCCCTCCCGCAACACTTGTTCGCATACACGTCAGCCACCCATGTTCAAGGAGCAAGTGGGGGGCGCAAGGCTCGACGTCCGGCGTCCCTCCCAGTCCTCTGCCAGCGCACTCCCCACTCTCCCAAACGGAAGAGGGGGCTCTTATTTATCTCTCCGCAATAATCTCTCGTGTTTACAGCCGCTCTCACTCTGGCACTCGTGTTTCTTTTTCTTATGTAATATTTATTCCAATTCATGGCTAATCTGGACTCAATGAATTCGCTTTACTCTCTAGTTCAGGCCTTCTTCCTTCTGCGCCTAATCCTCTCCTCTGACGTTTATTTCTGCCTCTCAGACTGCTATGCTATGACAACTCCTTCAGTCCTGGCCTCTCCCACACGTTGCTGCGCTCCCTTTTCATTACGTGCCCGACGTGCTGCTTCGAGAGTCTCTTAAAGTGGAGGTGTCAGTCGCTGTGCTTGCATTGTCACTTAATTACAGTGCAACCACTCCCGCGTTCGCATGGTATCTGCGTCGTATCTGCGTAGCGCAATAGCCAATCGAGTGCGGTGACTCCTTGTTTTCACTATGATTGATGACTACTTACGTCATCAATCGGAATGCATAAATCGTATGCCTATCTCTCTCCAGATCGGCAGAGAGAGTTGGCGATGATATCCCTCTCATGAAACAAGGGAGACAGCTCTCGCACCATGCACGTTCTCAACAAACTTGAATTACCTTTAACAACATCTTTCCTTATTATTCTCATTTTATTATCCGACATTTCATCATGTCTCAATATCAGTTTTTCTGTGAATCATCATGCTGTTATTCCTACCGGCTATCATCAAGCTTCCGATGAAGACGGCCTTGGGTATATGGCACGTAACGATAATCATCCTTTCAATTATGAAAGGGAAGATAAAGAATTCATGGAATGGTACTATGAGAATGGTATTCACACTTTTCTACCCTTAGGCATTGGCAATAACACTAGCAACCATACACTAGTTGCTACAAGCAATTCTCGCATTGTTGCCAATGTTACTACGAATGTCCATGTTCAGCCCTACGATCCAGCTTTACTTACTGGTGATATTCAAGAAACATCTCCTTCTTCTAGAAGCGATTCGCAAGACGATTTTCACAATAGAGAGAGCACAGTTGCTGAAAATGGCGTAAGACGAGAATCTGACGAATGAGGTTATGATGTAAGAAATTCTTATACACAGCGCGGGTGCATGCGGTGAGAGTGAGCAGGGTGGAGGACCGTGCGACAGCCTCGTTCCTGCGCTATGAGAGCACACGCCTTCTTCTTCTTCTTCCCCTCTTGAGGCCTCTCAAACCCCAGCCAGGTCTTCAGTTTTCGGTCTGAAACTCGAGTGGTCTGCTTGGTATTCAACGCGATAATACTGCCAAATTCCCCACGCCTCCCCGTTTAGATGAAGGTGTGGGATACGGCTCCCTCGTTTTTTTTTAAAAAAAATTTTGCCCTTCGATATCGTCCTGCATGCAATACACTCCGTCAATCTTCACCGGGGACACACCTAAGCTCGCCGTCTGTTTCGAACGATGCTTCTCAGGTGAACCCGGCTGGCTTCCTGTCAGGTGCCCTGGACGGCCACATTCCGCCCGATGCAATCCAGTCCCAAAACGATAGCATCGTAAAGAGACGGTTCAGTTTAAATAGTACCTCCATCGATGAGAGAGGCCACGACATGGAAACTCGGTTCAAAATCATGAATCTTTTTTGGATCATCTACGGTGTTACACTTTCTTGCTTGTACCGCTTTCGCTCTTTCGCAACTTAGAATGATTATACAGCATTACATTCCACATTTCGTGCAGTCGGTTCATGGGGGTTATGCAACGAGAAAGGTGTTCATCACTCCACACGCACCAAATCACAGCTGAAGCTACAGGCATGAACGTCAGTACCACTACATCCCCGAAGCTTAGGGAAATGTCAAGAGTGCTTCCGCTTCGGCTTATCCAAGTATAAGACACAAGTCCTTTAGCATTTCGCGTTGAGAGTGGCTTTTCATTCGTCTTTTGAAAATGAAGGGACTGAGTATGTAACCCATGAGCGGATACCAGCATTTGAGTCAATTCACATAATACAATAAATATTACATATTACAATGCCAGTTTCATCTTATTTTCTCTTAAGTGTGACGCGATGGTCAATTCTGCTGCTCTCTCTTTTATACATGATGAACTACCGGCAATGAGAGAAAGCACGGGACATAATTCACTCTTTATTTTTAGTATCCTCAAATTCTCTCATTCTACTTTCTCTTGTTACTAAGCAAGATTTTTTTTTTTCGACAATCAGAATTCTGTAAGAGGGAAGTCATTGTGAGTGGTGTTGCTATCAGATTTCTCTATCAAATCAATGATCGCTCTATATGTATATATATTTTCTTTTCTAAACCCAGATATCTTGCGCATCCGATCCTGAATCCATATCTTTGCATTGAGGCGCACAGTCTCTATCACTCGAGAGATTCGAACAAATCCGATAATTGCATAAAGTTTGCCTTCTGAGTCATTCGACATGACACGCACACATGCATTACTCGGAATTTGATTATTTCCGTCTTGGATCGGCTTAATGTCTTTCTTTGCGTTGTCTGTGAACATAGTTTTGAAGTAATTCGTCTCCAACACAAACTCGACGAAACCAGGTGTTCCACAAAAGTCTTCTCCACCGCTCTCTTTAGATCAGCTCTCAGTTAGCACGTTCCAAATCTTCATCTTCACATATCACTTCACATCATCAATATCGTTACGAAAGTGCTTGTTCAAATAAAAGGTTTTTATTCCTTAAAAGCTGCTCACTTATTCTCCCATCTCTCATTTATTTCTGGTCTCTCTGCCTATGAAGCTCTCAATTTCCGCCTTCTGTTTGCATTGCTCGCTTTTTAGAGTCGCCTCGCGCCATCGATCCATATTCGGTCTCCTGTTTCCTTCTGATTAGTCTACAAGAAGTCTTGCTAAAGGGAGATTTCTGTAGGAATAACGAAATGTGCATGCCAATAAGTACTTCTAAGCATAAAACAATACAAGATTAAAAGAGTACGATCCAGCCGTGAGCATATGACATGTTGCATGTACTTGGCCAAGCACTCCCACGTGTGCATATAACACAAGATTTCATTAATTTGGTCCACTCAGAGGTCGCGTCGTGACACGTGCCCCGCATCCTTGCGCAGGGACCACCGACCACAACACTCCCTTCACCGCTTCCTACGATGATCGCGCTGGCTCTCTGGTTTGTTGTCGCCTCGCTCGTGCAGGCTGCCTCGATCGATTCACTGTACCCGAACCTGACGGACCCGTCGGTCATCACGCAAAACACGTACAATGCCATCATGAAGGGAGCCAAGCATGAGTCGCGTACGTCCGCGTCGGATGGCTCGTACAACTACTGCTCGATGCCGCATCCGTCGACGAGCTTTTACAAGGAACCGGAGCCGATCAAGAACGGCACGGCGAAGGCGAAGCTGTCGAACGTGCTCTACATCCAGCGCCACCAGAAGCGCACGGCGTACCACATTTATCCGCACGGCGAGAACCAAGTGTACGACTGCACGGATGTGCGTCCGTCCGGCATGGCGAGTCCCAGCAATGGCGATCTCGCGCAGCCCATGCCGGTGTATGCAGCTACGTACGTGGACGAGAGCAACCCACTCAACGACGCGTTCACCAAGTCCACGTGTCAGTTCCCGCAGCTCACGATCGGTGGGTTCTTGGACGGTGTGCAGCACGGCCAGGAACTGCGTGCTCTGTACGGCGACAAGTACCAGGTGATTCCCTCGGACCCGTCGCCAGAGACGGTGTGGCTGCGCTCGTCGACGGCGGCGCTGACGCAGAACTCGGCCTCGGGCGTGCTGCGTGGCCTGTGGCCGAACGTGACGCGCCCGCTGCCGCTGCACCAGGAGTCGGACAACATCGATACGCACGAGCCGCCGTGTGATCGCAAGAGCGCGCTTCTCTCGGCGTCGAAGGAGGCGGACGTGTGGAAGAAGCACTTGGACGTCACGGCCTCGCTGCGCAAGGAGCTCGAGTCGATGCTGGGCACCGACGAGAGCGACTGGCAGGCGGACTGGGACCACTACAACGACAACTTCCAAGCGCGTTTGTGCAATGGCTACGACCTGCCGTGTGCGCAGGACGGCTCAGGCAAGTGTGTCACAAAGGAGCAGGCGAACGCTGTGTTCACGGCTGGCGACTGGGAGTACAACTACTACTGGGTCGCGCGTGAGAATGTGACGGAGGCCATTCAGCTCACGAGCGGCCTGTACATTGCGGACCTGATTGAGCAGCTGCGTGGCATGGCTGACGGCTCGTCGACGCTGCGCTACATCCACCACTTTATGCACGACGGCGATATCGGTCCGTTGGCCGGCTCGCTCGGTATCGAGTCGCTGCGCTGGCCTGGTATGGCGTCGAACATTGCGCTGGAGCTCTGGAAGACGGACGACCACCAGACGTATGTCCGTGTGCTGTACGGGGGACAGACCATTCGCTCGCGCCACGGTCATTTCGAGTGGATGCCCGCCGACCAGTTCCTCTCGCTCTGGCAAAAGTACGTGCCCCACAACTTTGTGCAGCAGTGCAGCCAGGCGTAGCGGGCCATGTCACCCAGCGCTGTACGTAGGTGTATATCATCTACAGTTTCGTTTGTCCCCACGTGTACCTGACACGTGCCTGATTGGGCGGAACTCCGCACGCGCTCACGACTTGACGATCGCAATGCAGACGCGTGTGTCGCGAGACACCCTTGCTCCTCCATGACCCGCGCTCTCTCGCTGCTGTTAGCCGGCGTCGCTGCGCTGTGTGTCAGCACACACGGCGCAGCCGCCGCATCGTCCAAAGAGTTCTACACACTGCCTGTGAACAACACGGGCGCTACGCCTGTGTACACCGCCGCCAAGGCCTTCCCTACATCGGACTTTGCCAGCATGTACTTTATGCCGACAGGGCAGGAAGCCGAGCCGCGTCCTGTCATCACAGATGTACACGGAAAGTCTTTCCCTGATGCGCTCAACGACCCGGCGCACATGACGACGACAGCGCCATCAGCCACTGGCGTCTTGCCTCTCCCGTCGCCGAGCGCGCACGCGTCGAACCAGCTCCCGGACCAGATTCACGAGCAGGTCGCGCAGACGCTCCGCAACTCGAGTATGTCCAAGTGCGACCGCTGCAAGCAGTCGCTGCGCCTCGGCCAGCAACTCGCGCAGGCGATGCCCGACGCTGTGCCGTCGCAACTTATCTCCCTGTGCAAGGAGTTCCAGTACGAGCGCTATGGCCATAGCCCCGACACGAACCGTACGTGTGAGCTGTCGTACACGCGCGGCGGTGAGGGCGGTGCGTTCACGCAGCTGCTGTCGTACGCTGACTTGTCTGACGACAGCACAGACGCCGACTATATCTGCTCGCAGCTGTTCTACGGCTTCTGCCCCGTGCCGGCGCCACGCACGCTGTCGGACGATTTCCTCGATACGTGGTTCCAGGGCCAGCGTGAGGCGTCGCAGGACGTCGCGACGCGCTCCAAGAAGGTCGGCACACCGTCGAACGATACGCTCAAAGTCCTGTGGACGTCCGATATTCATCTGGACGGCCGCTACGCGGTCGGCGCTGAGGCTGAATGCACGTACGGCTACTGCTGCCACAGTAATTCGTTCAACAGCTCGGTGTTTGCGCATCACGGGTACCTCACGAACGGCACGACTGTGCCGCCTGCGAACATCTCGACTGCCGCGCCGTACTGGGGCTACGAAGGCTGCGATGCTCCCTGGTCGCTGGTTGCCTCGGCGTTTGAAACAATGAAGCAGCTCGGCGGTGAGCAAGGCTACGATCTCGCGCTGTACACGGGCGATCTGGTGAACCATGGCGAGACGTGGGACGAATCCGAAGACTTGGTCAAGTACGCGGAGTCGGCGCTGTACGACATGATGCGCCGCTACCTCGGCAACACCACAGTGATCACTGCGATCGGCAATCACGACTCGTACCCAACCGAGCTCGCTGCACCGCACTCATTGCCGGACAACCGCTCAGCGCAATTCAGCTGGGACTGGGACTACGTCTCGGCGCTGTGGGCCAAGGAAGGCTGGCTCTCGGACCAGGAGGCTAACATGGTCCGTACGCACTATGGCGGCTACTCGATCCGCCCTCGTCAGGGCCTGCGCCTGATCTCGTTCAACGCAGACTTTTGGTACACAGGCAACATGTTCAACTTTATCAACACGTCCCACCCGGACGTCAGCGGCGTCCTTCGTTTCGTGACAGACGAGCTGCAGGCCGCTGAAGAGGCGAACGAACGTGCGTGGGTCATGGCGCACGTCCTCCCTGGCTGGGACGGCTACAGCACGATGGACTTGCCTACGAACCTGTTCTACCAGATCGTCACGCGGTACCAGCACACGATCGCGCACATGTTCTTCGGACATTCGCACGAAGATACGTTCAGTGTGTATTTCCACTCGACGAATGGCAATGTCACCAGCGTAGCGCGCAACACGAGCAACGCTGTTGGCATTTCGTCGTTCTCGCCGTCCGTCACGCCCCTGACCAACATGAACCCAGGCATCCGCGTCGTCGAAATCGACCCGGAGACGTACGAGATGATGGACTACCACCAGTACTACACGCCCTTGCAGGACGTGCAGAACGCGACCGAGACGGACCACGGCCTCGTGTGGTACAAGCTGTATAGCGCTCGCGCGACGTACAGCAACTTTAGCGCGGCGCAGGCCGCCGGCACGTATGCGGCCCCTGTCGCCTTGGACGACGGCCATTGGCCCGCCTCCGCGCCCCTCAACGCGTCGTTCTGGGCGTCGGTCGCGGATGAAGTGGAGGTCCGCCCGGCGCTCGCGACACTGTTTAACCACTTCCAGGGCCGAAACAGTCCAATGTCGCCGCCCTGCGAGGGACAGGCATGCGCTACGGCGAAAGCCTGCTTCATGCGCGCAGGCTCGTACGCGCTAGGCAAGGCGTGTGGCAGTAAGTACTCCACCGTGCAGTAAGTACTTTTATTCCATCTAGGCCGATAGCCCAAGGAAATGAAATGAAATGTGGAGTCATTACGCCCACCCAACATACGCCGCTTTTCTTGATGCCACCATCGGCGTCGTCGCTGACCTCGCATGACGACGAGGTAGACTTTTCGCCACACTCCCAGAGCATCCCGAATGGCGGCCTTAAGGCTTGGTCGCAGGTGTTTGCCGCCTTCCTCATCTACTTCAATATATGGGGGTTTACCAATACATTTGGCGCCTACCAAACGTACTATGAGCAAATCTGGCCGGACAAGTCGTCCTCGACCATTGCGTGGATCGGATCGATCCAGACGTTTCTGCTCTACTCGCTCGGGATGATCACCGGCCCGATCTTCGACATGGGCTACTATCGGTACCTCGAAGCTGGCGGGTTTGTCCTGCTCATCGTGGGGATCATGATGACGAGCTTGTGCACCGAGTACTGGCAGGCGATGCTGGCGCAGGGCCTGTGTGTCGGTCTCGGGACAGGCATGCTGTACATCCCATGCGCGACCATCCCAGCGACGTACTTTACCACCAAGCGGCCGTTCACGGCCGGCCTCGCGTCGATGGGCAGCAGTATCGGCGCGACGATCTACTCGATCGTTTTTCACAAGTTGGAGCCGCGTGTCGGCTTCAAAATGGCGACGCAGGCGATCGGATACATTGCGCTGGGCACATTGGCCATAGCCCTTGCGATCTTGCATGCGCGTGTGAAAAGCACAACGCCGCGCAGTCTCAAAACATTTATGGCGTTCACCGAGCCGCCGTTTGCCGTGTACGCCTGGTCCATTTTCTTCTTCTTCATGGGCATGTATATACCCTTTTTCTACATCTCGTCGTACGCCATTGAAAAGGTCAAGCTGAATGCCGAGATGGGCTTCTACATGATCACGATCCTCAATGCAGGGAGTGTCCTGGGCCGCGTGATTCCCAACTACATTGCGAGCCACATTGGCACGTTCAACGTGACAATTCCCTCGGCCCTCGTTGCGATGATCCTCGCGTTCGTGTGGCTAGCCATCGACAATCTAGGCGGCTTGATCGTATTTGGTATCCTCTTTGGCATGACTTCCGGGACGTACGTGTCCATGATGTCAGCGACCGTCGCATCGATTAGCGACGATATCCGCCTGCTAGGCGGCCGCATCGGCCTGATTTTCTTGTCGGGCGGAATCGGTGTACTGATCGGCAATCCCATCGCGGGTGTCCTGATTGACAGGCAAGACGGCAGCTACTGGAAAATGCAGCTGTTCTGTGCCATCTTGTTGGTAGTCGCGACGTGCCTCGCTTTCGTGGCCAGGTGGCTCCTGGTCAAGAATACGCTGTGGGTACGTGTGTAATAATTTAAATCTCCACGTACCAAGAAAATAAACTTTTCCCCACGTCTTCCATGCCCACCTTGGACGACGGAGCAGGGCCGGACAAGGTCGAGGACGACCAGGCGTCCGCGCACATTCACTCGCCTCACTCGGACGATATCCCCGATGGCGGCATCATCGCGTGGCTCCAAGTCTTGGGCTCGTTCCTCATCTACTTCAACAACTGGGGCTTGGCCAACTCGTTCGGTGTGTACCAGACATACTACGAACGCGCATGGCCGCTCGAGAGCTCATCGAACATTTCGTGGATCGGCGCTATCCAGTCGTTCCTTCTGTCCAGTCTGAGCCTGTTTGTGGGCCCCCTCTTTGATATGGGGTACTACCTGTACTTGGAAGTCGTTGGCGCCATCCTCATTATCGTCGGCGTGATGATGACCAGTCTCTGCACAACCTACTGGCAGGCCATGCTTGCGCAGGGACTCTGCATCGGTATCGGGAGCAGCTGCCTGTACATTCCGTCCGTGAGCATTCCTACTGCGTACTTTTCGAAAAAGCGCCCTTTTGCGTCGGGCCTCGCGACGTTGGGCAGCAGTGTCGGCGCGATCGTCTATTCGATCGTCTTCCATACCCTCGAGCCGACGCATGGATTCGAACAGGCGACACGCGCAATTGGGTACATTGCGCTTGGGACCCTGGTCGTGGCCGTCGCGCTCCTGCGCCCACGGCTGCGTACGAAAACGCGGCGCAGCATCAATTCGTTTGGCGCGCTGCGCGAGCCAGCGTACGCCAGTTATACACTCTCGATCTTTTTCATGTTCATGGGCATGTACATCCCGTTCTTCTACATCACCTCCTACGGCATCGATAAAATGCATCTCGAGAGGCACATGAGTTTCTACCTGATTGCCATCCTCAACGCCGGGAGCGCCGTCGGCCGCATCCTGCCCAACTTTGTCGCGAACTACGTCGGAACGTTCAACGTGCTCGTGCCTGCTACCGTGCTGACTATGATCATGGCGTACGTATGGATCGCCGTGCATACCCTCGGCGGGATTGTGGTGTTTGCCCTGCTTTTCGGCATGGCGTCAGGCGCGTATGTAAGTCTGCAAGCCGCAGCGGTCGCTGCTCTCAGTCGCGACATGCGCGTCTTTGGCGGGCGTATGGGCCTGGTGTTCCTCTCCGGCGGCCTTGGCGCGCTGATCGGCAATCCCATTGCGGGTGTGTTGGTGAATCGCACTACAGGCAGCTACTGGCGCACACAGGTGTTTAGCGGCTCGTTGGTCGCAGGCGCTGCGCTCTGCCTCGTTGCATGCCGCTGGATCCTCGTACGTACCAAGTGGCTCGTCAAGGTGTAATTACAGCGACGCAGCCATCTGCAGCGCCTGGCGCTGCCGCACCGCCGCCTCGACAACCTGCGCCATGGCCAGCACTTTCTCTTCTTGGAAGCGGCGGCCCATCAGCTGGATGCCGATCGGCATGCCTTTCACCATCGACGGGTCGTACGCCTCGTACGCCTCTTCGTCCACACTCGACAAAAAGTCGTCGCGCGCCGGTTTCGGAAGCGGCTCAGCGGTCGCCAGCGGCATCGAGACCGACGGGTAATGCAGGACATTGCCTACTGGCGTGTAGCCATGGTACACGGTCCCACCGCGTTTCCAGCATACAACCCCCGTATTCGGCATCAAAAGACCGTCCATCGGGCGCCCACACTCGCTCTGCGTCGCGGTCTCGTTCCACGCCTGTTCGTACTCGGCCCGGAATTCATGCAGCGTCTCCGCCTGGTCGTACGCCTCGGCAATCGTAATCGCCGGACGCTCGCCCTTCGCTGCGCCAATCATCTCCGCCACCTCGTCAATGAGCGTCTCGCCTCCTTCCTCAATCAAGTCGTGGATCTGCTCGCCCCCCGTCTGGCACATAATGCCCAGCCACAGTGCCAGCGCTTGGCCGTGATCCGGGGGCGTAAACTCAATCACTTCATGCCCGGCATCCCGCATCGCCTCTGCAACCTCACGCAGCGCCTTTTCAATCGGCGGCTGCGGATGCACGACTCCGTCGCTGACCAGCAGACCCAGCACCAGTTTGGGAGCGAGCGTCACAGGCCGCCACGGCAGCTCAACTACGGAAGGATCCCTGAGCCATGGCTGGTCCGCCAGCGCGAGCTGCGTAAACACCTGCAGCGCGCCTAGCGAGTTGGCCATGGGGCCCACCACGGCAGGGACCAGCACTTGGCCTGGCAAAATCCGACGCACACCGTCCGTGGAGAACCGGCCGGGCGTCACCTTGAGACCCCACACACCCGCGACACTCGCCGGCAAGCGAATGGAGCCGCCAATGTCCGAGCCCACACCCAGCGGCGCGCCACGCAGCGATAACAGCGTGCCTTCACCGCCGGACGACCCCGCCGCAGAGCAGAGGCGGTTGTGCGCGTTGCGCGTCCACCCAAAAATGTTGTTGATCGACTCGGCACACATCATGCTGGTCGGCACATTCGTCTTGACGTAGAACACGGCACCCGCTTTCCGTAGCATCGCCACCACGCCTGCCTCGTCTTCGCGCGTAGCCTTCTCACCGAGCCACGCTACAAAGCCCACAGTCGTATCACCGCCCTCGACGTAGAACAGGTCTTTCAGCGACACGGGCAGGCCATGCAGCGGGCCGACAGGTGTGCCGGTCTTCGCCAGGTGTGCATCCAGCTCATCGGCTCGCGCTAGCGCCGAGGGCAGCAGGAATTCAGTCAGGCAGCTGGTCAACTGCTGTGCAACGGCCGCTCGGTGCGCAAACGCCGTGACGACAGCGCGCGACGTCAGTGTGCCTGACTGCAGATGCGTGCACAGCGTCTCGAACGGCATATCCGTAATACGTCGCTCTTCCGCAGAGAGCTGCGACGCACAAAAATCAATCACATTCGGCATCGACTCAGGCGTAGGTACGTCTGCAAGGCGCCATTCTTTCGGGATAGCCTCCGCAAGCGCTTGGCGCTTCGCTGCGATACGTTGCTCTGCCTCCGGCGTCATGAGAGAGTGGGGAAAAACACCCTCCGCGTCAGCGTCCACGTGGGATGTTGGTACGCCGACCAAGAAAGGGAATTATCACCACGTGCGAACCTTAACATCGGGGCGGCGATAACACTCGCGCTACGCTCTCCCGCCTACTCGCCAGCATGGGCAAATCGAAGGAGGAGAGGGCGGCCGAAGAGGCCGCCCATCTCGAGGCCATGGGCCAGAAGCAAGAGCTGCACAAGAACTTCTCGTTCCTGTCCTTGCTGGGTCTCGCCTTTGCTATTTTGAACTCATGGACAGCGCTGTCCGTCTCGATGCAAGTGTCCCTGCCTAGCGGTGGCCCCAGCTCCGTGATCTGGGGTCTCATTACGGCCGGTGTAGGCAATCTCTGCGTCTCACTCTCCCTCGGAGAATTCCTATCAGCATATCCCATTGCCAGTGGGCAGTACTACTGGACGGCGTGCGTTTGCCCACCCAAGTACCGCGGTTTCATGTCCTACTTTGTCGGCTGGCTCAGTGCAGGTGGCTGGGTCGCGATGAATGCCACAGGCCCGTTGCTGGGTAGTCAGCTGATTACCGGTCTGATCTACATTATGGACAAGACCTACGAGCCGCAGCGCTGGCAACAGTTCTGTTTGTACCTGGCCTTTGCGTTTATTGGCTTCTTTGTCAATGTGTTTGGCAATCGCCTCCTGCCGATCATCGATAAAGTCGCATTCTACTGGTCGCTGACCGGTTTCATCATGACCTCGATCACAGTCCTCGCCTGTGCCTCGCCGGAGTATCCTACTGGCACTTGGGTCTACACGCGCTTTGTCAACGAAACAGGCTGGCCGAACGGCTTTGCATGGCTGCTGGGTCTCTTGCAAGGCGCCTTTGGCCTCGCTGCATATGACTCCGTGGCGCACATGATCGAAGAGATTCCCAAGCCCCGGAAGCAGGGACCTCTCGTCATGGTCTGCGCTGTGCTGATCGGTATCATGACCGGTTTCCTCTTCCTGTCCTCCGTACTTTTCGGTTCAGGAGGCGAGCGCAACCTGCAGAGCTTGATCGATGCTGCGAGTGAGACGGCCCTGATTACCATCTACGAAATCGCGACGAACAACCGCGCCGGCGCCGTGTGCCTGACCATGTTCCCGCTGATTTGCATGGTGTTTACGACGACGAGTCTGTTTACTGCGTCGAGTCGTATGGTGTACGCGTTTGCCCGTGACGACGGTTTGTTCTTCTCAAAAGATCTCGCAAAGGTCGATAAGCATCTGCACTCACCAGTGAATGCACTGTGCTTGTCGTTGGTCGGTGTGATTATTTTCGGCTGTGTCTACATCGGCTCGGCTAGCGCATTCAATGCAATTAGCTCCGCGGCCGTGGTCTGGCTCAACTTGTCGTACATCATCCCTATCGGTGTCAATCTGTTCAGTGGACGCAAGCTGCTCCCTGACCGCCCGTTCAGGCTGCCCAACACCCTGGGCTACCTCCTCAACATCGTCGGCCTTCTCTACGTCACACTCACCACAGTCCTGTTCCACTTCCCACCCTTCCTACCTGTGACGGGTGATAATATGAACTACTGTGTGGTGGCGTTTGCGATCTTGGAGATCTTGTGCCTGGGCTGGTGGCTCCTGTATGCCATGCGCCATTACAAGGGCCCCGCTGTGGAGGGCATAATGCCAGGCACCGCGCCAGGCAAGCAGCCTGACGAGATGCTCGTGACAAAGGCGGATGGCGAGAAGCCGTTCTAATGTCGGATCTCCGCTTCAATGTTGCATAGTTGTATGATATTACACCATCTATTTGGTTTACACGCAGGAAATAAACAATACCATCTCAAGACGCAGCGTAGATAAGCGTGAGTGCATTTGCAATTAATATCACCTCAGCTGCGCTAGGTGGTGGCACAGCGCTGGCCGCAGTCATTCTTTTCTTTGCGCTCGAATATGTGGACGGACCTAATATGGATTTCCTGGAGAACGGCTGGTGGGGGAATGTTGCATGGACGAACACGGCAGATGCTATGCAGGCACCCTATCTAACGGATCTCCCTCTAACCAATGCGCAGGGCGAGCCTGTGTTTGCCGGGACACCTCTACAGCTGGATTCCCAGCTACGTGAACGAATATTATGCTATAGTGCGAATTGGGGTATATGGTGATTAATATGTCGGAGGGTTTTGTAGCGCAAATTTGACCCAGGTAGAGCGCGAGAGCCATTCCCATTTTAACCGAGATGAATTAATACATCATGTGATAGGGGCGCTTGAGCAAATCTGCACTTCATTCCTTGCTGCGCGAAACCCAATGTATGTGGGGTTGATTCGCGCAGCGAATCAATGCAAATGAATTTGCGGAGAGATATCTCCCTTCTTGTGGCGCCAATTAGTGTGCGTCACGTTATCATTGACTTGCAGAGACGACTGAATCACTGTGCTATCTAGCCCAAATCTCAGGGGTAAAGGATGGCGAATGGCGCCATATATTGGAACACAAATATGGCTTAGTCTTTTTCCCTTGCCAGGTACGCTCCCTGCTATCCACGCCTCCTCCTATGTGGGACGAGAAGCCAAGCGTCATCAATGGGGTCTACATGGTGGACCCTGTTGTGTCCCATCCCAGCGAAGATATGTACAACCCACACGACCCTGTCACAGAGCTCGAAGTCAAGCAAGTGGAGCACGAACTTCATGAGGTCGTTGATGATCGCATTGACGATCCCAACATGGATCCGGGGTTTGTTCGTGCGGCGGAAGAAGCAATGGAAGAAGGTGACATCAAGCACGAGGTGGAACTCGGCCAGCTTTTGGAAGAGGACTCGCCATACCCCGAAGTGCGATCGTCTATCAGCAATGTCGACGACCCTGATATGCCTGTGCTTACGTTCCGCTCGATGCTCCTCGGTCTCATTACAGTGATTGTTGTGCCCGGTTTGAACCAGTTCTTGTACCTGCGTTTCCCTTCCACCACGATCACTCCCTATGTGATTACCATTGTTGTCTATCCCTTTGGTCAATTCATGGCGTGGTGTCTGCCCAGGTGGACATGGCATACCCGGATTGGTAAAATCACGCTGAACAATGGACCATTCAATGTCAAGGAGCACTCTCTAATCTCAATTATGGGTTTGATGTCGTACCAATCTGCTTATGCAGCCGGTATCCCTGCCGTGCAAAAGTTTACGTACGATATGCAGGACTGGGGTTATGGATATGGCATTCTGCTGATCCTCAGTACGCAGCTTCTTGGCCTTTCTTTTGCTACCTTTTGTCGCCGATTCTTGGTATGGCCAGCGTCCATGATCTGGCCTAACAATTTACCTCGCGCTGCGCTGTTGAACTCTATGCATGGTATCAAGTCTGACACATTCACTGGCATGAGTCGCATCAAGTTTTTCTGGATCATGTTCGCCATTCTTTTCTGCTACCAATTCTTCCCTACGTATATTTTCGTCATGCTCAGCATCGGTAACTGGTTTACTGTTATTGCTCCAAAGAATGTTGTCCTCAATCAAATTCTTGGGACTTCGAGTGGATTGGGTTTGCTGCCATTCACGTTCGACTGGACTGTAATTTCTTACGCTGTTGCACCCCTTGCTACTCCGTGGTGGACACAAGCCAATTTGTTGGTGGGCTTCATTATCTTTTTTGTTATTGTATGCCCGGCCATGTACTATACGAATGTGTGGAATGGAAAGTATCTGCCTATGTTCAGTACAACATCGTTTGACCGCTTTGGCAAGAAGTACGATGTCTCCCGTGTCGTCCAGAAGATGGCTCCGGGAAGCATGTCGGCCCCTATGTTTGATGCCGAGGCCTATAACAATTACTCCCTCATTTATTTGCCATCGGCATTGACAGTCAGCTACTTTCTTTCATTCGCTTCTGTCACGGCGGTTTTGGTACATGTGGGTCTATTCCATGGCAAACAGATTTGGCGTCAAGTACGCAGCAACCCATTGTCAGCGAATGACGTGCATTTGCGCCTCATGTCTAAGTACAAGGAAACGCCTTTCTACTGGTACTTTGCCCTGTTCTTGGCCGCATTTGGCATGGGTATCGGAGCTGTGGAAGGCTGGCCGACAGGTCATCCATGGTGGGCCTTCATTGTCGCTATTGCTATTGGCGTTGTCTTCCTGCTTCCCATCGGGACAATCATGGCCATTTCAAACCAAGAAGTGGGCTTGAATATGATATCTGAGTTGATTGTTGGCTATATGCTCCCAGGACGTCCCATTGCTATGATGATTTTCAAAACAACAATGTACATGATTACATATCAAGGTATTCAATTCCTTCAGGACCAGAAACTAGCACACTACATGAAAATTCCCCCTCGCATTGTGTTTGGAGCCCAAGTGTTTGCCACAATTGTAGGCGGTTGCGTTCAACTGGCCGTACAGGACTGGGCCTTCAGTAATATTAATGACATCTGTCAACCGAACCAGGCAAACAAGTTCAATTGCGCCTCTTATACTGTGTTTGGTACCGCCAGTATTATTTGGGGTCTGATCGGCCCCGGTAATATGTTCAGCCCTGGCAAGAAGTACAATGATCTCATGTGGGGCTTTTTGGTGGGAGCCGTGGCACCCATTCCCATCTGGCTGCTTGCCAAAAAGTTCCCTAAAGGCCGGTTCCATTTGATCAATCTACCTGTGCTGTTTACCGGCACAGGTCTAATTCCGCCTGCGACGGGTGTCAACTACCTTTCTCCCATTGCTATTGGCTTCCTGACCCAATACCTCTGGAAGCGCTACCGTTTCAAGAGTTGGTTCAAGTACAACTACATTCTCTCAGCGGCATTGGATGGTGCCTCTGCTATTGGAGTGGTGTTCATTTTCTTCGTGCTTCAGTACGTTCATGGTCAAAACGAGAATGCACCGAACCAGCACTTCTATTTGAATGGATGGTGGGGCAACACGGCACCGTTTAGTACACTGGATGGTGGTGCTGAGTTTGATGATGTCCCTCACTTCGCTGTCTATCAGCTAGCTAAGGGAGAGGCCTTCGAGGGTACACCCCTTCAAGTAGGCTTGCCAGCTGCGTAAAAAGAGAGAATATAGCACGTTACGGGGTTTGATACGCAGGTGCAAAGTGGTCACAATCCACAGTGATTACGTATGATGACAGTTGATTATTCAGATTGAGTTTCAACGCGACAGTTCTATCACTGCCGCATACGGACCTTAGTATCATGGATCCATCGGAGGACGACATAGTACAGTCGTATTTCACAGTGGGATTGGCTGAGCACTTGGAGCCATTGCCTCAGTTGCTCTATGAAATCGTCCAGGATACGTCGGAAGCTGGCGATTCAGATGATGATATGAGCGTGGGGCAAGGACAGCGACTGCGTCCACAGCTTCGGACATTTGCGCCCGCGCCCTTATCATCCCTGAAAAGCAAGGTATCGGTGCCGGTGAACCGGGAGTGTATCAAGATATGGTCCAAGCTTCTCGTTATGCTTGATGGAGCTGATGCCGATCCGCATTTCTGGCACCTGCGCCAGTTCTTTGACGCCCGTATCCACGCGCCGGAGCAGGCTCGGCAAGATGCGGACGAGGAAGAGGAGGCGGATACGCATCCGTCCCCTCTAGAGCGACGCAGCTCGATGCGTAGTACTGGGTTCCGTGCCCCCAAAATCCAGTGGTCACGCCGGCCTACGATCTCTACCGTGGAGGAAATTCAGCCTATGCGTTCGTTCCTAGGCTCCATTCGGCGGGGCAGTACGCGTCGACCAATACAAGAGGCCGATGTACCACGCACCGACATGTATGAGATCTGGGTGGGAACGGAGACGGAGCGGAAATGCATTCATTTCCCCGTGCGTTTGGATCTGCATTCCGTGGGCCTTGCCAACCCACGAATGCAGAGCGCGGCGAGTGAGCAACGCGCTACAGCAGAGAAGGGACGTACGAACGATACGGCCTATCAGTCTGTGGCGCACGATATGGGCAAGTCGTTGGACGAATCGGTGGCTGGCAGCATGACCGCCTCTCAAACCTCACGACGCTCGTTTATGCATCGCATGCTCGACCGTGGATTCCGACGCGGAAGTCAGGCGTCCGGTGCGTCAGTACCTGGCTGGATACATGGGATGGAGGATGTGCAAGATATCCCCACCAATGCCTTGGACGACTCGGACGACGAACATGGCGATGCGGTGAGTCCCTTGGTACGCAATTTCCACCACCGTCGTGCCTCTGTCGCGAGTAGTGCAGCCCGATCGCATGCTGTGGCTCTGCCAAAGACCTCGGAACTGGGCCGTGTAGAAGAAGGAACCACGTTTGAGCCGTCGGAGCAGGTGTCCTCCGTGCAACACCGCTCTGATCCGAGCGAGGCCAAATCCATACCGCCCATTGCCGAGGGCGAAGATTTCCTCTCATTGCTACGCAAAGCATGCAGCTACGCTACCGGTCCGCACTGGCTCAGTGGCGACTCAGATCCCCTGCCAGCCATTATTATGTTTGCCATGGCCGACGCGTTCGGATGGGAAGGAATCCTCCACTTGTGCTACGGCAAAGACAGTATGTGTGATCGGGAGCAGGTCTTTGCATCGTTGGGTCGAGCCGCGTATATGGAGTCGCATCGCAAGCAAAAGTACGAGGCCGTTTTGTCATGGCGCAAGAACATCGTGAGCAACGCGAATGAAAATTTCATGGCCGACAACGGCGTACTAGATACCATGCCGAGTGAGCCGCCTGTCGATGATGTGGAATCGGTCTCCACACGGCGCTCTTTATTGAGTGAGCAGGGCGCTGAGGAGTCGGAGAAGGAGTCATCTCATCAGCGCGCTCGGCATACCTTTGCTAGGACATGGGACGATTGGAAGACTCTCTTTACGAGCCTTTCTGCCTGGGTCTCAGAATACGAGACGGTTCGTGTGCAGACAGGGTTGGCCCATGAATATGGCCAGGAGCCGACGTTTACCGTGCCTTCGCCGTCGCATCTTCCCCGCCTTACATTGCAATCCCCACCTCTCTGTGTCGAGCAGGATGCACTGCAAGGCGCCTATGGATTTTGGCGTCTTTCGGGCATTCCTGCCGCTTTACGTTTGGAATCGCATCATGAACACATGGACTACCGCTGGTCACGCGCAAAACTGCGTAGCAGCCAGCTTGGCACACCCATGGTGCTAGGCGTAGCAGGCGTGCAGTTCATGTTCCGTCAGCTGTCATCGTCCGCGTGGGTGTACAATAGCGCATGGGAGCTGACCTACTTGGACGACTGCATTTTCCAGTCGCCTATCGTGCGCACTCGGTTCCCACCGCCGGGCGATCATGCCCTATCATCTGCGGACGGGTACGATACCGTGGCCAATCGAACGGTAGAGTGCCCGTATCCAAACACTGAGGGCACATGGGCCGCCCTGGATTGGAAGCAGTGGCTCAGCACCCTCTATGCCGGCCAAATTCTAGTGCCTACAGTATCGTGGCAAGGTTGGTGGACCTTGGTAGCCGTCCTGAACGGTGCAGACCGGTCCGGCCGTGCCTTTGATTTGCAGCTTCGCGCGCCAGGGGAGCCATTGTCTTCCTTGGACCACGCGTCTGTGTATTTGTAATTGAGATTGTACATACGCGATTTCCCCTATGTATGAATTTACGCTGTGACATCGCTTGACTTGCTGCGATTGAGGATCGAGAGATACAGGTTCCATAGAACACCACAGCTTGCCGCAAAGGGAACGCGCATACTACATCGTCAGAAAAGTGGTACGTACCGAAGCGGAAGAACGCCAAAGTTGAACATTTGCAGGAAGGGCCAGATCTTCCAGTTGGCCAGGAGCGCAGGCACATACAGCTGCATGGTCAGAAACACGGCTACGTACCTCTCCAAACTTTTCCTTCAGTGATTCATAGGTCAGACGGCCTTCCATCATGCCCATGGCACCCACAAACAGGCCCATCGTAATCGGGGCCATCAAGATCTGGTCGGCCATCACACGACGGGCCAGACCACCAACGAGCATCGCACCACTCGGCGAGCGAATAGGGAACTTGAACTCCAGAAACTTGTTCCATTCCGCCAGAAAGGGGCCCATCGCCGTTCCGTACGTCAGGAAACGCGCAGAACGCGCATAGTCCCAGTCGGGCTGCGGGGCCAAGTCGGTGCGCGTAATACGCTCCACCGATTGCGCGAGCACATCGGCCAAAAGCGTCAATCCACCGTTTGTAATGGCGAGCGTCAGCCATGGGCGGCGCTCAAACGAGCGACGATAAAAGCTGCCGATCGTCATACTCACCACTACACGGTAGAACGAACGGGCAAAAAGGGTTGTTTTTGTGCTTGGGGTTCCTTTTTTTTTCGAGGGCGGCAAGGGGACTTGAAGTGGAGAGTCTCTGCCTCGCACAGCGATGACAGCACATTGGTTGGTCAAAGCTGAGCCGCTTCCACGGATCGTGAAAGGCGTGGACGTGTCCTTCAGTGTCGATAAGTTTGCTCATGCCAAGGTATCGTCATGGGAAGGTGTACGCAACTATCAAGCGCGCGGTTTCTTGCGTGATCAAATGAAACCAGGGCACCCCGTCCTGTTTTACCACAGCAGTTGCCCTCTCCCAGGCATTGCAGCGCTAGCAGAAGTATGTGCTTTGCCCACTAACATATAGGTATGCAGTGAAGGATACCCTGACCATAATGCCTGGGACCCCAAGCATCCATACTACGATCCGAAATCATCCAAGGACGAGCCTCGGTGGTATATGGTGGACGTCCGATTCTGCAAGAAAGTGGATCATTTCGTACCTCTAGCTCTTCTACAACACATTTCAAGCTCGTCTTTGACCAAAGAACAGCGCGCAAATATTAACTACTTGACTGACAAACATATAGAAGCGATCAAGAGCATGCCTCTGCTTCATCGATCTCGGTTAAGTGTACAGCCTGTGGATAAGACAGCCTTTGAAGCCATATGCTTGCTTGGCCAGCATGGCGGCTTCGATGCTTGGCCAGGCAAATGGTCAACGCAAGCGACCCGGCCTGCCGAGAAACCACCCGCTGCCGCCTTGCGTCGTGCCAAGCGTCGGCGCACGTAGTAAACGTTTCGTAGAGTACCCCACGTGCCCTACCGCGTGCCACGCTGACAAAACAGAAAGCAACGCGACTCTCGTTTGATTATAGGCACCTAGGACAGGCGTCGCCAGCGCTGAAGCACCACACGCATCGACAAGTCGTTGGCGAAAACCGCGCGTGCCTTCCTTGTTTATAAGAGCAGCTTGGTGCTGTTCCCAATGCCGCTCGAGCACTATGGAGCAGAACCGTCGTGGCAACGGCTGGAGAAGCGGCCTCTGAGTGAATCTCTCTCTCAACGCAGCGATTTCTCTCTCACCCGTCAGACAGAGGCTCAGGATGACTATGAGAAGGAGCGTTCGCATGCATCAAAGAAGGAGGACCCGAATGTTCTCTCTAAGCTCTCAGGGGTAAGCCGCTCCGTGAGTTGGGGTCGAAACACCGCGCCTCGCAGGTACAACTCTTTGCGTCGTGATAACGACACATGCTCACCGTCGCCTACTATGGTACGACATCCCTCGCTCCGAACCAAAAATTTCTCATCACAGAGCACTTCCTCTCTGAGCCTCACACCGACAAACTCTTCACACCACGGGGACGACGAGGCGAGCTCGGTCCATTCTCATACGTCTAGCCCATCCTCGTCAGCAGCGCTTTCGCTGCGATCCTTGTCGAGTATGGATGTAGAACGCTTAAACAAACGCATACCCTCTAACCTGTCAGATCCTCCTCGTGATCCACCTGGTGTGGATATTTACGAAGCGACGGCGATGGACAATACGCCGACTCATTCGCCTCGTCCAGACCTTCTTGACCCCTCCTCGCCGAGCGTCAGTCCCAAGTCATGTATTGATAAGGAAGTGGACAACTTCGATGAAGGAATGGTGAACATGGCTGTACCAGAGGTGCGTGTGGACAGCGCACAGAGCCCCATACGCAACAATACAGTCGCTCCTACGAATCATACATGGCAAAGCATCTCGAACGTGGATCATACCAAGCCCATCAAGGCCCCTTTCCCACTTCGACCGCTACCCGCCTTGCCACGGAGCGTCACTGAATCGGATACATCCATCGATGGTCCCTCACGCCGGCATCGCGGTTCCTTTTACGCTCGTATGCAATCGTCCAATCCCGATATCTTTCAAACTCTTCGCTCGCCACCGGATGACGAATACGGCGGAACAGCGACTCCTCCAACAGATGCTCGGTCCAAAGCCAAGCTGTTACGCTTTTTCTCTCGCATATTTAATGACCAAAGTTCGCGAGGCTCTACCAGCGAGAGCACTTCGCCCAGCTCTCTCAGCTCCCCGCCTCTCTCATCCTCTATGCCATTTTCTAGCATCATGAGCTCGACAGATGATCGTCGCGGAAGCTCTGCACTAGGCCGCGCTAGAGACACACCGTTCTTGCTGGCCGAGTCACTCACACAAGTTCTTCCTCGACCACCCCGCTCACCGCGAATAGCGCCGGTATCCTTATCGGAGAGCGATCTCAGTGATGAAGATGTTACCGAAATTCACGGATTAACAACAAGATCGGCCACGCCTGCGCGAAGTCTATCACCTGCGCCCTCTGTCACGCATGCATCAACTACAGATGCAGCCATGTCTGTTCTATCTCTTTCTGACTCGATCCAAGAGCCTTTCAATTTGCACTCTATTGAGTCTTATATCTTAGAAGAGGAAATCGGCAGTGGTGCCTACGGCTTTGTCCGTCGTGCGCGCTCGAAAGATACCGGCGACAATGTCGTTATCAAGTATATCTACAAGAGCTCTATCTTTGCCGATTCATGGCGAAGGCATCGCGTCTATGGTACTATTCCGGGTGAAATTTTCATTTTGCTGCAACTCCAGCATACACCTTATTCGCCACCCGCCTTACCACCTCCTTATATTTGCAATAAGGCATACTGGATGCAGGAACGCGAGAAACTCGTAGCCCAGCAGCAGAGTGGACAAGTCACAGGGCACCCAGGTATCTGCAAGCTGGCCGACTTTTTCGAAGATGAAGAATACTACTATATGGTAATGCCAAGATTCGGTAATGGACATGATCTATTTGATTATGTCGAATCTTCTATGTTTGGTATCGAGCCTCATGAAATCCGCAATTACCTGGGGCAAGTGGCTGATGTTATCGCTTTTCTGCACGCTAATGGGTTGGTACATCGAGATATCAAGGATGAAAACGTGATTTTGGACAATCATGGTATGATTCAAGTCATTGATTTCGGAGGAGCCACTCGTCTACGACCCGGTAAACTATTTGATACCTTCAGCGGAACGATGGATTATGCTGCCGTCGAGATTTTGAAAGGCGAGAAGTACAGCGGCCCCCCTCAAGATGTATGGGCCTTTGGTATTGTGGCTTATGTGCTTACTTGCGGAGAATGTCCCTTCTCTGACATCCAAGAAGCGAGTCAGGGTTTGTCTCCTGGATCGAGGCCTTTCCTGACCTTGCATCATTTCTGCTTTGACACTGATACAAACCGTATGACTCACGAAAATGCTACCAGTGATGCTGGACCAGAGAAAGAGTCCCCCAAGGATGGTGGGGGTCAATTGCACCAACTGTTCGATTTGATCTGTCAATGTCTACAAATAGACCCTATGCTCCGCCCATCAGCGCAAGATATCCTACGACATGCCTTTTTGCATGGTGCCAGAGGCTGGATGGGCGTATCGGGGTGGAGAAGTATATAAATGCACATGTAGTGGGCCAATTTGGTTGATCCAACTCTCTTTGTGACGGATAATGTGGAGGCTCGTGCAATGTAAAAGGGGCTTTCTCGACATTGATTTGCCACGACAAGCGACATCATTATCGATTTAAATCTGCATGTTGGTGTAAGAGAACCTTGTGACAGGTCTTGGCCTTGGCCTGTCACTGAGCAGAGTATGACACTGCATTTCCTTCCTAAGTCCCTCTCTAATCAATCCCCTTTTCTCTCCCCTCTCCTTCGTATCCCTCATCCCCCGTTTGAGATCCGGTTACGTACAAGACACGTAACACATCGTGGGAACGATGAGACCCACGTCGGAACAGTTAACTGCTATACACTTGGCACACTTAGCCAACGAGATTAATGACGACCCCTCAGATGACTCTCTTGTGCAGCGTACGTGACTATTTATTAACCATTTAGTACGGCAAGATGTGAATCAAATAAAGAGTGATATCACGGTGCAAGCTAAGAAAAACTTTATGCTTGAGAGTGATGTTCGTTACCTTGACAGTCGAATTGCCCTATTGATTGCGAACAGGATGGCCCTGGATGATATGGAGGATCCACTAGAGGAATCTGGCTCGGCAAGAAGACCCACCATCGACGACAAAAAACTAAACAGCTATGCCAATTTGTTTTATTTGCTTGTCGTGGAACCCCGGCATATTGCTTCACTTTGCTCCCTGGTGTCTCCAGCAGATATGGATATGTTCCTACAAACTGTCATGTTCACCATTTATGGAAATCAGTATGACGAGTGGGAAGAGCATCTTCTCCTGACTATGTTCCAATCCGTACTTTCAACGCAGTTTAAAACTACAGCCGACACGAACTCCTTATTACGGGCCAATACACCTGTATCACGCATGATGTCCACATATACCCGCCGCGGTCCCGGCCATTCTTTTTTGAAACGAGTCTTAACACGTCATATTCTCGAGATCATTCAAACAAATAAAAACTTGGAAATTGATCCCAAAAAGGTGGCTGAAGAGGTGGGCTCCTCAGACACAAACACCATTGTTCAAAGGCGGACCCAGACCCTAATTTATTTGGTTGAACAAATCTTGAAGGATGTAACTTCGTCGATCCAACATGTCCCATATGGTATACGTTGGATCTGCAAGCAGATCCGCAGCTTGGCTAGGCGCAGATATCCTGACCTACCCGAAGCGAACGTATGCTCTCTTATCGGTTCTTTCTTTTTTCTTCGTTACATCAATGCAGCAATTGTCATGCCACAAACCTATACCCTTACTGAGACGTTGCCATCTAAGCAGGCACGTCGGACATTAATCATGATTGCGAAAATACTCCAAAACTTGGTGAACAGCTCATCATACACGAAAGAATCATTTATGGACCCCATGCAGCCGTTTCTTGATTCACACAAGCCATCGATGATGATTTTCTTGCAATCGTTATGTAATGTTGGTGACTTTTATGATACATTGGAAGTGGACCAATACTTGGCTTTGGCACAGCAAAATTTGAAGATTAGCATTTCTTTAAATGAAATGTTCTTTATGCACGGATTGATTCACAGACATTTGGTCGTTTTGGCCCCAAACCCTGATACACATCTCGCCCAAATCATGCAAAGCTTAGGCCAAGTACCTTCTTTGCTTCCTCGAAAAGAGAATCAATCGTTAGAACTGAAATTATTCAGTCGATGGGAGGCTTCTTTTCAAGATTTGAAATCGACTTTGATGAAGGAGAACAATATGACTCGCGGAGACATCTTGTATGTGGAAACCAAGTCTTTGTTTGTCCAACTTCTCAGACTGATACCCTGCTATCAGCAATCAGAGCCTATTGATCTGCGCTTTCTTTTAGACAAAGCTATGGAGTCTCCCAATGAGATCATTCAGTCTATTGGAAAACGCGCATCTGGCAAGCTTGGTGAATTGAAAGAGCTCCGCATCATTAACACCACGACGCAGCAAGATCTCATGGCCGAAGAGGTTAAGGCCGAATTTGAGTTCTTGGATGGCACCAAGACGAAGATGAAAGAAGAGAAACAGAGTCTCCAGGCGGTGTTAAACACGCTCTCGGAGCACTACATGTATCTTCAGAGTCAATTGGACACGTACAAGAGCTATTTGCAAAACGTTCGTGAATCCTCTGGTACGATACGTGAGCAGAATTTTAAAAGTAGCATTGGCTTCACTGCAACACTGGATCGAAGCAACCGTTCTTCTCCATCACGTACAACGACTGGCCACCATCGGTTTCCCTATGAACAGCTTCAGCGTAGTGGAATCATTGAAGGCGGTTCCATTCATTCCTCGCAATGGGTTCATGTCTACTTCCAGTTCAGTTCACCTTTGCCATGCTCTTTTCTGATTTCTATGCATGATAAGGGACGAGAGGAACCAGTGTTAGAAATTGATATCAAGCTCGATGACCTGCTCGAGAAACTCCATGAACGTAATCATATATTGGACGTGGACTACGTCCAATTCAATATTCCCTATCTCCAAGCTTTTCTCATGCGCCTATTTGGGCCCACACGCCGACGATTGCTCTGATGTGTCATTGTTTACTCTTAATTATATCCGAGCAACAACATTCTGTTCTGATATGACCTTACTTCATGCACATTCCATATAGCTTAGCTCACTTTTCAATGAACGATTCACGACATTCATCTAGGTCATGCCGAGACAGCATACAAAGCACACACTCCCCTATCTAAAACCGACATCCTCTCATTTCAATTAGACAGGGCAAGCAATTTCATTGCGGTATGGAATGCCCATAAGCATTTTTGGGTTGGAAACATCCTCTCTGTGTACATGACGCCAAGCGATAAAAGTAAAAATTGAGCTAGTCTCACATTTACTTCTTAGCGTTGGCAGCCTCCTCCTCACGCTTGGCCTGGCGAGCCTTGCGAGCACCTTCCGTACGGTGGATAGCACGGGCCATACGGAGAGTGCGGAAAGCATCCACCTCCTTCTCCTCAGCAGTGATAGCACGAGGAGCCTCGGCGGTCGTGCCAGCCGGGATCGGGAAGGCAGCCAGGGTAGCGCGAGTGGTCTGCACCGACGAAAGGTCAGGCTTCTGGTTCTTGTTCTTCTTGGTGCGGCGCGGAAGAACAATCAGGCGCTCCTTGTAGGCCTTGAGACGGTCAGCGTTGAGCTTCAGGCTCTCCTCGCTCTTGTTGCGGCGGCGGTGGTCCACAGGGATACCGATCGAGCGAGCCTCGACCTTGCGGATACCGGCAGCCTTGAGTTCCTCAAGGGTGAAGCCACGGCCCTGGCGCAGCTTGGTGTTGTACTTCAGGGTCGGGGCACGCACAGCCGGGCGGAGCGGCTGGAGCGGGCGCATGCCGAGCGCAGCGGCCTTGGCAGCACGAGCGTTGCGGCGGCTCTTCTTCCTGCCAGCCTGGTCGAACCACACACGCACCCGGCGCTGCCAGTCCTTGTGGAAGTGGTTGTTATGAAGGATATTGTTGTGGCGGAAACCCATTCTGTGAAGTGTTAGCACATGTTACAAGTAGGAAAATTAGCAGGATCCGAGCTCATACAGTCAAGGATTCAATACAGCGCAAAAGGAGCTCAACAAATGTGCGCGGAGCCTGCTACTCATGCTTACCTTGCGAGGACTCACAACGGTGGAAGGTGGTAGGGATCGGCCTGCGTGCTCTCGCTGTACGTGGAAAATGCTTCGCGCGCGACCATGTCGCATCACGTGTGTGTATAGTTATTCACGTGATCCAATCTAGTCATACCAGGACTGTCCGTGCGTTCGCCCCTCCACGTTCAAGAGGGCTCGTCCATGCAACGGCACGTGCGTGCATACGTGTGCTCTCCGCGTAGACGATTGGGGCTAAACACCCTCGTTGTCGTTGAGCATGGACCACGCTCCGTTTGCGCGTTGGCTCACCTGGTGTCAGGATGCGTATCGATCATGTGCCTATCCTGTGCATGTGCCAGCTGAGCAACCTCTACTTGGAGAGGAGACGAAGGAGGATATGATTGCTCGTCAGAGAGTGGAGCAGTGGAAAGAAGACTTGCTTCGAACGAGTCCCATGGTTCGATTCATGGTAAAGCAGCTTACCATGCTGCGCTGTGACCCTGTGTCACCTCGTGAGAATGAAGGAAAATTAGGCAAGGATACACTCCCTCCGAAACTACTGATCGCTTCCTGTCCGCCAGACATTGCTGGTGGCTTTTCGCCGTCAGCGCCTGGCCGACCACCTTCAGAAGCTGGTGTACTTTTGTGTGCGAACCGCATATACAGCAAGTCACACTTGGAGGATACCCTAGCTCATGAAATGATCCATTGGTGGGACCATTGTCGATTCCAAGTTGACTGGAATAACCTGCGCCATCATGCTTGCAGCGAAATTCGTGCTGCTTCCCTTTCAGGAGACTGTCGTTGGATGCGCGAAGTCAACCGCCGACATTTTGCTTTTTCGAAGCAGCATCAGGAATGCGCAAAGCGACGAGCCATTCTCTCTGTGCGTGCCAACCCAGCGTGCAAAGATGATGAGACAGCCACTCGTGTAGTGGAAGAAGTATGGGAAAGCTGCTTCTATGATACCCGGCCCTTTGATGAAGTATGTACCTATGTGCACTAACTGGATGAAGATTTACTAGTACACCTGGCCTCTTGGATGTAACGCCATAGGTTTGAACGTTCTACTTGAGACGCTCAAGACGCTTTGTGCCTGCGTAAATACGCGTATCAAGAGACGTAGTCTTGTCGCTCACACGCTGGAGACGCTTGTTCTGTTCGTCCACTTCCTGGCCCATAGCGCGGCTCAGCAGGTTCATACGCGAACTCAGCGCTGAGATTTCGTCCAGATTGCTGTCCAGCTCATCCTCGAGCTCATCATCACTCTGCGTAGCCTCGAATTGGTATCGTTCACGCTCCGTCGAGGGATCGGCAATCGTGTCATCTTTCGAGTTGAAACGCTGCCTCATCTTACCAAACATACTAGTATTCGACACAGTTTCTTCGACACGGCGCTGCGATGAGAGCATTTCAGCACGAGTCAACTCACGCTCCATACGCTCGTCGATATGGCGCTGTACGGCCCGGGCCTCTTCTGCATCGCGCTTCGCTTGCTTGTTCCGTTTCCATTTGGGACGAAAAATGGATTGGTTGAGCTGCGCAATCGTGCGGGCATTGTCTTCCGCACGCGAAGCGTGGGCCTTGGCAATATCCAGGCTGCGTTCCGTGTCGCCAATACTGTCTGTGTGTCAATAGATCGGATTTGTACATACCACTCTGCTCGCCGAGCTTGATCATTGTGTTTGTAGCTGTCTCCTCGGTCTCTCGCGCGAGACGAAGCGCATTGCGAGTGCTGCTAAGACTCTCCTGTTTGGTGTTGCGGATTTGGTACTTGATCGCTTGGATCTCCTCTTCTTCCGGGTCTAGTGCCGTATCCAGTTGGTCCTGAGAGTACGGGTCACGGTACGATGGAGCACCTGGTGTCATGTACGTGCCCTGTGGTGGGGGTGGCGCTGATCCACTGCCGTATTCGGCCAGAAGATCAGCGTCGGAAGGAGGCGGACCGGGCGCTGCGCCGCTACGTGAGACCGAGCTACGCGAGCTGAAGGATGCACGTGTGTTGTCCATACTAGGCGCGCCGTAGGGATCGCGTGCTGCGCCTGCACTGGGCGCGCCATACGGATCACGCACGGCGCCTCCGCCTGGTGCCCCGTAGGGGTCACGAGCACCGCCCGCCTGTTGGCGCGCAGCCACATAGGCATCCAACTGCGAGCTGCGCATCGGAGCTTGAGTCTGCGCACTTGTGCTCGGGTCAGCGACCGGAGGAATTTTAGGTTTCTAGGTATGAGGCAGGCCCGTTGTATACGTACACTTTTGAACAACATGGTGGTCTGAGACACAGCCCGCGCATGTGGAGGCGTTGGGAGGTCGGGCGCGGAGGTTTGCGTCTCTCTGTCGTGATGGGCCAAGCCAAGTCTAAGCCAGCTCGTCAAGCAGGCGCAGCTGCGTCATCGGCTGCGTCCGCGCGTGCTCCCGCTGCATCTACACCATTGCCGAAAGCCAGTCGGGCAGCGCCTCCCCCTGGCCAGGGATCGAGCTTTGAAAAGAGCCAAGGTACGTGCGAAGCCTTCTCACCTCTCAGCGATTCTTGATGACGCTCGCGACCCGCAATTCCTGCGCAATCTAGACGCGATCGGACCTTTGCAGGTGAAAACACGGACGGTCCCCGTGCAAGGGTCTAGCACGATGCTCAATATCATGCAGGTTCGAGCGCAGCAGGAGCCAGACGACACGGACAAACGCACGGTGACGCCTGGTCTCTCTGCCTCGGAAGCCGTTCGCTTGCTGTGTGAGTACCAGGACCACCCGACCGAAGCCACGTTGGAGCGACTTGCCGTCGAATACGATGTGGACAAGGCGACGCTATCACGGGTCGTAAAGCATGTTCGTGCCTCGGAAGAACAGCCGCTCGTCTAACATTGCTATCTCAAAAGTGTTCCAGGATTTTGGCGGTCCATGGCTGCGGGGTAAGTCTTCATGGCATACGTACATGGGCCTTGATTTTTGCATCAAAGTCGTGCATGCAGGATGCTAGGGCCTGTCGTTGTGCTTGCTCCTCGTCGAGTTTCTGACGCTTGTTGTCGTCTGTACGCGCTTGCCACGCCTGAAGGAATTCTTGCACAAGTGCTACGCCTTCGTTCGTCACGTCCTCTGAAAAGTGCATGGTCTGCGGCGCGTCTTCTACGCCTTCGAGTTCCTCCGCTTTGCGCTTTGCTAGTCGAATGACACTCTCCGGGAAATCGGCCAACTCGGCGATTTGGATACCATAGCTCTGGTCACTCGTACCAGGCTCCACTTTGTAGAGCAGCGTAATGTCTTTGTCGAAGCGGGACCCTTCTTCGCGGGGCGATACATGCGCGACCACATGCAGGTTTTGGACGCCAGCCTGCTCTTTCGCTAGGTTGGTGAGCTCGTGAAAGTGTGTGGCAAACACACACTTGGCATGAATTTCTTTCACGATCCACTCTGAAATGGCCCATGCGAGGCCAAAGCCGTCGTACGTCGAGGTGCCACGGCCCAGCTCGTCAATCAACACAAGCGAGTCCTTGGTCGCCGTTTTGAGGATGGTCGCCGTTTCAAGCATTTCTGCCATAAACGTACTCACACCACGCAACTGACTATCTCCCGCACCCACACGCGCCAAAATACAGTCACACACAGGCACTTGCGCTCCAGTTGCGGCGGGGACAAAGCATCCCATTTGGGCCATAAGCGTAATCATACCAATCTGTCGGAGATAGGTCGATTTGCCGCCCATGTTGGGGCCTGTTAGAAGCAGGAATTCCGACGTGCCTGGCACCATCGAGACGTCATTGGGGATGAAATGAATATCGTCTTGCACTTCCAAGCACGGATGACGCGCGTCCTGGAGGACCAGCGGCGAGCCCCGCTCCTGGATCAGAGGGCGTGTGTATGGTATCGGGGCGTTGCTGGCCACATGTGCAAAGCTCAGGATCACATCCAGGTTGGCCAGCACAACATTCAGCTGCTCGAGAGGCGGGGCGTACGAGGACGCAATATCAATCACATCCTTAACCAGGCGACTTTGCGTTCGCGCGTACTCCTCCGACAACGAGCGGAAATCATCGTTCAAAGCGCGCATGGCCGAAGTCGTAAAGTAGACACCACCCTTAACGGTGCCAAGATCCATGTACGTCTTGCGGTTCTTAAGCACACCAGCGTCCTGTTGTTAGTCAGTCTGTACATACCGTTCGTGTCACACGGAAACAGTAGCCGTACGACGAATGATTCTCCAAATGCAGCTTTTTGTCGGTATCGAGGCGAAGATCATGGCCTGCCTGAACATGTTGCTCATCGAGCTGATCGCGGATTCGGTCCAGCTTCGCCTTGATGAGGCCCAAGTTCTCGTCAAAGTCCGGCTTGATCACGTAGTTGTGGTACGCCAGCTCGTCCAGATCGATCGTCATCTCGACCATCTCGACCAACTTGGCCAAGTGCTGGTAAAGTTCATCGAGAGGCGCCACGAAAGAACTGTGGAATAACGTACGATCTGCCTCGTTTGTCACAGGGATGTCGGCCATTGTCTGCTGCAGCGCCGGCATCTTGACAACTGCCTGGTAGCAACGCACCACATCTTCCAGGGTAGCTACACCACGCTGGAATCGTTTGCTGATACGCAGCATATCCGGCATGAATTTCAGAAATTCGTCTTGCAGACGATACCGAGCTTCAGGCTCCTCCAGGAAAATGGATACTAGCGTCTGGCGATTCTGGATGGCATGCACATTGATCAGCGGCTGCTTGATCCATTGGCTCAACATGCGTGTGCCTTGTGCGGTCTTGCACCGATTGAGCAAGCCAAATAGACTTGCATTCTTGTTGCTCACTGCCGAGCCGCCCTGCGGGTCAGGGAACAAGTTCAGCGCACGTAACGCAGCTTGGTCCAAGCGAAGGTATTCTGACAGGTCGTGCGTGCGTAGCGTGAAGCGGCCAAAGTTGGATTCATCGCCAAGCAAATGTAGATACGCGATCAGCGCAGCAGCCGAAGACATGGCCCATTTCTTCTCCAGCTCCGGTGCCAAGGCACTCTGGGACGACGACAAGAGTCGTTGCATATCTTGCTCCATCGACTTGGTCTGGAAAGTAGACCGCTTAACGTGTGTCACGACACACCCACATCGTTCCATCACAGCACGAAGCTTGCTCAGGTCGTAATCCGACTGCGACTCGTCCGCAGGTAGAAGACATTCTTTCACACCTAGTTGGATCAGCAAAGACTGCGATATGAGAAAGATAAGCCACGCACCTCTGAATTGGAGAACAAGTCGTTCTCCGGGTATTCCACGACACCGAACTCGCGATTGGTTGCATCCGCAAACGCAACGCCTACGGTATTCAAGCCATCCTGCGCCTTCACACGCATCGCCAAGACAATCGGGCTCGTGACCACTTCAGCATTCAGGAAAAGCAGGTCTTCCACATCCTGCAGATTGCCTGGCGAGGCCTGCTTGCTGATAGCCCATGATCCACTACGACGCCCACTGCTGTCGCCATTGGTCGACGACCAAATTTCAATGCGGAGCTGCCTCGACGTCAAAGCCTCTCGCAAGAAACTCTTGGCGGCTGCAGGGTTGAGAGAGCAGGAGGGAAGCCCTGTATCACCTCGCCCTCCTAGATGCTTGATCACAGACTGCGTCTTGAATACTGTGTCCGCGACGAACAACGCATCGTCGCCATATGCCGCATAAAAATCCTGTCTGTCAAACAGGCGAATCGTGCCAGGAATCGCACTCGGAAGCGAGCGGAAGAACTGTACAAAGCTCGTTTCCGACTTGTCGGGCTCCGCTCGCGCACTGCTCTGCCGAGACTCCTCCGTAGGGTACATGAGCCCTGACATGGTGACGTGACGCGTCGCTGCATGACGGGCACGCGTCGCGTTCATGTGTTTTAGTAGCCTATAAGGTTTATACAACAAAGTGGAGACGTGTTACGCAACGCGCGCGCGTTTCACGCTCGAGGGACGGTAGCGCGCGTCAGCGGGAATCTTGGTGCCTGGGCCTTTCCAGTTGGAAGGCGCACAGAACTGGCAGTACCAATGCCCCTTGGGTGGATGCTCAAGCCCGACACAGGCGTAGTGAAACTTTTCCTGTTAATCATCGTCATACATACCCACTCTCGCGGACAGTCTTCATTGTCGCAAGCCACCATCTGTACGTCAGTCAATTATAGCCACATACCTCTCCATAGGATACACGATCACAGTAGCAATACCGGGGCTCGCTGGGGTCATAGTCGATATTTTCCACCTTTGGTATCTGGGCCGACGGATCAGGACTCGCCGACTTTTGAGTCGCAGCGGACCGTTTCTTGGGCAGGTCGGAGGCAGAAGACGTCGCTGTACCTCCGTGCATAAACTCTTTCAAGTATGCAAGGCATGTAAGAGGATCCAGCTGGATGAGACCACTCCAAAAGGTATGAAGCTGACCCTCTGACGAGAAGCGATCGGTATCTTTAGGCACAGGCGTACTGTACGTTTCCGTCGGATGCGCTGCCTCTTCCAGCTCTTTCCGCAGGCCAGCATAGAGACTACGCTCATTCTTCAGAAGATCAATATCGAGACGTCGGATTTGCCGATCCACAGTATCGTACGCCGAGAGGGCCAAGGCGAGTTTTTCCTCGGCCACCGAAATCGCCGCCGATGTTTTCGCCTGGATCGAAGAAAGCAGCCACTTTCGTCCATGAATCCCTTGTTCGTCCTTTTCAGCCGACTCGGTAGGGGAGGTCGATCCTGAGACGCAGCCTGCCATATGATCACGCGCATCGCAGTATTGGCGCCACGTTGTACGTATGTCCTCTTTGGACGCTAGCGTAAGCGAATGCCATACATACCCTCCGTTGTATAATCCAGCTCCTTCATGAGATTAAAGGTACGCTGCAATTCCAACGGCAATTGATCCACAACTGTCACGTCAGCAAAGACACCACGTACTTTCGGCGTATTCTTCCGCCCAGCGCTCCACTCGTTCTTTGAGCTGTGCATCAAAAGCTTCCAATTCAGCATCGGGTATGACAATGGGCTCTCCGTCATCCCTGTCGCATTGAATCGTACTCTTCTTCCGCGAAGCGAACTTCTGGCGCTTGCGACGCGCCATGAGAGAAATCCACGCGTCGTGGTTGCCTGTCAAAATGTGGAGGTCATGACGCGGTCGGAACATGCGTTTCGTTTGTAGACTATTTAAAACATGTATTTCAGTACGGACGTCAAAGCCCTGTTCAATGCGCTCACTTTGCGTTCAGGCGTTTCAAACGCTTTGGTATCCATGAGGTGACGTGCCGACTCGCGCATGTCGACGACTTCGGCTGCAAAGAGCTTACGTAGCGCTGGCGCTTGCGTGGTGATCATCAGCGAGCATTCCAAATCAAACTTCTCGGAACGGGCACCATAGTTCGACGAACCAATCATCGTCATCATCGGTAAAAGTTCTGTCTCTGTGGCAGAGGGACCTGTCACCCAAATACCTATACAGTGAGTCAATACGCAGCACCACATACCTTTCTGATGGTACGTCCAACCATACTTGTTCCATTCACGCAGTGAGACAGAGGGAATATGGCCTTGCGATACAGGGTCCGACTCGTCAATCACATTCGACCCATGTACGTTCAGAGGCTTGTCCAGCTTCTTCTCCACGACTTGGCTCCAAAACTCCTGCTCCAAATACGTGTACGCGGCAGGAATACGGCTGCTGACACCCTTGCTGCCATAGAACCCATTCGCTTCAGGAGAAGCGGCCACAAGACGGAAGCAAGTTGGTGTCTGATCTGTGGCCGATCCATGGAGTTCATCGGAGAGTACAAGCGATTTGTACACGCCCGACAAGGTAAAGTACCCCGATGTCAAGTCCACAGTGGTATAGGGCCTTGCCACATACGAGCCGGAATCGGGCTCGTTCGGGCGCAAAGAGGCAAGGAACTTCGTGAGGAAGGGTATCATATTGGTTTCTTGCTTAATGTTAAGTTGGCCCATCTGAAGGAGAGGAACAATATAGGTGTCCACTTGAGAAGGCGACCAATTCCGTCGGTAGACATGACGGAGATTGGCGCATCGCTCAAGCCAGCGCTTGGTAAACTTCTGAATAGACTTTTCGGCCATGGGCGCCCAGTTTTTCTCAGGGAATGTGCTAATAGGTGGAAACAGGGAGGATGGAGCCACTGTACCATCAGTGTCTTCACCAAGCAGCAAAGTGGTACCGCCATCCCACTCCAATCGAAAAGGGCTACTGCACAACGCAACGTATTCCTTGGACGAATCTTCCATTTCGAATACTGACTTTTTCACCTGTTTCAGCAACGCCATGTCACCAGTGTAATGCAGTGCGTAGCTGAAACGAGAAATCAATAGAATCAGTGTATGCAGATAGTCCGCAAGGGGGGCATGGTTACGGATCAGAATATACCGATCCTTTCGTCTCGTGAAATAATCGCGGGAAAGGTTGGCGCCTGTAATGATTACATCGTCATCAAAGCCATAGATCTTCATGTGCTGAAGCCCGAATCCTTCATTGAAACGCCTGCCAATCATGCGAGCCTTGAAACCGTTGGGACGTAGAACAGGCGTAGCATACAGGCGGATATCGACCTGGTCGGGAAACATGGTCGCAAGATGCGAAAGGAGGGAGGCACTGGAAGGGCCTTTGGGGCTTTCACGCGTCGATCGCATAGCATCCATCAGAAGCGTCAACTGCAAAGCTGGGTTTTTCGATAATGCTCGGCAAAGATACAGAGCCAGTTCACGCTCTTCTTTCCCCATATACAGTGTTGAAAGAAATATACGTGTCTTAGCCTGCATAACCTTATTTTTCAGCAAGCCGTAAAATTGACGTGGCGTTTCAACACGAAGTACAGAAGACGAAGAGGCAGGGAACATGGGTACCTGAAGATTATCGCTAACCATCGAGGCAAGCCTGTTCGTATTGTCTTCGAATACAGCTGAACCTGACGAGGAGGTGTGGGCATCTGGTTTCGTAGAGAGGAAGCGCTTTGATTGTGGCTTTTCCACCAACGACACAGGCCTAGACACAACTTTGCTGTTGCTCATGACACATGACGCCGGGAGAAGAGCACTTGACGCATGTGCTCTGCTTGTAGGCCTGAGCCACCGACAAGCCACCGTCCGAAACATGGCCTTTGGCCAAGCCATAACGGAGAACCGGTCGGCTTGATTTCCATTAGCCCCACGTGACTGCCATGCAGGGACACTTTCCAGCAACGCTTGGGCCAGGTCTACTTGGGCGGACTATCGATAGCATGGTGAACAGGCGGACTTGCAGAGAGAGGTTCCGTGTGAGTATCCGGTATATATGGCTTGAAACTTGTCTCATCTTCGAAGATGGAGGGTGCTGGTGAGTTGGAAGCCGTGGCAGATGTGCTAAGCGTTCTTGTGGCTGTAGGATGGGACAGCTTCTCCCTCATGCGAGCCATAGAGACAGACACCTGCCCACCTATACCCAAATCACCACCAGCTCGAATTCTCTCTTCCATACGTTGCTGTTCAATGGCCTGTTCATCTTCGGTAAAGGCGTCAGGGTATGAAAGTCCGCTAGTTTCACTCACAAAACTACCGGCTTCAGAGTTCGCTAAGCTGATAGTATCCGGCTGAGTGGCACTATGCCCAGACGTATATTGTTCTTCATACCCACCGGGCTCTTCCATATGAGGGGCTGCTTCGTCATCTATACTAGGAGTCCCTTTGCGTTTCCTGAGGTTGGAGGATGGCGATGCGAAAGCCCTTCGCAAGATATCTTTCGACTTGCTGCGCGGTGTGCCTGGGTTCACGTCGACGGAACAAATCGAAGCTTCGCTTGGTAAGCTCGGTTGAAATGTTGTGGTACGTGGATCCAATTCAGGTGGCACAGAAGAGCACTCTGCCCCTAACTCAGAGTACATAGTCTCTGCGGTAGTGGAATTGCACCCTAGACCTGTCGATATAGATGATCCTGATTTGATGTACATAGAATACAATGGCATAGATTGCTGTGGGAGTCGGATTCCTGGTGCCAGTTGATCAGCCTCTGGAATTTGGCCCACGTTATCTTCCGTGAGGGCAGAAGATGCATGGTCTCGCTTAGGAGGGTCTAAGCCCGTAGAAGCTACTCCGTCCATAAATTGGGAGGAAACCATAGTTGTGTACCCGCCTTACTACCAATTTGACTTCCACGGTAGATTAATTGCGAATGAGAGAAGAGAGTGCACTGCAATGGCGCAGGGTGCACGGTCGTGGGATTGTCTCGTCTTGCTCCACACTATGCAAGTTTTCGGCCGATGCTAAATGTTTCACCAACTTGGCGTGTGGGGAAGGAAAGCGTCGTGAGCGACTACGAAGAGTGCTATCTAGGCTTAAAACATGAGGCGACATAAAGGAGAAAAATAACGTGGGCACCTTCTATGAGAACAATTTATCTCACCAGATTGTGTCCCTCAGAGCTGTGAGTCGATGCCGTCTCATGATCTGATTCCAAGGCAGGAAGATCTGTGTCCGTATCGTCCACATCCGACTTTCGAGACAGAGTATGAGAAACGTGAGCCCAAACCTGGTCCATAGACGTATGTGCCATGGCATCGTATGACTTCGACAATTCTCGTTCACTGGCCCATGGACGCAGCGTCTTCGATCGAAGGGGGTTCTTCGATGGACGAGGGGGCGGCACAATGGGAATGAGACCGTTCTGTAGGTAAGGGAAGGGCTGTATGGCTTTAGTGAGAGAGCGTTCCTGGCTCTTTTTGGGAAGCTGTGGAGGTACTGGCGCTGTTTTCTGCTCTGGAGCAAGGGACAGGGTCGCATGCTGACCCTCCAACATGTCCTCATCCAGTTTGGGAGCCGGTTTACGGCGAGGCGGTGTACTTTTCATGGATCGTGTACGAGCAATCTTCGTGCAAAGTGGCACCTCAGTCGACTCAGCCACGCTAGAAGAAGTCTCGAGTACTTCGGCCTCCTGCTCGTTGACAGGCATACTCTCCGCCTTAATACGAATGGAGCCATGCTGGCGGCCAAGCTGCTGGATCGGCTTGACCGAAGACATCTTCGTAGCTTTCGTCTGCGCCATACGCAATATGTGGACTGCCTTACGTGATCTTGGCCACTTACCTGTATGCATATCCTCTACACGTTGATAGTGTACGTCATTGGATACCTGATCGAGAGGGGACAGTGACGCGAACAACGTGTGCTTGTTAGTTCCCAACATACCCATGTGAAATGGCTGTTCAATAATTGGTGGTTCAGGAAGACGATCTTTTCGGTCCCATACATCATGATGATGGTCTGTCAAGAGTTCCTTACCTGTGTCAAGTACGGGGCTCGTAGCAAACATGTGGCCAAAGGCAGGGTCGGCCACAGGTGGACGCAACAAAGTCGTGCCAAGAGGTGCCATCGAAGTCATCAGGAGGCCAGTCCAGCTGGCACAGTCTGTGTAGCAAGTTTTACCAAGCAATAGCTTGTCTAGTCCAAGGTGGTGAGAGAGACAAAGAGGTTCAGACACGCACACTTCGTAGAAATTCTAGGCACCAGGTAGTCTGGAGAGATTGTATGCATGACAAGTTGAACATCTATGTACGCCTGGGCCACTTTGTAAAAGGACCTATTTTCTCATTATGTGGAGGAAGAAAAGTCTTCGTCAGAATCGAGAATACGAATTGCGTGCAATAGGTAGCCCCCACTAGCCGATGTCGTCATGTCTGGGTGTGTCCTAGCAGGAAGGACTTGGTATCGCCGCAGCCATGGCTCTGTAATCGAAACGTTGATGAAAGCGGGATTGGCACGAAGACGAGCCTGGACTTCGACCAAGGGCTGCAAGTGAGGGCTGTGCACCACCACGTTGGCCGAGCCAGCTAAGTACGGTAAGAGCCGATGAATCATAGAGTAGGACTCATAGGGGCTAGCAATAATCAGGGAATCAAATTCTCCATCGAAAAACTGTTGCCTCGTGGCCAAGAAATCCTCAATACCAGCGCGCTTTTTCCTTGCGCGATTCTTCTCACGTTCTGTCGCATATACGCGTGCAAGTTCTTCGGCCATATGTGAAGGTAGTGTCCATCGAGACTCGGTAGCAGCCCAGTGCATCGTCCGCAATACACCCTGTACGTGTGATTCAGTTAGGTTGTAATGGGGCATAAGCTCCAGTGCAGGCGGTGAATCGGCATCGTGAATGAGATGGACAGAGCCCGACCCCCCCATTCGTTCGAGCACAGCGCCTACTAGGAGACCACCGATATTGTCCACCACGAGGTACTTGCCTCCTGCTTGGATGTTCGAGAACGAGAGACATTGTGCGAGGGCATCCGCGCGCATTCCGCGGACCTTTTCAGGGCTGCGCTCAAAGTTGTACGTCGCTACTGTGAACAAATCCGGCGGAAGGGGCGTGAAGAATTTCAAATGCTTTGATTCTTTCCGCTTCATGATTTTCTCCTGGCTGTAAGCTGTGCGGAGTTCATAGCTCTTATTTCCTTCCAGCTGCTTTTGAATAATTTCTCGACCACTGGCACCCGACTCCTTCAACGCTTTAATATCTTCGTACGAAAGAGATTGCGATTCTCCATCATCGAAGATGTTTTCGTTGGTCGCCTCGCTTTCCACCAAGGCTTCGGCAACATCTTGATTCATAACCTCCAGGGAGCCATCTTGCTTGATTTCATAGGTTGGGCCAAACGGACGACCGATGATTTCATCGGCCTGGAAGGAGCCAAATTTACCGATCGATACCGTTTTTCCACGTTCCAATGTCACCTGTTTCACCATTCCCGACGGTAATCGCAAAAAGGCCTGCAGCCCCGCTGGAACGAATGTCGTACGTGCGCGCAGCTTCACATTATCTAACACTGGGGGCTGTCCATACTTGGTCTTCTTTCGCGGAGCTTCTTCGACTTTTGTTTCCGATGGTGGGTTTTCCGTGTAATCTGACTTGTGTACCTGTGGGGTACTAGACGAATCGCCTGGAACCGGCGCAATTGTCCCTGCCTCCGCCATGGGGAATGGTCGGTATCGTCGTAAACTCTCAACGCGTTCATCACGTGCCACCTCAATGTGTCGGAAACCGCGAGAGTCGTGCTCTTCCCCGCATTGCCCTTCTCAGTCAAAGACATGTCCAGTGTCACAGAATCCTCTATTACCGATGACGCTGAATTTCAAGTAGGTACATGATACTCCTCACCGTGATAGGCTGGCATCCAGGCAATTGTAAGTAATCTTCGTGCACAAGGTGCCTCTGAAGAGGATATCGAGGATACTATTGCGCAAGCGAGGTCGTTTTACATGGAGCGAAAGTATGTTGCTTCTGGACTGACAATAAAGGTCAAATGAGCGTATGTCGGAATCATCATCGGCTGTCATGGAGGGTATTTCAGCTACGGAATCCTCAACAGACAGTTCACACATGACAAGCGACAACCAGCCCAGTTACGATGGCGATAAGGAAAAGTACCCAAGTTCTTTTAGTGCCATCGTTGAACTTATTGCCACTGGACGAGAGGACCAACTCACCAATATCCGTGATATCCCCCTCAAAATCAACGAGGAGCCGCCTAGTGAGTCGAAGATGGAGCGACCCAAGAAGCCATGGGAGCAGGCATAATAGCATCGTTCTTGTACTATATACGATTGCAACTTCATGATATAGGTGTCATTCTGCCGTCACCACCTAGCGGTGATGCGTACGTTAGAGATGGGGGTCAGGTCGTTGGGATCTCCACATCAGTCACATGACGATCAAAAAAAGATGATCCCAGTGAATTGTTGCTTGCATCCATTCGGCTGTGGACACCTGGTGTACTAGCACATTGCAGACTCAGTACACCTGGTTTTTATCATGTCTGCACCCGAAAACGAACTGCTAAAGAAGCTCCAAGAGGAGCCTCACTTGCTTGCCGTCGGCGATGAAAGTCTTTTGTCGCTAGCGAAAGCTGCGACGAAGTCGCTGTACGATGAAGGTACGTACTGAGAGCACTTTGCATCTAACTTAGTAGGCATACAAAGTGAGAAACAGGCTATGCCGTACATAACGAAACTGATTGATTCATGCATGCCACAATCTGCCTCGACTATGAAGCGGAAACGCGATCAAGTGGGCGATGAGGCACCGATGTACCATCCTCTCTTCCCGCCAACACAGCTCGACAGTCTCGTTCTTGATGGAATGGGCAATGAACAGGTATGGCAACAGCTTGAATTGCGTACATCCAAGTTGGCTCGTGTGCTCGGTAGTGTGATGACCAGCACGGGAGCTGACGAAGAGGAAGAGTCAGATGAGTCGAGCGACGATGCGACGATGGACGCGCAAAGCGACGAGGATGCTTGGGTCGACGAAGAGGATAAAGATGATGACGAAGAAGCAGAGGAAAGTGCTGATGAAGGATTTGCGGGAGCATCGGACTTCAGCGATGTGGATCCGAACGAAGTGTTTTACGAACCTCTCCAAAGTGAAGAAGAACAACATCAACGCAAAGCAGAGAAGGAACGGGAAGAGATGATGCAAATGTACAACATCTCTGATCCTGCGTTGCTTGATGCTCTGCTAGGTCAACAGGGAGCGGAGGACGAGGACGATGAAGAGGAAGAGGACAAGCCTGTTACGCCCTTGCGTGGCCGGCATCCTACTTTGGATGACGACTTTTTCTCTATTGACGAATTCAACCGGATGACAGAAGCAGAGGAGCGTCGTAGTCAGACGCAACGTGCCAATTTATCGGGTGAAGAGGACGATATCAACTTTGACGATGACATCGACTTGTTTGCGCCGATAGACGACGACGACGACGATTCAGAGGAGGAAGACGAAGGCATGTCTGCCGCGGATATCCGTTACGAAGACTTCTTTGATCCTGTGCCGCATAAATCTACGGCGTCCACTTCACGACCGAGCCAAGCTCCAGCGGCGGCGTCACCACCCACTCGCAAGACCCTTGTGCGTTTCCATGAACAGGTGCGTGTTCGACCGATCAAGCGAGCGAAGTCTCGTCCTTCGGCAGGTTTGATTGGCAATGGCGAAGACGACCTGGATGAAGAGGACAGCTTCGATGAGCCTGAGAATGAGGAGGTCGACGAAGAGGAAGATGACGAAGAGAAAGACGATGAAGACGACGAAGAGAAAGACGAAGGGGAAGAGGAAGACGAAGGGGAAGAGGAAGAGGAAGAGGACGACATGGAAGAAGTCGACCTTGACGATAACGCAGAAGAAGAAGAAGAGAGCCTCAACAATATGGAGGAGGATGACGAGGCCCTGGCGGATGCGACTGCCTCGCGGGTCGCGCAGGATCTGTTTGCCGACGAGGCAGAGGACGTCGACACACCGCAGTCCACGCATGAACGCCACTTAGCACAGTTGGCGGAAGAAATTGCACGCTACGAAGAGGAGAATGTACAGCAGCGAGACTGGACGTTGATGGGTGAGGCCAGTACACGGGAGCGCCCAACGAACAGTTTACTGGAAGAAGACTTGGAGTTTGAGCGAACGGCCAAAGCTGCACCGATACAGACACAAGAGCATGCAGAAGGCATCGAGGCCATGATCAAGCGGCGTATTCTTGACAAGCAGTACGACGATGTGATCCGGCAACGTGATCTGGATGCGTTGCCATTTACCGCTTCCAGCATGCTGGAGCTTTCTGATGCGAAGAGTGCCAAGAGCTTGGCGGAGTTGTACGAAGATGAGTACCAAGCTGCACGAGGCACAGAGCAGGGCCAAGCGCCTCAATCTGAGGCTGATGAAAAGCTGGCGAACGACCATGCGTCGATTGCAGCCGACTTGGAATCGCTCTTTGCCAAACTGGATGCGCTGAGCAATGCACACTACACGCCGAAAGCACCGAAAGCGGCCATTCAAACCTTGTCGAATACCGCCTCGATTGCCATGGAGTCAGCGCTGCCGACGACCATGTCGACAGGTACTATGCTAGCACCTGAAGAAGTGTACGAGGCGCCCAAGCATGCAGCTGCACTGACAGGCGACAAGAGCGAGATGTCGCATACCGAGAAGCAGCGTCTGCATCACCAGCTGCGCCACGAAAAGCGGAAGCGCAACGAGCGGATCCAGCGTGTGGAGGCGGCCATCGAGCGCCAGCGCGGCCCACGCAAGTCAGATACCAAGGCGGAGAAGGACAAGGCGCTCAAGGGGTTGCTGGGCAACAAGGGCGTCACGGTCGTCGGCAAGGACAGCCAACGCGCCAAACGCGATGCAGCCAAGCCGGCGCCTTCGTCGTCTCGTTTGAAATTGTAGATCTACGAAAGCAACTGTGTCGTGAGAATCGACTCGATCCGCCGACGCACCGACGTAGGGGTCGTCAGGCTCGTCATTACATAGACCACGTGGCCAAGGGGACGGACGTGGATATCGTGCGTACGCAGCGCCTGCACGAGCTGAGCGCTGGCGTCGGACGCGTAGCCGCTCGCGCCATCCGTCGCAAGCTCGATTTTGAGGACCGTGCCGAGAGCCATGATGCCTTGAATGCCTCGCGCAAAGGAGAGTTGGCGTACCACATCTGCATCCCATACACTGCCGCCCAGTGGCTGCTGTGGCTGCATGTCTTCGAGCATCTCGAGAGTTTCCAAGGCGACTTGGCATCCCACGGGATGCGCTGTGTAGCTATGCCCATGCAAGAGCGCATGCTGCTTCTCGTCCGATATGTGGAACGTATCAAAGATGGCATTGGAAGCTAGCGTCACAGAGAGAGGGATGAGCCCACCTGACAAGATCTTCGCATAGCATGCAATGTCCGGCGTGACGCCCAGCACACTCGATGCACTCGCAAAGCCTAGGCGGTACAGACCGGCAAACACTTCATCGTAAATGACTGGAAGACCACGCCAGCCTGCGCCCTGGTCCGTTTTGCATGAGGACGTAGCATCGGACAATGGCATATCCCGCAGCGCAAACAAGTCACTTCGCGCACGTACCACGTCGACCAAGCATCGCTGGAAGAGCGGATCAATGAACAGCATGCCTCCCGCGCCTTCCACCACAGGCTCCAACACCAACGCCCCAAACTGACGCCGCTCTACACGCACCAATCGCTCGAGCGTCGCATGGAGACACGCACGATAGGTGTCGGCCAGGGGCGTGGTCAGACGCGCCTCCACATCGTACGCCGCTGCTAGGGACGAGAGCGTGGCAAGTGGCCCTTCTGTGTTGGGCCGCCACGCCCAGTCGTCGGTCGGCGCCACATCGATCTGCACCTTGCCTTTGTGCATACGCATAGTTGGCGGTGCTATCCAGTAGCCACGTCCGCGGTACCATGCGACATGGTCGCTAAACACACTCGGTTCACAGGCATCCATCGCGCCGATGGTATCGCCATGGTAGCTGCCTTGCAAGCCCAGCACTTCGTAGGCGCGTGGCGGACGTCCACCCAACGAACCTGGCTCGCGACCGCGACGCGTACGTTCGCGTGTAGCTGCCGATGTCACCGCCGAGGGATCGTAGCGGCGAATTGTAGACTGAAGCGCCATTTTCAGGGCCACTTCCATGGCCGTGCTCCCGTCGTCAGAGTAAAACACGCGATCGGCCCATCCGCGTCCTGGTGCGATGGTATGCGATGTACGACCAAGCAGGCGCTCCGCTAGCTGGACAGCCGGCTCGTTGGCCGCGCCAGGAAAGAGGACATGGCCGTACCGTCCGGCGGCCTGCGCTGCTGCGAGAGCAAGGCGGGGGTGGCCATGTCCTACGACCTGCGTCCACCACGAGGCGGAGCCATCCATGACCGGCGTCACTTTCGATGGGGCCGAGGGCGCATACGTCGCGAAAAAGTCCCCATGCGCACTGTCAATCGCCATCACATCCTTCGATGGGATTCGTGCATGCTGCGTAAAGGGCCACCAAACATGCGCATGCGCTCGCTCACCCAGCGTCGACAAACGCGCAAGGCGCTCGGCATGCTGAGTACGTAAATGACGAACCACGTCCAGCATGTTCGACGTGGACGTAGGCAGGCCATGCACAAGATCCATATAGTATGCCTGCATACGCTGCTGATCCCGGCGTGAATCTACATCACGCGAGGGCGGTGCACCTGTAGGCTGAGTGCCGAGTGTAAATACACGCACACCACGCTCGGCAAAGTACGGCGTAAGGTACGAATCGTTTTGGTACCGCTCATTCGCGAAGAGCAGCACAGCATCAATATCGTATCCACGCATGACCAAGCTTTCGTACGCGGATCGCGTCGTACTAATGCCCCCCAGCGCACTGGAGCCAATCAGTACGGTGGGAAGGCGTAAAGGACGTAGCAAATCCGCTTGCGAGGAGCCACTGGGCGCCGGCGAATGCACGCCACCGGCCGTCTCGACGTACACAGCCCTCGATGAGTCGTGCGTCGTCGACGTCTGTGTCTGCAGCCATGTACTGAGACGCTGCACAATCGACGTATCCTGAGCCTCTACCGGCAAAGGACCATCCTGGATAGCCGCCAAATGGGGCGAGATGGGCTCACGAAATTGGAGCAAAGTCTCTGCATTGACATGTGGCGCATACCGCTGCATGTGCCTAGAGCGGTGTAAGAACCAACGAGGATCTGACATACCTGGAATCCATATCGTCAATAGGTCCGGTCGACACCGGTTTGACGTACACCACGGACTCGGCGCCAGGCTGCGGTGCTAGCGTACGTGGGACATGGGACGACGTACGTGGACACACAGCACTTGCAAGCGCCAGGGCCGTCGAAAAGACCGTTTTTCCTACATCGGTATCTGCACCAAAGATCTGTGTAAGCAGGTACTGTAACGTACTTGGTGGATGCGCACATGGGGGTATACATGCGTCATACAAGCAAGCGAGCGTCACGACAAGAAAGCCATGCACGTACCTTCTCCACCCCCTTCACGCGTCGTCGGCGTAGGACAGGTCACGTGTTATACACTGCACGCAACAAAACAAAGCGCGCCGTTGGAGCGAGGCGCGAGGCTCCAACCTACGCCCACAGGTCGAGAGCGTTTGCGAGGTGGTGTGTTGCGCCGCTCATGACATCCCGTGATCCTGTAGGCGATCATACCATGTCACCCCCACCGCCTGTCCCTGGCGCGTGGGACAAGCCAGCTTCGCGAAGTCGCGTTGCTAGTCACGCACAGGCCCAAGCGTCTGTGCAACGGCAGCCCAGTCTCTCTTCGTCCAAACGCGACATATATTCCGACGCTCTCTCGCCATGGCTTCGTGCGTCGCCCGAGTACCTCGGTCCCCCAGATCGGCGCCCCACATGGGTCGCTGACAAGGGGCCGCTAGACGTCAACGCGCCATCGACGACCATTGCTTCGCCGGCGTTCCTTTCAGCGATCGCTGCATCCAATACAAGCATGGAAGAATCTATGCAGACTGATCCCATGTACACACCTGATGTGGATGCATCGATGCCGAATACCTCGACATCGTCTGCCGCGCCTCCATTGAATGGCCTCGCTATTTACACCTCCTCGCCTATGGCACAGCCAGCCCAGGAACCTACACAGAGCACCGTCGCTGGGTTTGCGGAGCGTATGGCGTACTTGCGTAATCTAGGCTATGCCTTTCCTGCTCCAGCAGGCTCTTCGGCGTCTGCAGAGAAGCCTACGCGCGACGATGCCCAAGGCTCTGCTCCGCCGCTGCAGTACCGCATGCCCAGCATTCATGCGTTGCGGATTCGCAAATCCAATGTCGGGCTGCCCGATGCGACCGAGAAGTCTGGATCCATGCCACAGGCGCCCAGTACCCGTGACATTAGTACTACCTCGTTCATCTACTCGCCGTCGACAGCGGCACAGCATGCCTGGTCCCCCCCACCCCCGCTTCTACGTCCCAGTTTGGACTCCATGAGCTACTCTATCGTAAATGATTCTATGGTCAACGAAGCGATTGAAAACATGTCATTGCGCGATAACTCGCGCTTAGCGTCTGCTGCGGAGGCGCCTGCGCCTGTCGAAGAACCGTCTGCGCCTCAGGCGGCCACCGAAAAGACGGAGGTGGTGCCCATGCCTGCGCCTGTCGAATCGCCCTCGGACGCCCACACCATCTCACCCGGCATGGTCTCTCCGGCGTCCACATCGCCTTCTGCATGGTACATGGCCATGCATCCTACGCCTTCATTGCCCCCGGTGGGTGAGGCATGGACGGCCATGTCTGCTTCGTCCAAGCGATCAAGCGTAGCCTCGACGCTGGAACCGATCCATATTGTGCGTGGCTCACCACCCGCGTGGGCTACCAATTCGTCGCTAGGCACGCCCTCTGTGGGTATGACTTCGCCAGGGATCCAAGATTTACAGCGCTCTGAACGTCCACACTCACAAATTATTCACCTCCCTTCCTCTAATCGCTCTGTGGTGCGCGATAGTGTCCTATCCCTGCCTGACTCGTTCCAACCGATGACTGTGCCTGTGTCGCTATCCGCTGAACCTGCCGATCCCCAGGACACGACGACCATCCTTCGTGATGAAGCGCCGACTTCCCTGCCTGACGATGCCCACGAAACGACGTTGGTCGAATCGCCGTCCAACGAGCCAGGCAAATGGACCGAGGTAGATGATATGCTCATGAAGGACGCGTCGATGGATGTCGCTGCAGCGCCGGCGCCCTTGCCAACCATGTCGACGTCCGAGGCCCCTACATCGCCGTCGACCAACTCGCCGGACATTGTTTGGTCACCCGCCTTGGATTCCATGCATTCGCTCCCAGCGCTGGCCGTGACGCATGCAGCCGCCTCTGCCACAGATGCTGCGGCGACCGCCGATACGGCCGCCGCCACCGCTGCGGACCAGGCCCCGGCCCTTGCGCTGGCTGACGAGGGTGTGACACCACCTCCGCGGCCTGCACGCGCCTCGCGCGAAGCCGCTGCCCCGCCTGCTATGTATGAGCCACGTGGGCCCGCGCTGGAAGGCTACCGTGTGCCCTCGGCGTTGCGGGCGGCCGACATGTCGTACGCGGCGAGTCCTCGTCATATTTCTTATGGCGCGCGTATGGTCGATGACACGTACGAAAGTCCGCTAGATGCATCGTACGCCCCTGGCCACGTCTATGGTATGTACGATGTGTCACAGGCGACAGCACGCGATGACTCGTTACTGGCTCCGACGACAGGTCCCGTGCATGCATGGACTGAGACAGACCAGTTTGCTCCAGGGCCCATCGACTTGGTGACGCCCTCCTACCAGCCCATGGCCACGTTAGTGGAGGCAGCAGCCGACAAGTCCATGGACACGACCGCAGAAGCCCCTCTGGAGACGGATATGCCCCCTATGGTACGCTCGTCGTCCCCGATGTCGCCCCCACCCGCGACTAACCACGATGTGCCGACATTGATGCCGGCGCTACAGTACACGATGACCAAGCTGCCGAAAGGTCGTCGTGTACGCCGCTCGAAGCCGTCGTCCCAGACGGTTCCCTCGTCGTCCACAGCCACCGCGCCGCCCACGATGGCGTCGTCAAAGGAGCCCACCGCGTCGAGCCCACCAGAGGAACCTACGGCTGCAGCGTCGCCAGCCTGTCCACCACGCACGCTTCTTCTGGTGGATGCGCCTACGCCACCGCGCCCTGCTAATCCGCGGGTCGTCTCGCACATTCGCCGCAAGCCTGTGCCAGTAGCCACGGTCGCAGACGAAGAAGAGGAAGAGGCGAGCATGGTTCACCCACGCCGTCCTACCGAGGCGGTGGCCGAGCCGTCCGTGCCGGCCAAGGAACCTTCGATGCCGGCCCTGGGTCCGACCACGAGCGGTCCACGTACGGCGGACATTTCGTTGGTCGACGTCTCCTCCTCGCCATGGCGCTCTGATTATGGCGGCGTGCGTCCGGCCTTGGCGCCTATTCCCATGGGCCCTGTGCGCAGCAAGGAAGGGACAAACGTATGGCTGGATTCCCACGATCAGCACACGGGCGATACGTCGCATCTCTCGATGTTGGGCGCTGTTGCGGATGCCCTGCCGACGTTCAACTTGGAAGACTACTTCGAGGCATCGTTGCAGCGTATTCGGATCGATACCAGTGGGCATCCCACACCCGTGAAGTCGGGTCCCACGTCGTTCACACGACAGGGCGTGCCTACATCCCAACCCCTCGTGACGCGCCCGCCGACCGACCTGTTCCGCCACGCGCCGCCTGTCACGATGCGTGTCATTGGCTCGCCTGTGATGGGCTTGGACGAGTTCTCTTACGTGATGGACGAAGATGGCATAATTCTTCGTTCCCCGGATCCCGGCGCAGGCAGCGACGGGCAGGCGCGAGGCGGTACAGAGGCAGATGCGGTGCCGTCGTTGCCGCCTCTCGATCCGTATCTACCAGAAGAGCACGAATGGATGGGCGACGTCCCACGCCCACCACGCACGCGTGCTGCGTGGGCCTACAAGGATGGGACAGATCCGGTATGGGACGAAGCGTTGTTCATGGATACCAAGCTGCCGCGGGACTTTATTACCAAGCCCAATTCTGTACTCGCGCGTGGCCGTCCTGTAAAAAAGACAGAGCATACGAGCATCTTCTACGCCAGCCTCCCGGAAAAGCGCCATCGCCGACGTCGTGGGCCGATGCCTCAACGGGCGCCGCCGCTGAAAGTAATGAACTTTGACGAGGCGGACGAGGACGAGGATGATGTGCACCCGTCAGCGTTCATGGACACCAGCCTACCTGCCCCCGCGCCTGTCGCTGACCCCTCTGCGCATGCGCCACCACCGGCGACGGCAACGTACATGGGCGACTATGCAGAAGCGCCACGTACGACAGGTGTGCGAAAGGACCCGACGATGACATCCCCACCTCTTCCGCCCTTGCCGACCGAGACGCCGCAGATGCCTACGCACACCGACTTTGGGCCGACTCAGGACGCCACGACGCCGAGAAAGTCAGGACAGGACAACAAGTTCTCTTCGTGGTGGAAGCGGCATAAACCGTCGCCGACCAAGTCGACGTTCCCTCCGAATGCCGAGGAGGCGCCCGTGGGAGCAGAGCCTGATTACGCGGAAGACGAGATGCCCACGCACACGCAGCGTGATGCCGCTTACGGCGCAGAAGCCGCTCCTCCCTCTATGATGCGGCCCTCGGCCTCTACGGCCACGACGACGACACTCAAGCTCGGCCGGCGTACAGCGCCGCCAGGCTTTGAACCATCGCAGCCGGGCAAGTACTACCTAGCTGGTACAGTCTCTCTTCCGTCGTTGAACGTCGCTCGCACGGCGGAACAGCGCGCTCGAAACGAGACTGGTTTGCCAGAGACGGAGCCGGCACTAATCCAGTCGCTTCTCGCTGCGCCGTCCAGTTCGACGGTACGAGCTCGCGCTGGTATCATCAAGGCTTTGCCGTTCAATCCGGAGGTGGTACCGCCTACGGGCCAAGTCTTGGTCGTGGAAGAACGCAAGATCTTGATCCGTCCTGTTATGTAAGCTTGTCTGATGAACACATCGGATTTGTGTATGTTCATGCGAAGCTTGAGAATCACGATATGGTGCAACACGTAGAGCAATGCTAGTTGTATTCTCTATATACATGGAATGATAATGGGTTACATGAATAATATTAGCAAATTGAGTGCTTGATGTGAATGAAAAAGACAAGGTGATATTCTTCCTCGTCAACTAATGCTTAAAGTAGAGTTTCATAACGTGGCACAATATCAATGTCCTTGAATTGGCCCTTGGCGCACGGAACAGCTTTGTACAATACAATAATGGGCTGCGTCGCCACTTTCTTCTCACCCACATCCTCTTCCTCCGAATGCATCTGCCCCTTCTCCAATGCATCAAGGTTGTGCTCACTCATATCGCTCATACTAGGCGCTAGGGGGAGCAGAGTTGAATAAGAGGGAAGCGATGAGGTGAGGCCACTTCGGAGCATGCTTCCCTGATCACTGAATTTTCGCGTAGTCAAACTTTTTGGCGATAGCGTTTGGTCATATACAGGGTCTAGCTGCTTGACTTCCTCCGCTTCTGTGTCCAAATCAAAGAGCGGTACAGTAGCTGCTTTTTTTCGCGCTGTCACATTCCATTTAGTGAGGCCCATTGCGTTGCGGTAATGGGCGATCAGGCAAATCATATTCTTCAGCATCTCATATAGCGGAGAAATAAGAATGTAGATCAAATACGTCTTCCAGTTGAGGCCAGGATGCGTCTCGCCTTGCACATGCCATGCCGCTAACAGTGTTAAAATCGGACCTTGCAGTGCTAAGAGCCCTGTCACTGGGAATAGGTACCAGGCAAAGCGGTGATCAAATACAAACGAGTAAATCACAGAGCCAAGAATCCAGGGCGTAAGGTAATAAAATACCTCACGCCAATGCAACATTAAGAAAATCATGAAACGTCGGTACAATGAAATTTTGGAATTGGCAAGGAGTCTTAGGTGTCGCGTACCTACCTGGGACCAACCTTGAGACCAGCGAACTCGTTGCTTGATCAGTCCTTGCAAGTCACTTGGTGATTCTTCCATCGACGTCACTGTAGGGTCAAATTGGATATTCGCCCCTGACTCCAGTACACGAAACCCAGAATCCACATCCTCCGTCAGCATAGATTCATCCATCTTGATTTTCCGCAATAGATCAAACTTCCAAAACCCATTACTGCCGCCAAAAATGCCAAAACCTCGTACAAAGGCCCCACCAGCGTGGTTCACAGCGTAGATCGTGTCAAATTCGGCAGCAATATTCGTTGAGCCACGAGTGACCACACATCGGCCTTGTACCAAGTCTGCGTTACGGTACTTCATGGTTTGGAGAGCATGAATGACTGAGTGCTTGGATGGGTGATGATCAGCATCATACATGGCCACAACTTCAGGGGGATTCGTCTCTGCCAAATATTCAATGGCAGAGTTGACATTTTCCGCTTTGGATGTCGATGTCACCACATAATGGTCTTCCACTGTCACGTTCTCGCGAAGTTCAAGCTTATCAATCATGTTACGAAGGTGCTGAATTTGCTGCGGCCGACCGCCATTGTGCGACACAACGACTCGGAACTTTGTGCCTTGTGGTAAGTCAACACTGGCAACAGCACGAATGCAGTCTTCAATGGTATGAATTTCATTAGAAAGATAGGCAGATATAATGGCCGCTACATTTTTGCTCAAGTCGTCACAGCTAGCTTCCCGATGCAGTTTGCGAATAGAACGCCAATGCGGTATGGAGCCCAAACCCTCGATAATGAGCCACAAGGAGGTAATATACAAAGCCGCACTGGCAATCCAAAAAATGCATACAAGTCCTATAACAGGAATAGGAAAGCATAATGCCAATGGAATCCCGAACAAAATTAACAGCGCATAGAGATACTGTGCATTCTCCTTCAGCCAAGCAAGATATAAGGCGATTCTTGGAAATCTAGGCTTCTTTTCCACCTGTTGAACATGCTCAGAGACTTTTACGATGGAGGAGGCAGAGTCAGATGAGGATGATGACGAGCTTCTCGTGTCGCTTGGCGCACAATTGCTCTCACTCGAGCCTCTTTGCAATACAGGAATGTGGAAGAACTCTGAGGTGGATTCTCTGACAACAGCAGGAGAAGGCTTGGGGAGTTCTTCCTTTTCCATGATATCAGAGCTGACTCAGGGTGAGCGAGTCGGATCTGCCGACTATATTTTATAAACTCTCGTCGGGGACATTACTTGCATAACTACTAGGGCCAGGGACAAGATGAGGGGCCGATCATGGAGTACCACTTGGGATTGGATACAGCCCTTTCATTGGCTATTCACACGATCTGAAAGAGACATACCTGAAATTTTAAATAAAAAGGACTCACAATACACTGGTTCATAAGTAAATTAGACTCTGTATAAAATTCGTTGTTTCTCATTTGTTGCATACAAACAGAGGTTCTTCTTCTCGAGCAGAGAACCGAACAGGTTTCGCATAATCGCCACATAGCCCAAATTACAAAGAAGCCAATACAATGATGTTTTTTAAACGAGTGTGCTTGTTTGTTCCCACTTTAGATCTTACCCCTTTTCACGTGCGAATCTTGAGGAGGAGTTCTTCGGCCACTGGGGTCATATCAGTCCCGGCTGTAAGCACTTTTTGCAAATAATTACGCGCACGATCGAGATCGCCTTGCTGCGCATCAGGTATAGCATATCGGCCTAATCGTTTTTCTGCATGCGATAGATAGAGCTTACCATTAAGCTCCCCCATTTCCCAACGTGCCGCAATGACGTAACTGAAGACAAAACGGGCCAATAATCCAGAATCCAGTTGAGATGCGGCACGTTCGATCACCTGCACAAGCAAGCAATGGTATATAGTGGAATGCACTGTATCACCCTCACGCTCATACAGCTCTATGATACGAGCAATGGCTTCCACAGATTCAAGATGTGTCAAAGGGCACGTCAAGTGACGCTTGAAGCACTCAATTGACTGAGCATTGCGACCCAGCCTGTCGTAACACACACCTAGAGATGCCCACATACGCGCATCGTATGGCCGAATCATTGCACAGTGCTGATAATAGTCAATGGCTGATGACCATGCTTCATTCAGCTCATAGACTTGGCCCAACCCGTGCCAAGGACGGTAGTCGTGTGGATTGATTTCAATCGCACGTCGATACATTTCTGCAGCAGCATGACTGTTCTTCAGTTCCAAATACTCGTGTCCGAGCAAAATCCAAGCCGCTACACACTCACGGTCCAGTCGTAGTGCTTGCTTGAACGACTCCACAGCACGAAAGTGTTCACTGCGCTGATTGTAAAAATTGCCCCGCATGCACCATACTTCAGCACTGTTGGATATGTGAGAAAATTGCTGAACAAGCTGTGCAAGAGTATCAGCTTGATCTAGAACATATAATGTATTAGAATATTCACTGATCCCTTCCAAGCGATAAGGCTGTAATGCCATAGCTTGCTGGAATGTATCGGCCGCTTCTTCCAATTCCTGGTGCAGATAAAGAGACTGGGCACGGCTGGTTAATAAATATGCTGAACGAGGGAAATGTGCTAATAAGGCATCAAGTCGTTCAAAGTGTACCGCATCCACTTGTGTGGACTGGCGCTGGGAGTACTCCATAAAGAAGGCGCTCATAAAAGAATTGGGTAAAAGATCCAATATTTGATCACGTTCCGCTGTATTCAAGTTCAGCGTCCGACTGAGTTCTTTCCACGCGCTCCAATTGTAGGGGAAGGCACGTACACTTGATAAGAGGCAATCCATAGCCTCAATCCGCTTGTGAAGCTTACGGAGAATCACACCTTTCATAAATAATAGAAAGGGGTCTTTAGGTGCCACAAGTGAATCAAGAAGGGCAATGTACTTGGGTTGGCCATGCCGATCTGTACTCTTGTCAGCATACGCCAATGTCGGAAGTAAGGTATCTGGGTTTTCAGTTTCATACATTAGCAACTTCGAATATACTTGAAGAAAACGAGATTTCTCAGAAAGGTGTGTTTGTGAATCTAGTAAAGATGCACAAGCCAAATAGTTATCGCGATCAAAAAACGTCTTAGCTAGCGTATAGACATCTTCATCAGATGACGCAGATGATGATTCTGAAGTTGTCTCTGAAAAATGCACATGGATAGGGGGGACTTCAGCCGACGTAAGGGGATCCATAGATCTCACAGGAGAAGATACATGTCGCTTAGAAGGTCCGATAGGTGATGTGGCTTCCCAGCTCGTGCAAGATACGCCGGCACCATCATGAGTTGCTTTACTTGCATTCCAGACTGGAGAGCCAAGGTTTAAAGCAGGAGTTGAATGTGTAGGAAATTTACCATGAGATGATTCTCTTAGTTTTGGTGTGCTAAGCGGTGGTACTGATGGGTGTGGGACACTGGCGAGTAACTCAAGCGCCCTACGAGTTAGGAATGCGGTCTAACGTACCATTGTGCAGCATCAAGCAAACCCCGCTCAGAGAGCGACCGCCCTGCATGCCTTAATACTTGCTTTACGCGTGCAGGAGAAAGGTCTTCTACACCTTCTAGTGTCGAAAACCGCATACAAAGGCTGTCACAGCAAGATGGCGGTGATCGCTGATATACAAAGCAAAAGGGGTGTTGCTCTTAAAGCCACGTGGATGCACAGCGCGTCGCGTCTGACGGGTACCGTGCGCCGTGCATTCAGGAGATGCCACAAATCATCAATACATACGCCACTAGTTCAAGCTTCATGCCAAGGTGAACAAGGATGGAATTGAACGCTTGGGCGGTAGATGAACCATCGCTGTTGGATAGATCGATGTTTGATATGTTTTGTGCCGAAGTGCGAGCCCGTAAAAAAGCTACCAATGTTTTCCAGACTTTTCCATTGTATTTGCGTACACGGCTATCTGAGTTAGATTCCTCCTTGACACGCCTCGATGGTGCATGGATTGATCATATGTATCTCGCCACATCCCTAGCTGCATGTAACGATGACCAGCTCCTCCTATGGTTTCAAGACTGGCAAGTACGCTGGAGAAAATTACAAGCAACTTGGCATGCTCTTATCAGCTCTGACTCATCCTACAATACAAGCAGTTGCACAATCATGCAAGTTCCAATAAATAGGAACGGTTTTGTCGATTTGGAATCACCCAAAGACGCCATGCCTGACAACAACCGATCCTCTATCTGTGCTCGTCAAGCGCTTAAAACCTATGTTATACGAGTGGTGGTCTGCATAGTAGTATTAGCATTATATATAGCAGTACGGCTACATCTCTAGCTCTTCGTCTTTTACGAGATACGCGAGTACAGTACATGTCATCGTCTCATTTGTTCAGATGGGGGAAATGATTTATTGAAGCACGTGAAGTTGCCCGGGCAATTGACACGAGCTTACTTCCCAGGGAGGGCTGCGTCGGGCCTCATCTTACTCATTCACGCTACTGGGGCGCAGCTTTCAGTCCACTGCGTCTCATCTAGATCATATGGCGGAACGAAGCGGGAATAAGGTGCAAGGCTCTGCTCCTACCAAGTATAGCAGCGGAGGAGCTGCACCACCATCAAAAACTGCAAACAATGGACAGTCAGACACTTTGATGTACCCCGCATTGCACTTGTACCCATTAAATGATACATTCGTTCCTAAGCAAATCAACCTCGCTCCCGCTGGGCCTAAAAATCGCATTAAAATTGGTCGGTACTCAAACAACAAGACTGTGCCGAGTCCATTGAATGGCTATTTTGATAGCAAGGTCCTTTCCCGTGCGCATGCCGAGGTTTGGTGTGAAAATGACAAGGTCTTTATCAAAGATATCAAGTCCTCGAATGGTACCTTTATCAATGGTACTCGCCTTTCACCTGAATCTCAAGAGTCTGAACCTTTTGAATTGCACAGCGAAGACGTTGTCGATTTCGGTATTGATATATTGACAGATGATAATAAGGATGTGTTGCACCGCAGGGTGGCTTGCCGCATCTACCTTGTTATAACCCCTGAAGATGCCTTGAAGCTCCGGAGTGATTTCTCAAGTTTGTATCGAGGTGGTATTCATGGTGGCTCTTTTGGTAGCAATGGCTTGTGTCCTGGTGCCGAAGGTGGCTTTCGTCTTGGAAAACCAAATGTCAACCTCGACCATATTGTTATTCGGCTCCAGGGTGAACTGCAGAAAGGTAAAATGATCGGAACTGAGCTTCAAGCCCTGAGTTCGACAGTTCAGAACATTCATGAAACCTTAGGCGGTGGGGTAGCACCGGCACAAGATGCGCCATTCCCGGAACTCGTTCCTAAACCAATGTCTTCTAAAGCCATTGTTAGTGCTTCTGAACAACCTGCTCTTTTTGATGCGCCATCATTGGCCGGATTTGAGTCTCAGCTGGAGAGAACACATGCGGAGCTGGCTAGCCACATGGACAAGATTAAAAGTCTAGAGTCTACGTTGGCTGCGTACAATAATATCAAAGGCGAGGTGGCTGCACTCAAAGAGGAGCTTAATCAGACTAAGCAAGGCCTTTCAACATCCCAAAACTCTATATCAATGGTTAAGCCTCACGACACAGAATCACAATTGCCTGAACATGTCAGGGAGGCGACATCGGGCTTTGATTATGCTATAAGTGATATGACTACGGATACCCTTAAAGCGCGTGATACCGACTTTTCGGAGACCGATGCGGACACAACAGAGTCTATGCCTTTGTTTCAGCCTGGCATGGACTCAGCTAACATCACGATCACAAAATCTGAATTAGCATCATTGCTTGCACGGATTGAAACCCTAGAGCAAGACAATCGTACTATGAAGTCTGACATGGCCGTTGCATCGAACAGGTCAGATATGTCTAATTTTGATATGACTGCGTTGCTTGGTCGAATTGAACGTCTAGAGAGTGCCACACAACTGCAGCAACAACTGGAGCCTCCTACCTCGCCTGATATCAATGACCCCTCTTTGGCCGAATGGCGTGCGACGTTTGAGCAACGTTGGAAAGAACAATCTTTGGACTGGGAAGCCGCCCAGCAGAAAATTAACGATGTGATTGGATCGTGGGGTGATCCCACCACGCCTCGTGTGCTTACATTCGGTGGACCATTGGATGAGAATGAGAATGAAGACGATAACAAGGTAAGCCACTGGTCCGACCGGTTTGTTGACCCTACCTATCAAGCCTTAGGCATTATGGTGATTATGCTGGGTTTGGCTTTACCAACAGTGCTTATTTTCACGGCGCTAAAGTATTTACTATTCTATTAATGAACTCCGCAGGGCAGGTTTATTTCCCGCAACCTCAATACCCATACTCTCCTACGTAGGATGATAGCTGTATGATCTCTGACGATCCATGTACTATACTTATAATAGCAACAATGCAATAAGAATCGACACACTATCGCTCGAGCGCACATACAATTCGCGCGACCAAAAGAAACATGGGAATAAGAATATTTTTGACCTGGCTCTATGGAGTGCCAAGATACGTAAAATATCTGCAAGCCTTGAAGTCTTGACGAAGAACTTGAGTGCTTACAAACGTTACAGTGCAAAAAGGCCGTACGTTGAATACAGGTTGTGTATTTACTTCAGCTTCTTAGCGCCGATCTCCTTCACGTCAAGACCTGATCATATATTAGTACATGTCCATATTGAAGCCTAGAGAGGGCTCTTTTCATACATACCCGGAGGGAGCGACTGCTTCAGCTTCTCAGCCTTCTCGGCGTCGTCAACAACGAGGGTGTAGAGGTAACGCGAGCAGCGCAGCTTGAACTTAGTCTGCACGTTGCGGTTAGCAAGCACAGTCTTCTTCACGCGCGCCGCCTTAGCGTCAGGGCGACGAGCAATCGCCAGGAAGTTCTTAATGTCCGTCACCTGCTTGGGCTAAGAAAGATACGCGCCAAAGGAAAAAGCGCAAATGTTAGCAACATGGTCCCATAAATAAAGCACACCTGCTCTTTATATCCAGGATTGTCTATAAGAGCCAGGTGCCATACAAATGCACACGTACCATCCTGTCGTCTCGCGAATGCGTTGGGAGAAAGGAGCTGGAGTGCTGCACCAGCCGGTGTAGGTCAGCGACTTCGCCTCCATAGCACGGTCAGAATATTGTTTATCACGTGAACAACTGGTATATGCACGTGACCCCATAGGGCTTAGACTGGCTTGGAAAACGTTGCTGGGCCCAAGTCTTCTACTTGTCCATCCCAATACGGCAACGTGAGTACGATTGTTGCCTCTTTGATTGAGGCATTTTCTTTGGACATTGTACTAACACCTACCAGATGGCGCCTAAGGTCCGTTCCGCCAACCAGGAAGTTTCGCTCGGCCCCAACGTCGATGACGGCAAGATCGTTTTCGGTGTTGCCCAGTATGTATCATGCTTTATACAATGCATGCTTGTGTGAGGGCTCGATAGAGACAGCTTCGTGGTGGCTGTTATATGCTTGCCTTCACTGAACATGTATTGGACAACAATTGTGAACAAAATACTAACGCCCTTCAGCATCTACGCCAGCTTCAACGATACCTTTGTCCATGTGACTGATCTTACCGGCAAGGAAACCATCGTCCGTGTGACTGGTAAGTGTCCATTACAGAGTGATAGCTATTGCTCTGGTGTGCGGAACAGTACTAACTTTTTTAGGTGGTATGAAGGTCAAGGCTGACCGTGACGAGTCGTCTCCTTACGCTGCTATGCTTGCTGCCCAGGACTGTGCTGCTCGCTGCAAGGAGGTCGGTATCACTGCTGTGCACATCCGCATTCGTGCCACCGGTGGTGTCGGTTCGAAGACCCCCGGCCCGGGTGCTCAGAGCGCTCTGCGTGCGCTTGCCCGTGCTGGCATGCGCATTGGTCGCATTGAGGACGTGACGCCGGTCCCGTCCGACTCGACTCGCCGCAAGGGTGGTCGCCGTGGTCGCCGTCTGTAAACGTGTCGCCCACAACTGTTTGTACGGTATGTGTGGATTGCGTTTCGTTTTCCCCTTCCGGTGAGATGGTGTGTCTCGCACCATGCTAGCCCAGCATAGTTCCTCGCTGTGCATGGTCACTGTACTTGATGATAATCTGGTCCTATATGGTTAGATTTCATTCTATTGGATACTTCTCCAATTGCCAATACAAAACTTTGCCTCGAATGAAGGCTTTGAAACGCTATTTTTACTGTGTTTTATCGGTAGATTTGTGGCTCATTGTTGCGTGCATGTGTCTGTCTATTTACGACTGCGTAAATTTAGCCAGCATCTGTGAGAGAAATGTTAGTGTATGCGAAAATCAGCGACATACTTCTTGTTGCTGTAGTTGGTCAGAAGTAGGAAGCCCCATTTGCTTCGATGTAAGTATGTATATGGCATACCTTTTGCCTGTTATCAAACTGAAAGAAAGGTCAGCACATATCAAACATACCATCATCTTCTCGACCATAGCTCTGTGACGTTAGATTCTGCATAGACCTACCGAGTTTCTCCATCCAAATCACTCAGACTTGAGTCTTCTGGTTTGATCTTCCTCGTATCTATTTTTGGGTGATGTGTCACGACATGAGGCCACCATTCATTCTGATTTTCTTTTTCCAAGTATATAGACAATAGAGATCCATCATCTTCTGCATAAGCTTTCTTAAATATGCTGAACGTACCAATTGTCCAAGTGCTATCATCCGTCAGAATAGGCTTAGGCAATGCACCCTGCATGTAAGTATACGTGTATACCTACCTCAACGATAATGCTTCCATGCACAGTCACGCTAATGGATGTTCGCTTGAGCGTCAATTGTACTTGCTTTGAGCGTGTGCCTGAAGGGACTGGTATCATCATTTCGACATGGTCTAACGTTTGTGTCCACTTGTACGGTAATGCTTCCTGCTCTAGTTTTTCCTTTGCAAGAACTTCTGAGTCATACTTATCTCGTTCTTCTTGAGATAAGCGTGAGTATGCATCATCAGTGAGGCTCATTGTGTTCCGTCCAGCCAAGATTGTGTTTCTCTCACGCTCTGGCCAAGTGGAGGCGGTAAGACAACTAACTAACTGGTAAGCCATAATTATATATACAATAATTACGAAGACGTTTTACGAGCTAGGTGAGGTATCTGTTACAGCCACAGAGAAGTCCACAGTATCAGAAGGGTTTTTGCTAATAGATTGAATCTTGGGAGGAGGCTTGACAAATACATAACTGATCAACCCTCCCGCTGATGACAATGGCTAAAGGTAAGTAGTAAAGGCAACGTACAGTACTGGCCATATATTTTCGACTCAAGTGTTTCAGGAAATCCTCATCTTGTGTGGGAGCTGATATTAGCAGTCTGAAAACATACATTTCTCAAAAAATACTGTGTCTGAAGCAGATTTACTTGGCATGATCTGGCTGCCGGCTTGTGCCTCCTCCAGACTGTATGCCCTTTGAAGCGCCTCATCAAAGTGAAACGTGCGCGCATATGTAGTGAAGTTATAGTGCAAAAATGAGCCCAGTTGCATGGCTAGTTTTTTTCGTTGGGCCTTCTCATACTCTGTTTCATCCGATAATTGTGCTGCAGAAATGAATCCGCGTGGCTGACGTGAAGTGAGTTGAAGAGTGTCTTCCACATCATCACTTGTACATAACAATTGACTCGGGTCTGTGCCCGAGCCATTACAAGTACACCCAAGAAGATCATGCGTCAAACAAAGCGAGTCAGGATGAAAATTGAAAATGTCCTTTAACTCTTTTTCCGAGAAGGAATCACTGTCCGTTGACGGATCATAGCTGTCTTGAGCCTCGTTATTCATCAGAGAATCGCTCAACCCAATCTTTGTAGTTTGGCGCTGGTAGATTTTCTCATCCAATGTGCCAACCAAAAGAAGTCGATAAATATAGCAAGGTTTGGTTTGACCATCTCGATGGATTCGCGCCATGGCTTGACGATCCGTAGCTGGATTCCAATCGCTGTCAAATAGGATTAGTCGATTTGCACCGATCAAATTTAACCCGACACCACCTGATTTGGAGCTTAGAAGAAACACAAACGGATCGGTCTCGTTACGGTGCTCTGACATCCGATTGAATTGGCCTACCAGCTTCACTCTGTCGTCTGCCTTGGTTCGCCCATCGAGTCGTAACGTGACGAATTTTTGGTTGATGCAGTATTTTTGTAGTACGTCAAGTGTGGTTGTGAAATTGGACACTAATATGACGCGATCATTGGTCGTTTCATAGATAGATTTGAGTAAATGGTGTAAGACCGCCAACTTTCCACTGCTTTGCAAAATCATAGAGCCACCTGTGGTATGGAAATGATCCAGTATATCCCTGGATGCTTGCGCCAACGCCTTGACATTCGTGTCAGGTGTACGTCCAGATTCGGAAATGTCAGATCGGAGAAGTTCAGTTGAATTACAAAGCTGCCGGAGCAGTGTAATGTAGGGAAGATGACTGCGACTCATCCCAAATGTAAGTTCGTAGTTCACAAATTCTGAGCACATGCCATAAATCCGACGCTGCAATGGAGTCATAGTACAAAAGACCACCATCTCGTATTTTGGTGGCAGGTAAGACTGAAGAATATCGGCAGTCCGACGTAAAATGATACCTTTGGTGATCATGCTAAGCTGCCACATTAGACGGTAGGATACTTACTGCTTTACTTCGAGCACGGCCAAGCTGTAAAGCTTGATCTGAGCAATATTGGACACGGCTGCGCATGATAGGGTCCTCGAAGACACGCTTAAAAACAGAATATTGGTCAAACAATCCGGGGTATACAAAATCCATCATGGTATAAAATTCTCGTAAATCATTCTGAATGGGTGTGCCAGTAAGTAATAGTCGCCGATTCGTTTGTAGTAAATCGAAACACTTTGTTGTCTTTGTATCTTTAGATTTCAGACGGTGCCCTTCGTCGCATACAATGAGACCAATAGGAGGCACGGATTTCGCCAACTCTTTCGCACAGTTACGCAGTCGTTCATATCCTAAAATCAAGACTTGATACTGGCGCCCTGTTACAAAGCGTTCCACTTCACTGCGTCCATCGCCTTCAACAGCTAACACACCAATCGAACTACGCCCCATCCATTTTCGGAACTCGCGTTTCCAATTCACGACAAGAGTGAGTGGGCAAACAATTAGAACCTTTTCGACGGTGCCAGTAGTAACAGAAGAGAAGTAACAGTTTTGGCGCAGTAATGTTGTGATTAAAGCGATAGTTTGGAGAGTTTTTCCTAAACCCATTTCATCGGCTAGGATGGCTCCTTGCCCGGGTGTTTCGTGACCAGCTTCAACAGAAGTGATCCCTGTCACAGCTTCATACATAAATTTCACGCCCTCAATTTGATGTGGTCGTAGGATTCGCGTCAAGCTTGGGTCTAGTACAACGTCCACGACAGGCAGACCACGGCCAAAAAGCTCTTGGTGTTTGGGGCTTGGACGCTTCATAACAACGGCATCGGGATCATTAGGGTTGTATCGTGGATGTGGGTCCTGCATGTTTCGTAGAGGTAAATGCTTGTCAATCTGACTCGGAAGGATGGATGAGGATTTCGAGTTACCGGAATAAAACTGCGAGGCAGGTATAGTGCGCTGCCTGGCAGCCAGCGAAGATTTGGAAAGAAGAGGACGATGAACCGGCTTGACCGGGTGTTGGTCATCTTTTTCTTCTGATCCGTCAACATTGGTATCATTCAATGCGCGTTCAATCATGATTTCTTTACCCCCCACATAAAGTTCGTCTCCTGCTTGAACGCTGTGCTTTCGAAACGGTGCATTAGTCACAATCATACTCCCGTCATGCGTAGAGCGAAGAGAACAGGTCGTCTTGTTTCCGTGAATAATTAATATGGCATCACCATCCCATGTCTTATGCTTCCTAGATTGTGGCACACGCCACTGGCACAAGTAGCTGGGCTCTAAAGCACTAGGAAGAAGCGGTACAGGTTTCGGTGACTCAGGTGCATGTCTAGGCAATGGATGATGTTGAGCTGGATGAGACTCTCCCTCTGGATGTTTTCGTTTCAATGGCGTATGGAACTTCGACAGCAGCTTTCCTTGCGCCTCCTCGGAGGAGAATGTCGCCATGCCGTCCAACGTTATATGCGCGTCGCGCGCAACTTGGTGGTATTTTCTTAGCACGTGATAGGCTTTCAACACGCATGGGCCTCTCCTGTGGTGCAATGCGTTCTATGCACACTACAAAAAGTCTAGTCCGATACCGAATTGGATACCTTTCCTCGCCCCGTCGCCCACGCGCGCCAGCAAAGGAAGTCCGAAGTTCAACTCTAAGCGCACAGGTCCTTGTTGGAATAGCACACCCACACCTGCAGAAGCAGAAGGTTGCATGAGCTCCGAAAATGTGCGCAGTCCCAATGGTTGATCTTATGGTTAGCCAATATCGATACATACGAGGCTGCATCTGCATAAGTTGTCCAGTATTGAGGAAAGTATGGAGCCGAAGTGGCCAGTGGGACCGAGTGGGAATAGGGGCCAGAAGACTAGCTCCCGCTGCCCAATAGGCGTCGCCACCCAAAGATTCGTCTGAAAATGAGATACACATGTCATACGTACGCTTTTGCTTGGGACCTAGTGTGTTCATACGGAACATGCGAACGCAAGTAGGTCCACCAAGCATAAATCGATCGCTCAAGCATGGGGCTCGATTGTCCAAGGTTTTCATGATACCAGTTCGGAATCCCAGTGACCATGACTGAGGTAAGAACCATATTGAATACATACCCATCCTTCTGATAACATGTCAGATACACTCGCCTGTGTTTCCATCTTCATAAAGGATGTATCTCCTCCCAAGCCTGCATACTCCAACACGGTCTTGAAATACGATCCCACCAAATTTGCGGAAGAAGGGTCGCGTAAATCCCTCTCCATGGTATACGTTATGGCAGACTTGATGGACGGCTTCGCAAGGCGTCGCAAACTAATGTCAAAAAGAATCATGATACATACGCAACGGAGGCCTCAGGCAAAATATGGTGGAAGTGGCGGTGGCTGGCCTCATAGGCAAGTTCATGTCGAGTGCCATTCAAATGAGCATACTAATGTTAGAAGGAATAGACGCACCATCAGAGCGGATCGGAGCACATGCTGAGCCTCGTGAGCGCTTAAATAGCCAGTCAGGTCACGATGTTGTGACATAGCGGAGACATTGGCCCACAAGTCGGGGCAGGAGAGGACAGGAGTAGCAAACGCGACCTAATATATGGTGAGCCATCATGCAGAAAATAACTTACGTTGTAATTGTGCTTCGTTCGCGTTCCGAGTGTAGCACTACCTTCCAGACTCTCAGCACCACCAAACAGGTTCCTGATTTTTCCCTGGACAGAGGCAGTTCCCTCACTATTGCCGACACTAGTGCTTGTCTTCAGGAAAAAGCGGCTAGCTGGGCGAATACGGAGAACCACATCGACGTCTTCATGTGGATGACGGTCAGATACAGTAGAAGGCTCAAGCTCGACAGAAATGTCTTTGGCTAAATCCATTCGCGATATGTCAGCGCTGAACGATGTCGCTGATTGCAGGATAGCATGAATCGTAGTAGGTTGGCCAGGAAGAGGGAAGTACATACGATGCCCATAGCGCAGATCAGACAAGAAAGCTTCCGGCGCTGTAGGATCCACATACGGCCTGCACATCCCAGCCAAAAATCCATTCCGTGTATCCTTGAGCCCAGTAATGCGAATAGCTGCGAGCCGCAAAATCGGAATGTCATGGAGGTCGACTAAAGGCTGCTGTAGTTGGGCCATGGCTTTCGGTAGATTGTGCAAGAGGTCATTTTCTTTCGGGAGCGAATTCGTCTCGGCTCTTCCCTGAGCTTCTAGCTCTTCTGGCGTAGGTAACAATGTATGCGCCGCATCGCTAACAACATCACCGGCACTCATGGGTGGGAGTGATAGGGCCTGTGCTCTCAGAAGCGCGATCTCGTCCCACAAACCACGTGGCATACAAGTGGAGTATGCTCGACCCTCTCGCCAGTGGACTTTTTTCTAGTGCGGTGTGTACTACGCCCAGCCGACAACTCGTACGGTCGTAGGCTTGGCCACAACGCCATGTTTGTTCTATCAGAAATTGAGGTATGTATTGTCTACATGGTATACTAATCCCTAGGATACCATCAAGGTTGAGCCGAAAAATTTCCACAAGCCAAGTGCGACGGCCATTGCAGAACAAATCAATGTAAAGTACGCAAATAAAGTAAGTACGCGTACAGGCTTATACGATAGGTTCTTCAGGATGTGGGGCTGTGTATTTGTGTCCATGATATTCTTGAAGCTAGTGAGGGTCGCATTCGGTGGGGTGATGGGTGCTTATACTACACCGTTCTCTTTCGTCTAGTGGTCTTCCGACCTTTTATCAATGAGGTCCTCGTAGGACGGATCACATCGTCAACGAATGAGTCGATTCGGGTTTCTATGGGATTCTTTGACGATATTTATATACCACCGCATCTTCTTCCTACGCCCTCTGCTTTTGACTACCAAGAGCAAGCGTGGTTTTGGCTCCTAGATCCATCGTCGGATGCACATGTAGCTGACCCATTGTTGTCGGCTCCCGAGGAGCGGATGTATCTGGACGTCGGAGAGACAATACGCTTTGCGATTGAATCAGACAGCTTCTATGATATGGAGCCAGGGCCAGCTGTGGGGGAAGGAAAGCTCGGTGAGACCCCCACAGGTGTCGGAAATATTCCCGGAGATCCAGGCTCGAAAGGGTCCACGAACTATGCGCCTTACCGTATTGTTGGCTCTATCGCCGGCCAGGGTCTAGGATTGGTATCGTGGTGGGCCGGTGCAGAACAAGTCCCTGTAGAATAATTCACGTAATCTCCATGTCCATATGATATATTGTCGTCCAAAGACAAGGCCAACATGTACCATGATGTACGCAGAAGAATGAATGGAATGCTGTGTAAAGAGAGACTACATAAAACCATATCCTTGAAAAATCCATCTTACGTGCGAGCTGAAATCGTAAGGACAACTTTCGCGTGTTTGAGTTCAGGTGTCCCGCGACGAAGGGCCGTCGACGAAGATTCCACAGAATCAGCTGCCGGCTTTGTATTAAGATTGTACCCTTTGTTTTCCTGGTCCGCTGTTGGCGTGGTGTCTGCACTGGCAGGCGTCACTTGGACAGACACAGGTGTCGGGAGACTATGCATGTCTTTGGAGGCGGGAATACCCATAGGTATATTTTCCAAAGGCTGCTTCACTGGACCCAACGTATCCAAACGTGGGTTCTGCAGGTAATAAAACGGCTGCTCCTCTTGCCGTGATGTCCCAGATGTAGAGATGCTGCGAGAAGATGAAGGCGTCGGCATTGTAGCAATGGGCGCTAAAGTCCGAGGCGACGATGCCAGGGCAGTAGGACCACTATGGGTCATGCCTCCCGTGCTCGTATCATTGCGCGCCCAGCTCATAGGTGCCTTCACAGGAGGTGTAGGTGGATGAGAGGAGCTTGATGACGGTTGAACGTCTTGCGCCGTAGCCTTTTCCACTTGGAAAATGGGTTGCGATGCGCTATCGCTCCAACCTCGTATTGGCCTGGTGTTTGTAGGGCTGGCGCCTGTAGAAGATGAGATAGGGTAAAGGGTATCTGAGGCAGACGTCGAAGCGGACGTTTCTTGTGACACATTGGTAGCTGATGCAGAACGTTTCTGCAATTTGGGCCGCGAAAAAATATTCAAGTTCTCAAAAGGACCATGAGCCTTCCCCTTGCGAACATCATCCTTGAGTGCATTCGCAGATACCTTCTCACCCGCTTGCTCGTCGGACTGAGAAAGAGAGCGACCACGGTTTTCATTTCGGATAAAACGCTGGTTCTTGGTCGGAGACTCGCGGTATTTCTCAGGAATCAAAGTCTGAGGGTTAAGCTCTTCCGTATGGACCACAGGCTGCCGATCGGCCCGTTTGCGGCGTTCGATTCGTGAAAAGAAGCCATTTGATGTAGCGGGCGTAGGCGTTTGTGCCAATAAAGAGCCACCGCCCAGATGGACATGGTACTCATCGACCTCCTCATCGGAATCTGACGGGATAATGATGTAGCTTTCAACTTCGGAAGAAATCTTGGTTGTCAGGTCCTCAGGCGAAACATCTTTGGGAGGTGGAGTCGATAGAGCCAAGACAAAGTGGTCCTGGTGCTCAATCAAAAACTCAATAACATTGACTGCTAGCATATGATCATCCTTGGACGAAATGCTAGGGTGATTCAATATGGCTGGTTGGAACACAATTGCCAAATTTTGAGCTGTCATCTTGTTCGTAGCAGATTTGCGCTCGAACATAGCCAACAAATCCAGGATATACAACATCAGGTATTGATTGGCCTGAGGGCACGCTTTGATGAGAACGCGGAACTTTTCGATTTTGGTATCTGTATCAAGATCCAACTTTGCCAGTACGCGACAGAACTTCTTAAACTGGTTCCTTGGAACAATAGGTTCTGGCATCATGTTCAAGTACCGACGTAATACACCAGCGGCATCGTGCACTGTGTAGACGGACCAGTCTAGCGACTTCCCATAACTAGGCGGTGCATCGAGCAAATCTTGCAGCTCGCGCATACGCTTTTCGGACCCGCCAACACGGAATACGCCTTCTGTTTCAAGCGCATGTTGCTTTAAATGCAATCCAATCTTGGCGACGGGAGAGGGAATATAACCCCAAACATAGGGCTCACCGTCCTCTTTCATTAAGCTAATAGCGACACTCGAGTGTTTTAGTACATGGTGAAGCGGTGCACCAAAGATGGAGTCCGGGTTGATCTCAAGACGCTCTTCACGAGGTGAGACCGCTCCGCGCACACTGAACGCCGACCACCATGACTTTAGTCCACCCAGAGTCGCAGCGGGATCATCCCACCGTGGGGAAGTCATTTTATCAACGCAAACGAGAGCAGCTGTTTGCGGGAGGTCTAAAAGGAAAGAAACGTGGGCTTCAACGGACTCAACGGCTGACCAACGTTTGTCAAAGAGATACGGGTGACCGAACAATAAAGCAAGCGAGTATTGTCAACCTCTGTCTCTGCACAAAGCTGCAGTCCGCCACAATGGATTACCAGAGTCGCGCGTCTGCATTCACCCGCCACGCGGTGCCAGTGCCCCGGAAATGGGATTATGCAACGTACATTTTGTTTTTGCTGCGACTGGGCGCGTGGGATTTCCTATTTTATTTAACCGTACGTAATCTCTCCTTTAGTAAAAACCTAAGACATGACCTTAAAAAATGAAAAAATGCACAAGACCCTGTCCAATCTGCGACACTAAAGGATTTACATAGAAAGGTCCGAGGAACAAGGCAACACCTCGCCCGAGGGTGTCAACGTGACTCGATGGATAGCATATTGTGAAGCGCGTACGTTCGACTTGGGATGAGGACTACCTTGGGTGACGTGGATTTGTGCCTGAGGAATAAACCAACCCGATCCACGTTCCTTGGTGAGTTCATGGAATAGCCGAGCGACATCCGCTTCGTTCATCCTGACACTCAGGGTGAGCACCTCGCATCGGAGCCGGTAGGCAGAGAGCATAGCTTCTACCACGACCCGTACATCAGAGTATTTCTGTTCAACAGTAGACATGTCGTCCACGAGACGTCGGAACAAGTGCGAAAAAGACACCGTATCAGACGACACAGACGTGACCAAAGAAGCTAGTACATCTTGGGTTAACATACGGCTTTGCTCTTGTGCATAAGACAGCAGTGCACTCGATGCTGGAGCCGCATTCCTAGCGGATAGGGTATGTTCCAAAGTCATTAACGCATGAAGAAGGCGGAACCACAGTTCACGCGCATCTTCCATTACTGCATCTTTCCTGTTCGTACGCTCAATACAGAGACGTGACGCCATGTGTACAAGATCACGTAGTTGCTGGAATACATGTTGTGTTTGTATCCAAAGACGCCCATGATGATCATCCATGGCATTGTTGACATGTTGGGTCACAGTATCGATGTGCTTGTCTAAGACATCCATGCCATATGGCGTTTGTCCTTGGCGATCATAGATCCATAGCACAGCATGTAAAACACCAAAATCCTCAGCCTCTTTTCTAGCATGGTCCAGATCAAAATAGGAAAGGCTATGCGCCTCCAATTGCGCCACAAGTTGCGAGGGGCAAAATTCGGCCAAGCGAGTCATCCACAAACGACGAAGAGGGATAGGCCAATCTTTCATACTGGGTTGGTCCAAGGAAAAGAAAAACGTCAGGTATAAATACTGGCGTTGAGGGGTGCTGTTAAGCTCATCCAAAACGGCATCATTGAGAGAAACAAAATACCTGGATACAACTTGTGCGAGATCGCCAAGCAAAGAATCAGGTACATCGGCAACGGAACTGACTAGAGTAGGATGGAGCTGATCACGCTGGGCCGCCTTACGCAAGCCTGATCGGCTAAGCATTTCAGCAATGCGTGCATACAGCTGGCCTGGTGCATGGTGTGATCCATCGAGGTCCAATAGGTAAAAGCGAAATAATTCGTTGAATTGGTGTGTTTTGAACAAAGCTTGTTCATAGATGTGCCAGAAGGTAGCACGCCGTAGAGCTGTGATGTGCGCCTCGTCCAGCTGGATGGGGTGAACAGACAAGATGCATTCCAGGGCATATTCACTGTCCATGTGATTGGTCACATCACTTGTTAACACAGTGAAAACCCATTGGACCTGTTGATCCGATAAGGACACAAATTGAGGGTATTTAGCAGCATTCCGAGCCACAAACAGTGCAGTAAATAAAGATACATCCTCCGGTATAGATGGTCCTTGGCAGGCTTCAAGTAAGATTTGCACCACTGTCTGTCGGTGAAGCCATGAGGAAGGACGTTCATCGCCGAAGATGTCGGTTTCAAACGCAAGATCAATACCATCGAAGAAAGGCTCACTATCCAGACTCCATACCAATCGGAGATATGGATAAGGTTTGTGATCCAAAGTAGGAATAGCACCATGCCCCACCCATTCAAAAGGTCCCTTGGAAAAGAGGCAGGACATTATATCCGAAGCAGCTTTCACCGCGTCTGTCGGTTCCATGGGTGTGAGGGATGGATATCGAAGTCCACGAAGATAGGCAGACAGCAAAGGAAAGATGGCATACAAATTGGCATTCTCGGCAGAAAATTCGTGCCGGAGCAGCTGTGTGCAGAGCGTGGATAGAAGGTAGGCCACGGGGGTAACATAATCATGCATCACATGTTCGCAAACATGGGCCATTGGGCCCCATAACCCATGCTCCGAGCAGACACGCAAGACTTGGTCCAGATCGAGTTGCAGAGGATCAACATGCAGAATTAATTGAGACACTTCCTCGTACTCTTGTCTTCGGTCACGGAAAGCAATCAGACGTTGTACAACGCTGGGCGGTGGGGTATGAAGTTGACCACGAAGAATAAACTGCTCAAGTTCGTGAACATAAACCTCCTCCATATCGTATTGTTCATAAGCCCAATACAAGTCTCCATACAGGAAAGTCTCATCCGCTGTAGCAATAGCCACTTGGCCACATAAGTGGACCAGTGTGTGTGCATCTGCGGGGGAAGCGGAAAGCAGGCGTAGTGCGTTTTGTTGAATCGTTTGGAGCCTCTTGGCAATAATGTATTTCTGCTCCGATCGGCTGTCAGGCAACCCAATACCAGAGCCAAGAGATGTGCCATGGTATAAATCCAAGCCCAATCGTAGAGCCTCATACCAGTCTTGTGCCTGTTCGAGCTCTTGCAATCGCGCATCCCAGGGCAAAAAGTCACCTGTAAAGAACTGGTCTTCTGCCAAAAGGAAGGCTTTGCTCCGCCATACGTAGAGAGACAATGCACACGTGGAAGAGGTGGCCATGTGTTGCGCTACAATGGGATCATGCGGCTGCCATTCTGTGTATGCATTCTTGCGCATATCGTACAAAAGCCATGCATTGTCTGTCACCACAAAAAGAAGTTGCCTGTGGACCCATTGCAGTCGTACAATGGAACTCGGTGCGGAAAGGAGGGTATCTTCGGCCATAACAATAGCCGATGTGGCTGGGTCTTCAGGGGATCGAGGTTTGACACGGACAGAGCGGACATGCAATAGTCGAAGTTGAGAACCAAAAGCGAAGGCTAGAAGGGGATGTTGCACACTTTTCTCCTGCACGATAGCGGGGAACCAAGCTAATGCTGCCGTTTGGCAAGACTCGGGGACGGTGCTTCGATACCAAGTCCGCGCTGATGGCTGTAGACCAATAAGGAGCAGCTTGTCGGACAACAACAAAGCGACAAACCGATGGGCATTGGAAGGATGATCTGTCGTGCCCACGGGCAAAGGCATAGCATCAAAGATATGTGGCGAGTCATGCAATGAATATTGACCATAAATGCGCAATGTATCATTGGAAGCCATACCGAGCATACGTCCCAAAGAATGGTAGATACAAAGGCCATGCGCATCTGTACTTAAGATCGCTGTTTTACGTGCACCGACAAAATACAGGTGCGTGATGGGTGAGCCTTCGAAATGACCTTCGCCACGACCAGCGCGAACCACAGTCGGATCAATAGGCGGGACATGTCGAGCTGGTTCATCCGCTTGGAAAAGATCGTAAAGGAAGATGTGGCCTGAAGCATGACCTACGCCCACGTACGTAGCTTCCTGTGACACGGATAGGGCGGTTACAGCATGTCCATCCCCATACGCTGTATTGGACATACATGTAGCTCGATGACGTTGTGACATATCAAAAACCAAGGTTGCGCCATGCGACAAGCCAACGACAACCAACCCACCGGAGACATGAAAGCATGTAATGGTCCCATGTTCTGCACATGCATGGGATATTGTTCGAAGCACATGCAGAGAAAGAAAGGGGCGAGCGATGGGTCTAGTGCTTGGCTCCTCTGAAGCGACGATGGTCGAGGCAGCGTTTGTCGTGGCTTGATCTGTTGTTTCAGAGATCACAGAACCGGGATCCCACGTTACACTGTCCACAATAGATATGGTATCAGGTGACATATGAGCTTCTTGAGCATGCCAAGGAGATCGAAGGCGATGGAGCGTAGTGAAATGGGGTGGACGTTTGACGCGATGATGCGTGATACGATGCATCGCTTCTATGATGGGAGGACTTGGAGAACGAGATCGTGCCGATGCACTTGGATCAGGCGATATCTTGTGCAACGGCACATCGATGGGGATATTCGCTTCGTTACGGCTGGAACTGGGAAACTTGTTGTTCTGTGGCGGATCGGCAAACAGACGTAACTCCTGCATGTCCTCGCCCCATACCTGAGCAGGGGACGGGAGCATGATGCCTGAGTCGTTCGTGACCTCTTCATCCCAGTCTGTCCCTCGTAAGGGGTCATGGCTTAAGTCATGGCGATCCGCCGACATGAGCTCTCACCAACCCCGTACGAAGTGACCGTCACACAATCAGCCTCATCTCCACACGCAGGCGGTGCGGTGCATGGACACAAGCCAAGTGCTACCATCACGTGCTGAACGCACGGTGCATCGTTGCCACTGCAAACAAAGACCAATCAATGCATTACTTATATATGTAGGTACAGACTAGCACATTACGGACGCGGCTCAGGAGGAGAGGATGCCAGCTTGGGCTCAGGGCTGATTTCCTCCGGTGGCGGCGGAGCACTGGATTCGCCCTTGCGGGCCAAGCGGCCCTTCTTGTCAAGGTATTCATCAGCCTCATCCGCATGCTTGAATGGACGCTTGCCCAGAAGATTGGTCATGTCCTCACGCGTAATCACTTCACGCTCCAGCAAGAGCTTAGCCACCTTTTCGACATCATCCTTGTGCTTCGTAAGAAGCTCTGTGGTGCGCTTGTGGGCTTCCATCACGAGAGCCCGAACTTGCTCGTCCAAAAGCTCACCAGTGCGCTCCGAATAGGGCTTGTGCATTGACTCTTGGTCCGTGCGATAAGACACAGGACCAAGTTTGTCATTCATACCATATGATGCACAGATCTCGAACGCCATGCGCGTAATCTTTGACAAGTCATCCTGTGCACCGGTAGTGATGCTGCCGAAGAAGATTTCTTCAGACACACGACCACCCAGCGTCATGCACATACGGTCTAGCAGCTGCTCCGTGCTGAATAGGTAGCGCTCCTTAGGCAAGTACTGCGCATATCCCAAAGCTCCAACACCACGAGGGATAATGGAAACCTTCAGCAAAGGATCAGCATGTTCGAGGAACCAACCACAAACGGCATGGCCAGCTTCATGGTAGGCAACCGTCGTCTTTTCTTCAGGGCTCAGGACACGCGATTTGCGCTCCAGTCCCGCAATTACACGCTCAATCGCAAGCTCAAAGTGGTGCTCTTCAATAGCATCCGCACTCTCTCGCGCCGCAATCAAAGCAGCTTCGTTGCAGACGTTGTGGATATCAGCACCACTAAAGCCAGGAGTCAGCGTACTAAGCTTCTCGGCAAGTAGTTCCACATTGACATCCTCCCTTACCTTCAAAGGCTTGAGATGCACCTCGAAAATGGAACGACGACCACTAATGTCCGGGCGGTCAATAGCAATGTGACGGTCGAAACGGCCAGGACGCATCAACGCAGGGTCAAGCACGTCTGGACGGTTGGTGCCTGCAAGCACTACGACATGCTCGTTCGTTCCGAAACCATCCATCTGAACAAGCAACTCGTTGAGTGTACTCTCACGCTCATCGTTGCCACCAAAGTTTCCGCCCTTGCCACGCTTTTTACCGATAGCATCAATTTCATCCACAAAGATAATGCAAGGCGCCATCTTCTTGGCCTTTGCAAACATGTCACGCACACGCGAAGGACCCACACCGACGAACATTTCCACAAATTCGGAACCAGATACACTCAGGAAAGGCACGCCCGCTTCACCCGCTGTAGCCTTGGCAACCAGCGTCTTACCGGTACCTGGTGGACCACTAAGAATCGCGCCACGAGGGATCTTTGCTCCAAGACGCTCATAACGCTCTGGGTTCTTCAAGAAACTAACAAACTCCATAATCTCTTGCTTAGCCTCGTCCATACCGGCCACATCGGCAAACTTTACCTTGACATCGGTTTCCTGGTTAAAGAGCTTTGCACGGCTCTTGCCGATACCGAAGATACCACCGGGACCGCCACCGCCTGCACCACCAGCACCGGTAGCGCGACGAGTGAGGTAAAAGAGAAGACCAGCGAGAATCAGAGTTGGAGCAAAGTGAAGAAGTGTTGAAGCCAGGCTAATAGATTCGTGATACGCGACAGGAATGCGTTCAGCCGATGGAATATTCAGTTCATTCTGGGCATCCTCCAAGTGGCGCTCAAAGGCTTCCACGCTACCCACGCTGAACCAGTACTGTGGCGAGCCTAGCATGGCGCCCGGCTGCTGCGGATAGGTAGATCCTGTGGAGTTGTTGTGCAGGTATACATTGACCTTGGAGCGGTTTACCACGACAAGACGTTCCACTAGACCCTTGTCCAAGAAAGCCGAACGGAATTCCTGCCATGTGATTTCCCTGGTCGATGCCTCCGGAGAGGTAAAGCGATAGAGTGCGTACGTGGTAATAATTGTCGCAATAATCAGGTTGAGGTTGTTGCGTGGATCATTGTTAGGCTGATTCTGGTTGCCCGTGAATCCAAACTTTTCCTTCTTCGTACCGTCATCCTCCTTCTTTTCTTCGTTAGGCGCTGACGACTCCTTGGAGTCTGGCGTCGCCGAAGCAGAGGAGCGTTTGTCTTTGTTGAAAAACTGTTTTAGTTCGTCAGGCACGTCGTCTTTCGTAGGTTTTCCTTCTTTGGCCTCACGCAATCCGCGTTCAATGGACTCATGGAATTCCTTCTTTCGTTGTTCATCAGGCTGCGGATCCGAAGGGGTAGCAAAGAACCGAGCAGAGAGGAGGGAGGTAGGGTAGCGCAGGCTCATGGGTGTCGGGATAGACCGACAAGAGCCCGATGATGAAAGGCTACGAGGCACCATATTGAGCGTGCGCATCCAGGGTATCAAGGATGCGTGGCTCCTGGACATGGTCCGAGTAGCTGCACGAGCGGAGGTGGCAGAAAGCATCACAACCGCTGTAGATGGGATTCAACCAGAAACGGGGAGAGAAATAAAGGATATAAAATCAAGAAGAGATGTCTACGCTGGAAGCAATCCCACGCCTGTGCCCTGTCGTACGTTCTTGACAAGAAACGCAGTACCTTGTCGCTGTCCAGAGATCGTGAGCGCTGTGGCGGAGGTCTGATCACCAGTGGCGTAAGCGCATGGTGACGCGTACCACGTGATATCGGCCGAGCCTCGGACCCTTTTGGTGATTTGCACGAACCGTATGCGGGCGGAGAGCCATTGGCAAGGGAGCAATCGCCACGCGTCTCTTCCGATTGCACGAGGATCGCGTGGCGCGTATTACGATCTACGCGTCGCGAAACAGGGGTGTGACCAACAGAACGACGTGGCCCTAGCGCTCCGCGCCTCCATTTTATACCGGTCTATCCTTGGTGTGTGTGGGCCAACCGCGGAGAGCCGCGGTGGGCTAGCCTTTCAGGTTTATAAGTCAACATGGATTTGACAGCATGGCTGCAGAAGCAGCAGCAACAGCAGTCACAACAACAACACATGCCGCTGCCTGCTACGAATGTACCTTCCCCGATGCAGATGCCGATGCAGATGCCGTTTGGGATGCAACAATCAGCGTTTCCCGCCCAGCAGGGGCCACAGAACGGGGGCCAGCTCCAGCCTCAGCAGTTGCAACAGTTGCAACAGCAGATGCAGCAGCAACAAATGCAGCAGCAGCAGATGCAACAGCAGATGCAGCAGCAACAGATGCAACAGCAGATGCAGCAACAACAAATGCATGTGCAGCAGCAGCAGCAATCTCAGCAGCATCCACAGCACATGCATATGCAGCAGCAGCAGCAGCAGCAGCAGCAGCAGCCGCAACCACAGCAACCACAGCCGCCGTCTTCACAACAGCCGCAGCCACCACCTATGCTGGGTATGATGAACCAGGCTGGTCCTGGCATGCCGCCGCAGATGAGCACGGGGTCGACGATGCCATCATCGATCACGCCTGCGCAAGTACTCCAGAACATTCAAAACAACATGACAGCGCTGCAACGGCAATGGACCGTGGTCAATGCCCAGCCGGACAATCCCAACAAGGGCACAGCTATTCAGTACTTGTCAGGGCAGATGCGGCGTCTCATGGCCATGCAAGAGTCGATTGTAGCTGCGGCGCGTGCGAATGGCACCGACCTGAACGTGAATGGGCCGCCACCTGCGCAGAATGGCGGCATGCCACCGATGTCGTTTGCGATGTCGTCACCTGCGATGCCGATGATGTCGCAGGCCTCGTCGCAAGCCCCAACACCAGCACCGCCAACGCAAGGCGCAGCGATGAGGATGCCGTCACCGACGTCGGCGTCCTCGCCAGCGTCCCTACCGCGATTCCCGCCGTCGATGATGCAGGCGCCATCGACCGAAGAGGCACGACGAGCGCCATCGCCTACGACGCGCACGACGCCGCAGGCGCCGCAGTCACAGCCACAGCCACAGCCGCCGCAGGCATCCACATCGCAACCACCTACGCGTGACTTTACGTCAGTGGTGCACTTGTTTCTGACCCAGCGTGGCATGGCGTTACCCCCTGACTGGGCCGCGCCGTTTGTGGGCCCGGCCGCAGGGGGCGGCGCGGCGGCGGGGGAGACGCGATCGGTTGATCTACAGACGCTCTTTGCCAAGGTTCTGAGCTTGGGCGGCTCAGATCAAGTGTTTACGATCCCGAATGGCTGGGCAATGGTCGCCCAGCAGCTCGGACTGGCCATTGGTGGGCCTAGTTCCACGCCGAATGCCGCGATCCCTGTGCCGAGCGAGGTGCCTGGACGTCTTGCCGCGTACTATACGCAGCGCCTAGCGCTCTTTGAAAAGTCATGGCTGGCCGCGCAACGTCGTGGGCCTGGGGCGGAGGCTGGGATGCCCGCGGCGCGTGTGCCGCCCAGTGCAGACACGGCGCCGGAGGCCATGCCACCGCCCTCGCCGACCACAGCGACGCCCACGTCAGGCACGCCTACGCAGCCATCCACGTCGGCGAATCCGTTTGCCTCGTTGGATCCCGCGCAAGTGCAGATGGCTGTGGGGCAGCATATGAGCCAGCTCCAAAAACTCGTGACGACCGGCCAAATGACGCCGCAAATGGCCATGGCACGGTACACATCGATTCAGCAGGCGGTCCAGGCGTACCATGCGGAACGGGCGTCGGCGTCGCCTTCGTCGATGCCCCCCCCCGTGTCGACGTCCACGGAGCCTGCCCAGCCTTCACCTAGTCCCGGGCCCTCGATGCCGACGCCGGTCATGCCTACGAACACGCCGCCCAGCCGGCCATCGCCTGCGCAGCCGGAGGCGGCACGCCCAGCGGAGGTGCGTCGGCACGAAGAGGTGGTGGCGCCGCCGCCGATCCAGACGTCAAGCCAGGTCGAGCCAAGTCCCGGACCTGCCGGCGCCGCCGCGCCCGTGCCAGTGCCAGCGCCCGCCGCCACAGGACCGCCGCCGTCGTCGGCGGCACCAGCAGCGCCGGCCAAGTACAAAATTACGTACATCCCGATGCACTTGGACGTAACGACGCAGGGCGGACGAGATTTGGACCGCCTGGACCGCGAATTGGCGCCGCGTCTCGCTGCGCGCGCGCGCCTTCGGACGGTGGCAGAGCTCGGGACAGTCGACGTGTACGGCCTGATTATGTCTTTGCGGTCCGGCTTGTCGTCCGAGATCGCGTACGCGCTCAATGTGCTCCTGATTCTCTCAGCTGGCGTGGGCGCGCCCAGCTCGTTCCAGCTGGCACTGGCGCCCTGCGATCCGCTGCTCGATGCGTTGCTGGATGTGCTGGCATCGCAGCTGCCGCTCCTGGCGCCGCCCGTCGACGTAGCGTGGACATCGCTGCGGTATGCGGATGCGATTGAGCTTGCGCTGCACGACGAAGGCCAACTACGTACGTTTGTACGCCGCAGCGCCTCGGCAGCGAAAGAGCGGGAGGCCGAGCGGTGTGCGTCGATGGTGCAGACGATTCTTACGATCCTGCGCAACGTGGCTACGATGCCGGACAACACGACGTACCTCGCGACACATACACGATGTGTGTCGATGCTCATGCAGATCGCCTACGCGGCTCTCCACGATGCGCGTTGGGACGGCCACAACGGTTCGTCGGCGGCGCTCGCAGCGCTCACCTTGCGCGAAGTGCTGCACAGCCTGAAGGATGTGCTTACCATGGTCCTTGGCCTGGTCGGCCCCACGCTGGATCTTTCGCAGCATGCGCCGGAGGTCACAACGACGATGCTCGATATGCTGCGCTTCTTTCTCCTTGACGCGGCCGAGTGGGAACGACGTGAAGGCGCCTCGCCGCATGTGCTCGAACGCCTCGCTGCGACGACGCCCAGTGCACAGGCCCTGCTGTTCCAAGTGCCGCACCATACCCGCCTCGCGCTGCAAGTGCTCTCGTGCCTGGCCTTGCCGGACCCGAATCGCGAGACGCTAGCACAGCGTACGCCCGCACCGGTGCTCCTGGAGCTCGCCGAGCACTTGGTCCATCTCCTGCCTGTGCACGTCCCTGATTTCCGGCGGCTCACAAGTGTCACGCGCTTGGAGTACACGGAAACCGCGGCGTTTTGTTTGTACCATGTCGTGTACTTGGCCCCACCGAGCGTCAAGGCCGACATTCGCGCGCTGCCAGGCGTCCCAGGGATCTTGTTCCGCGCCGCCAAGCACTTGCTGCAAAGTGCTTCGGACTATACCACGAACCCCTACGGCTTGCTATGTCGTCGACTCATCGAGACGCTGCGCACGCTGCAAGAGGGCAAGGATGTGCTCAGCGAGCCGCCGCTTCTTGGCATGTACTGGCCGCCGGACGAAGGCAGTGTCGCCAAGACGGCCAGCGACGCCGTGCCCATGTCGCTGGCGCTCGGCCCACACGAGGCAGAGGCCATCATGGAATGGCTCGCCCGCACAGCCAACGTCGATACGGGCCTCGCGTCGGACCTCTTGGCGTTGGTACGTGCTTGAATCTACGGCCATCTACGCGTCCGTCGTCAAACCTGGGTTTTTGTGCAGAATGACAAAGCCCTCCATAACTGTGATGTAAGTCGCGATAGTCATACATACTTGGGGCATACGATAGATACTCCTCTGTGGCCAGCACACCACGCTCTCGCGCGCCCAGCCGCACGGGCGTCGTGTGCGTTTGGAAGCCGGAAATCGTACGTGGCTTGCCCGCTTGGCCCACCACATCCACGGCTTTGCCCACACGCACATTCACTGGCAGCTTGGCCAGCGACTCGTCCAGCGTAATCAGGAACCGCGGCCGCATCGCCGATACAAGCCAGTAGAGCATCCAGTGCGTACGATCCAGCACAAACCCACGCGCCTCGGTAAACGCCAGAAGCGTCGCCAGGAGACCTGCCACGCCCGTATAGCTGAAAAGCAGGCGGTCCGTGTGGTACGGATCCAGACCCAGCGTGCCCTTGCCCATGTGCACAAGGCCCTGCGCAATGCGCACGACAAACAGGCAATCAGGCTCCTTCGCATAGTAGCTCGCAAGCTGGCGCAGCCGCTGTGCCAGACGTGCATTGTTCGTCCCCGCACCGACAATGCCCATCGCGAAAATCGCATTGAGCGCCACGTCCAAGTCGCTATCGTGCGAGTACTTGCTCAGCGTATCCAGCACACCTACAGCCGGGTTGGACGGGTGCAGCAGCGCCATCGCCAACGGCACCGTGCGCCGGATCACAGGATCGCCATAATGCATCAGATGCGACATGTGACGCAGCGTCATATCCGCACCGACATCCTCGCCCATCGCAATCAGCGCAATCGCCAGCACAGAGAACGCCTGGTACAGATCATGGACAGTCTCCGCCTCGACCTCCTCGCCGTCGTCCCCCTCTTCGCTCTCCTTCTTCGCGGGCGTCACGTGTTCGGCACAGTAGTGCAGCAGCGTCTGGATCTTGAGCACATTGCCCGTGCCCGCGTAGCTGCATGCATCCACGAGAATCTGCACATCACGCGACGAGGCATGCTCAATCGCTTTCAACGTCTCGATCGTCGCGTCCGACTCGTCCTGGCGGCCAAGGAATAGCAACGCCAGACCCAGGGCCAGGAACCGCATCCACTTGTCGTCCAGCTGCGACGGTTCACGCTCCATCATCGTCTGCAGAAGGCTCGGCACAATCTCGCCATGCGCCGAACCCACAAACACAAAGCCCAGCGAGAGCGCACACAGCGCCGCGGTATCCATCGACACAGTCTCGTCCTGGACATAGGGCAAGAGCAACGCCAACACTTCTTCCCGCGCAGAGCCCGCATACGCCATGCCCAGGCCCACAATCGATGCATGCTGCAGCGGCTTGCTCTTGCTCTCCACATGTTCGGAGAGCAGCGCCAGAGGCGCATCCATCTCCGTACGCACACCCGCATGCAAGAGACCGTACGCCAGCATCGCACCCGCCTTGACTTGCTCCTCCGAGGAGTACGTGTACTTGTCAATGTGGCTCAGACCCATCTCGGTATCCCATAGCAGCGAAACACCGGTACTGGCCGCCGCGGAGAGCTTGCCATGGTCCTTGGTCTTGTACACGTAGCTATCACCTTCGTCGGCGCCGACCATCAGCGGATCGTTGCCGAAGCCAGCATTGACAAACGCATTGACAAACACGTTCGCCAAGTTGCCTCGCGCCGAGTCGATCATCGTCGTACGTGCGGTCTCCAAATGAGTTTTGTACACATCTTCCGGCGTCTTGGGATCGTACACAGACAGCTCCTTGCCGAAATCAATAAAGTGGCTGGACAGATGGGTGTGGAAGAGGCAGTCCAGCAGCTCCTGGTCCTCTATCGGAGCCGACTCGTCCTGAAGCCACTCCAGCGGGATCTGCTGACGCGCAAGCAGGAACGCCATCTGCTTTTGCATCACTTTGTTCGACGTAGACGTGAAATCTTCACGAATCAACGCACGATCCATCAGGCGGACACTCAGGACGAGCGCCTCAAAGAACCGCTGGTGCTTGCGGTAAATCACACGCGCCGTACGCAAGAACATCACATCGTCCGGCGGTACCAACAAATTCACACAGCTCACAAGGTACAGACACACACGCTCGTACGTGTCCTTGTCGACGTATTGCGGCAGCTGATCCACGGCCTCCATTTCCAGCAACAGATCGACGGCATCCACTTCCGCATTGTGTTGCAGACTGAACTGCACCACAAGCAGTGCGAGACGCATGAGCTCCGAGGCATCTTCTTCTTTTTCCGTACGAGCATTGTACTCTTCGCCCAGCTCCGTGCACAGATGACGCACATACTCGTGCCCCCAGTGGCCCAGGTCCTCGGCCGTGGTAGACGTGCGCATCTCATCCGCACGAAGACGGAAACGGAGCGTCTCCCGGTCGCCTGTGTTGGAGTAGGTCATAGCAAGGACACTGAGGATCTCCGCAAAGAGCACCTTGTCCTCGTTGGCCGACGACCATGATTCGTACACCTTCTTTAGGTCGGGGTAATGGGGATGCAGGAACTTGAGGGGCTTCGGCACCGACGTCATGGACGACGTACTTGTCCGAATCAAGTTGCGCATCACTTCCAAGGCAGGACGGTACAACTTGGTATCCCCCTCTTGCAAACGCTCTACCAACATATCCAACTCGCCTTTGAGTTGCTTGTCTTCTTCGCTCATTTCATTGTCTTGCGGCTCCGACGTCGCATGTTTCTCATTCTTGGCATGCTTGGGCTCGGTCTCCTCCGGCTTCTCGGGATCCCGAGAGAGCACGCGGATACTAGCCGCTTGCGACTCGTCACGGACCATGCTGGTAGACGCGAGGCCGAAGCAGGACGACGCGCCACCCTTGGGTGATCGTGATCACGTGATGGAATACGTCAGGCCTCGTCCCCCGCCACACGCACAGACGCAATGCAGAAGAACCACCTACATTAGCTATCAATGGACCACATAAACATGCAGGCGACAGACCGGTAGGGGGCCCATGGCAATGCCAGCGCATGCATTTCCTCCGGGTCCAAGTACATCTTTTTGGACGTCTTTTGGCCACGCGCCCGCTGGGCCAGCGTCGAACGTGTGACAGTAGTGGTAGGATAGGGAAGGTCGGTGTGGGTATCCAGCGCGGAAGGCGTGTACGTAGCTTGCCGCTTGGCCTCCGTAATGGTAGGACCATGATGATCTGCCATGTAAAAATGAACCATGCCTCGCTGCACGCCCAGATCACCCACAGGCAGAATATCCGGGCTGCGCATCGCAAACATGAGTAGCATTTCCGCCGTCCAACGACCGACGCCTTTGACCTGCGTAAGCTCGGCAATGCAAGCTTCGGGGTCCATCTGCACGATCTTTCGTACGTCCAAGCGGCCATCTGCAAAGCGTCGTGCAACATCGCGGACGTACTTGATTTTGGCGCCACTCAGCCCCGCCGAACGGAGCGCCTCGTCCGAGACTTGGAGGACCTGGCGGGGCGTCGGGAAGGGCCACTGCTCCTTGTCGACAGCTGCCACATGGATCTCGTCCACAGAAGGCATGCTGGGCTCGAACAAGCGGCAGAACTTGTACAGAATACTCCGCGCTGCACGCCATGAAATCTGCTGGCCCAGGATAGAGGTGGTAAGCGTGCGGAAAAGGTTGAGTTGCTTGACGTCGCCACGGTACATTTCATCGTAGACTTTCAATTCCATCTGCGCAAAGAGGGCCTTGAAGCGTGGATCGACGCGGCACAAGTGGGCCTTGGCGGTGTCGAGAGAGAAGGGAAGGACGGGCTGTTCAATGGTCGTGCATTGGTACACTTGGTCGTCAGGCAAAAGGGGCGGGAGAGAAGGCGGCGCCGCCTCGATCTTCACACGCTTGACACGCGGAGCCGGCTTCGATTCGACAGACAACGTAGGAACTTGTATCACAGGTGCACTCGCTGTCTTTCCCAGCAGCCGAGACGATCGTCGCGCAGTGCTGGGCTTGATCACAGGCATGTCCGACCAGGGCCGTGCGCGGTCGGTGGACATCCTGTCGTAGTGGAGGGAGAAGCGAAGCCCAAGAAAAAGCGAGCAAACGGAAAAGCCACACACAACGCTACGCCGGCCATCTTCCATGACCCATCCTATCACTACGACACCTACTCTACAACGACCAAGACTACATGCATGCCATTACACACGCACCTGGGTCGGCGGCGACGTCATCATGTCGTGCGCCAAGTCGGCTGACGTATCCGCCTTATCGCCGCCAAAACGGAACCACGCTTGCATCGTCTGCATGGGCGAGGAAAGGACCGACATGGGCGACATGGCCGTGGTAGCCACGCCATCGTCATGGCGCGTCGCCACGGATTCAGACGAGGCAGTGGACGGCGAAGGCGCCCGACGTGGGCCACGTACGCCGCCGCCGGTCGATGCTGAATACGGTGTGCTGGACATGAAGGCAGGAGGTGGCCCTTGTGGCTGCTCCGGCACGCACATCAAGCTGCGCTGCCGATCCAGTGAGTGAGACCGACGGAAGGCATGTCCCTCCTTGGTATGCGCTGCACTTGCGTCGTCGGCCCACGTAATCTCGGTAGATACAGTGCCGTTGGACGTGTGCTTCCAGTTGCGGGGTAGGTCGTTCGACATGCGAGCACTGCTTGGGAACGACGACCGAGACGAACTCGACATGGCATACGATTGGTGTGCTGGCGCCTGCGTCGGTGCTGCCACAGGGAGAGTCGACGCCGGGGGCACCACCGACGCGTCCATCGGCTCCAAGTACAGCTGCACATGCGCCAAGGAAGGCAGCTCTTCCATGCCAGGCTCCTCCGTGACCGACTGAGCCAGAGGCGAGGGCGTACGGGGTGCATGAGGACGCTGGCTGTGCGCCGAAAGCGGCCGCGAGGCACGGCGGACCAACGCCGTCGATGTAGGCTCCGCGTTGGTGGGCGGCGCCTGCGCACGTACAGGCGTCACACTCGCAGTCGCGGTCGCGGTCGCGGTCGTCTCGTGCTGCGTAGGCAGATCCATCGGCACCTCTGTGAACAGGGGACGCTGTGGTGCGCCCTCTGTCGCAGGCATGCGTGGATCCTCAGGACCTAGCCAGCTTTCCAGCGATGTCGAAGCCATAAACTGCGGTCGGATCGAAGGAATACGCAAGAGAGGCACACCGTTCGCGGCTGTCGGTCGTGTGCCTTCGTTCATCGAGGTGCTCGAGTAGGCCGACTCTGTCGAGCGAGCTGTTGACTGCGTCGCAGAGCGACGAAGGGCCGTCGGCATACGGCGCAGCTGCGTCTTCGGAAGCTCGCCTACCAAGGACTGAGCGTCCATGTCTTCGGGCACATCGGCATCAATACTGCACTCCTGCCAGGCCTTAATACGGTCATGTAGCTGCTCGGGCGACATGGTAGGCGCAGGGCGCAGGCGCGCAGGCGGCGGCATAGCAATCGAGTCCTGCGCCGGGCCGCGCTCAGGCACGTCGTCGTCGTGCGCGCCTGCCGACGATGTGTACGAGCTCGAGTCGTACTGGAACCGCTGCTCCTTGCGGTTGATACGACGAGCCATGGGGATTTGGTGGTCTGGCATACCGATAGACTCGCCAGACTCGAGCGAAATGTTGCGGCTGTGCCGGCTAGAACGGAAGCGCGAGAGCATGCTGTGGCTCAGGCGCAGACTCGTGTGACGGAGTGAGGAACGTGTGCCACGCGAGCCGGCCAGGTGGAACTTGTTGCGCAGCGACGCTGTACGGGGACTCCGCAGGGTCGGCGAGGCCGTTTCGTTGATAGGCTGACGGTCCAACGTGAGAGAAGGACGCGCAGCGTACTCCGAGATGAGCGACGGGTAGCGCACATCCTCCTCGTCTGTTGAGGGGATGGACAAGACCGGCTCAATGGCTGTGGCCGGCGCACCCGTCGGTTCGTGCGACACCGGCGTCGCCTGCGCTGCTGCGTCGTCACGCGGCGGAGTGCTTTTCTGCGAGACAGGCACGTTGTACAAAGGTTCATCTGTCTGGTGCGTCGCAGGAAGGTAGGGACGAAACCCAGGCATGGGCCCCGTGGACACGGGCTCGACGTCCTGCAACCGCGCTCGTTCAAACGAAGCTTGTCGCTTCGCCATCCAATGACGACGAAGCAGGTAGCCACCGAGAAGACCCAGGCCGGAGATCACCAGGATACCGGCACAAAGGCCCACAACCAGCGCAATAATCAGAGTGGTAGTGTTGCTGCTACCTGTAGCAGCTGCACTAGCACCGGGCATGAGGAAAGAAAAGGGGGACAGATACGAAGAGAAAGTGGATAGGGTGGCCAGCACCTATGCACGACCAGCGTGCGGGGAAGAGAGTGGGGACGTGGAAAGGGGAGGGTGGGAGCGACCGTAGCGGGGCACAGAGCCGAACGAGCTGTGGTGGGAGCGTGCAAGACGCGTAAGGAGCCCCGTGAGAGAAGGAAGAGATGTAGATCGAGAAGGCGCGCGGTGGATGTTACATGCATGCGCCAGGCCGCCGGGTGCTCACGTGCACGTGGCACAACGCCTACCGACTCCACACGGTCACACGTACCATAAACTGTCTATGAAGGGTATATGGAAGGAAAGCCTCACACGCTCGACGTAAACGCACCGAGTGTCCCTAACACAGATAGCACGAGTGATACGCCAAGCAATATACAGTCAAATAGGGTAGCTGCCATGCTTCGCTCCGTGGCAAATACAGCCATATTCGCAGCAAAGGGCCCAAGAATGCAAGTGTTGAAGGCGAAAAACGCACCTAGGAACGCCATCACACGCTCCAAACTCGGGAACACAATCGCAACGAAAAGGACCGAGCCGGAGAGAATCAGGGCTAAGCCTATACGCCCAAGCCGTGCGCCGACTTTCGACTTGATATGGTGGCCCAAACGGTCGCCAAATGACTGCACAAGATCAGCGGACGTCATACGGTCCAGCTCCAAGTGCGACTGGAACATGCTGTGTGAGGTAGATTCGGATGGCGGTATCGCCGATGTGCCCACCTGTGCCCCAGGCATTCGTGAATCTGTCTCGGACACATGTGGCGTCTTTTGATCGTCTTCTGCACTCAGACCCACCAGGTTTTCCAGCAAGGATTGCACAGGGCGTACCGCCAATGCAAACTTGGTCAGAGGGTTGATAGTCATGAGCAGCACACACGTCGTCGTGAGAATAGCTGGCATGCCTGGTGTATGGGCCAAGTCGCTACTAATCACATCGGACACGCGATCGCCAAACATCATGTAGCCTGTCGTCGCGACAGACAAATAGAGCAGCGCCGTCGCAACGTAGGCCAAATCCAGCATCCGGCAAAAGTCCGCTGGGTTCCGCATGTCACGGTACAGCGAGGGTATAATGGGATGCGAAGAAAAACCGGACATGAGCAAACCAAATCCGATGCCCATGCCCGACCACTGGGGCTTCCATGTTGTAGAGGCTGGATGCCACAGACTCCCAGGTGCCTCGCGCTTGGCCAGCCCATCCACAAAAAGAACCAAAAACAAGAACAGAATACTCAAAATGCCAATCAGGGACACGGGCGAAATGAGCGAGAGAGAAAGGAACAACGTTGGCATCGCCAGCACAAACGCCAGCGCCTTGAACCACACAAGCGTGGTAGGGCTCGGCGTCTCCGCATAGCCATACACAAGCGCCGCCAAGCTATCGCTGAACAGGATGATCAGCGCCACGGCCACCATAAACATTTCCATGCAAAACAATACGCCGATCCACACACGCGCCTTGGGGCCAAAAGCGTACATACCAATGTCCGCATACGTACGCAGCGAGGGATCACGCGCCATGATCCGCGCCAGGAGCTTCCCACTCCAATTGGTCAAACTGCCACACAGAATAAACAGGAAAAAACCGCCCATCCAGCCGGCACTCGCAAAGACGAGCGGCATCGAGAGAATACCGACACCGACCAGCGCATTGACCGTGTTAAACCACGTCTGCAGGGTAGTGCTCTTTTCACGATCGTCCAGGGCTGTCTCTGTCGCAGGCGAGAGCATCGAGGGACTAAGGGCACCCTGATACGATGAGTTGACGTGCGGGACACGCATCAGCGGCGTACGCTCGTCTACACGGTACGGATCACGCAAGTGCGGAGCACTGGCACGAAGCGGTGTCCGGAGACGCGATCGAGACCGAGTCGATGGTTGGAAAGGAGGCGTGCCTCGTGGTGGACGGCTCGGAGCACGGTCTGGCGACGCATAGTACAATCGCTGCGGGTATTTGGTCGCCGTCGCGTCGAGCGACAATTGCTTGGGGCTGCGGCTCCGACTGCGTCCAGAATGGTCCTGGCCATCGTCGCTGAGGCCTTCTGCATATTCGTCGTCGTCTTCGTCATCGTCGTCATCCGACTCGGCATGCGCGGGAAGAGTGTGGTGGTATCGATGGGACTTTTCTCCTCGGCGACTAGAAGAGCCACGATGCTCCGCTGCCATCTCCGCTTCTTGCATATCGTCCCATACTTGCTGCGCCTCCAACTCAGTGGGACCACGGTCGCGGACACGTGCCGACAAGGAAGCGCTGTCATCGGACATAGACGAATTGTCGCCGGAGAACTCGCCATCGGTCGACTCAATGCCAGTCATTTGGGCGTCACTATCCTGCACACTTTCTTCGTCGTTCGATGTGCCCGGATCCTGGCCACACCAACGCCGCTCAACAAAACTCGGTGAACTGATGAGATTGTCCCCGAAATAAGCTTGGGAGCGCGAATAGGACCACACAAGATCCAAACTACTGCGCCATGGCTGATTTACTGCATTGTCTCTGCCTTGAGCGCGATTAGGCGCCGTGGGTCCACGCATCGGGATCGCATGGCGGCCCGGCATCGCTCGTCAGAAAGAGCCAAGCTAAGTTTTTTTTTGCTTGGATTTACTTCGTCGGGGGGCGATAAGAAACCCATCCCCCGCGTCAAGTCGCACGTCACGTGCGAGACGCGCGCGCACCTCGGCGGGAGAGCGCCGCCAGCAAAAGAGCGACATCCACACGCCGTCGCCTTAGGAGAGACGTGCTCGACGATGTGTATGTAACCCCCTGACACTGACCATGACAGCGTTTGGTGGCGGAGGTAACGCCTTTTCGTGCGGGTCGTCGGCGCAGAGTACGTATACGCCCCTCCCTCTGACCACAGACTCGACGGCCAATAAGCCTACCTTCTCGTTTGGTGGCAGCGCCTCCAGTACGTCTTCCCTACGCACTAACACGATGTAGACACTCAAGCACAGGCTTCCGCAACCACAACGCCGTCCAAGCCCTTGTTTGGCGCGGCACCTACAAGCGGCACTGCAGCGACCAGTACGGCCCCCTCGTTCTCTTTCGGCGCGACCAACAATACCACAGCCAACACAGCCAAGCCAGCCGGTGGCTTCTCGTTCGGCACACCCTCTTCATCCGCGCCCACGGCAGCAGCGGGATCAACCACCCCAGCTTCTCAACCACCATCCAACCTCTTCGGTGCGAAGCCTGCAGGCACAGCGCCAAGCACTGGCCTGTTTGGCCAGGCAAAGCCGGCCGACGCTGCGCCGTCAAACGCCCCCAGCACGAGTGGCACATCCACTGAGGCATCCAAGCCAGCAGCAGGCGGCTTTAGTTTCGGATCGAATACCACCACCACGTCGTCAGGCCCCAGTGGCTTCAGTTGGGGGGCCAAGCCTGCAGAAACCAGTACCGAGACGACAAAGCCTGCTGCCTCAGGCTTTAGTTTCGGCGCGAAGCCAGCGGATGCTTCTTCGACAGCAAAGCCAGCTGGTGGCTTCAGCTTCGGGGCGAAGCCAGCTGCCTCCTCGGAAGTGAGCAAGCCCGCTGGTGGCTTTAGCTTCGGTACAAAGCCAGCCGAGTCGTCTACGGAGGCGGCGAAACCTGCGGGTGGGTTTAGCTTCGGTGCCAAACCAGCCGAGTCATCTACAGAGGCCACCAAGCCTGCAGGCTTTAGCTTCGGCGCGAAGCCTGCTGAGTCGTCTACCGAGACGAGCAAACCTGCGGGTGGCTTTAGTTTTGGCGCAAAGCCTGCCGAGACTACGGCGGCGAGCAAGCCGGCTGGTGGCTTTAGTTTCGGGACCAAGCCTGCCGAGGCCAGCGATTCAAGCAAGCCAGCGACGTCAGGCGCAGGCCTAGGTGCAAAGCCGGCCGACGCCAAGCCAACTGCTGGCTTTAGCTTCGGTGCCAAGCCTGAGGCAAGTCAAGAGACTGCTAAGCCAGCCACGAGCGGTTTCAGTCTGGGTGCCAAGCCCGCAGACGACGCCGCGAAATCCGAAGCCAAGCCGGCGAGCAGTGGCTTTGGCTTTGGTGCTGCGAAAGAGACCTCGACGGAGACCAAGTCGAACTCAGGTGGTCTTTTTGGCACAGCGGCGCCCTCTACGACAACATCTTCCACGACAAACAACGCCTCCTCAGGTTTCTCCTTCGGTGCCAAGCCGGCTGCATCGACAGACGCAAAGGCGCCCACGACGACGACGACGACGTCTGGTAGCTCCACAGCAGCAGGTACATCGACAGCGACGTCGGCGCCTGCCCCATCGCTGCTGCGTGGTAAGAGCATGGAAGACATTGTGAAGATGTGGCAAAATGAACTGGATGCCTCGATCAAGGAATTCAGTCAGCAGGCGGGCGAAGTGGCTACGTGGGATCGCGTGCTACTGAAAGGCGGTGATGAAATTAGCAAGCTGGTACACCATATCGCTCAGGCCGAAGAGCGCCAAGCAGGCATTGACCAGACCCTGGACTACATTGAACAGCAGCAGGCGGAGCTGAATGCCTTGCTCGATACGTACGAGAACCAGCGGAAAGACTTGCTGCAAACCAGTGGCATGCAGACGCATGGACGGACAGATCTTGGCGTCGCGGATATGGAGCGGGAGAAGGCGTACACACTGGCTGAGAACCTGAACGCGCAACTCGATGACATGTCCCGCAACCTTGTATCGATGATTGAGGAGGTGAATCAAATGTCGGCTCCGGCGAGCACACGAATGCGTGACGTGGTGGAAGCGGCACCGGAGGCCCTCAAATCTATGCGTATCGGGTCGAAGGACACCGCAGTCGGCTACGATGATCCCATTATGCAAATCTCGGCGATTCTCAATGCGCATCTTGGCAGTTTGAAGTGGATTGACGAGCATACCACTTCGCTTCGTGATCGCCTGGAAGCGCTGCGTCGTGGCCACACCGAGAAAGTGTCACTGCATGACATGCTTCGCTCTAGTGTGGGTCCCGACACGCCCCGTAGCTCGACACCGCACCGCTCGCTACGCGAATCGAGCGTGGCATGGTCACGATAGGCACGACAATAGATCTCACAGCGCCCCACGCCCTATGCGCCGTAGTGTATCACGTGATAGGGCGTCGTCAGCGGAGGAGTATGTGGGAGGGCCGCCGCGCACGCACAGCGACACGCGTCCCCTCATCATGATGAATGCGTATCCAGGTCAGACCTGGCGCTCAGAGCCATACGTCGACGCTGTATCATCGCGAAGCAGCTGCTGGGATATGAATGCGCCTTCGCAGCGCCCTGTCGATGCCTTTGACGATGCACGGCAACGCACACAGTACGTATGGAGCTACAGCGACTGACACTGGTAGACAGCCTATTGTCACCGGTACCTCGGTGCTGGGCCTGCTTTACAAGGACGGTGTGATGCTGGCGACTGATACGCTGGCATCGTACGGATCGTTGGCGCGCTTCATGAATATCCAGCGTTTGGAGGCTGTGGGGCAGAACACCGTGATTGGTGCGAGTGGTGATATGAGCGACTGGCAGAATATCCAGCACACGCTGACCAAGCTCATGTACGTATCACATGCTGCTGACCATCGCAGTGAAAAGGAAGAAATCGAGAACGATGGCCATGCCCTCACCCCAGCGCAAGTGTATGCATACCTCTCCCGTACGATGTACGAGCGCCGCTCCAAGCTTGATCCCTACTGGAATGCGCTCGTCCTGGGCGGCTTTGATTCCAAGACCAATAAGCCATTCCTTGGGTATGTCGACCTGCTTGGCACGACGTACCAAAGCTCGACCATTGCCACCGGCTTTGGCTTGCACTTAGCCCAGCCGATGCTGCGTAAGGCCGTCGAGGGCAAGGAAGCAACGCTAACCGAAGAGGAGGCGCGCTCGATTCTCGAGGATTGCATGCGTGTACTCTGTACGTATATGTGACACTAACAACCAGTCTACCGTGACGCTCGCAGTCTCAACAGGGTACGTGTGGGATCGATGACTAACATGGCAGTTCCAAGTCGCCAAAGTGACCAACGACGGTGTGCACATATCCGAGCCGTACAGTGTGTCGACAGAATGGGGCTTTGCGGAAGGTCTGCGTGGCTATGGCCCACAGACGCAGTAAGCGCAAGTCCTTCTTGGCCCTACATACATAGCTTTTTCGTACCACGACCCTGAGCGTATGCCAATGCTGACGTCATGCGTACTAGCCACGACGCGACACGGCACCTCCACCCCCGCAGGCCGAAGAAGGAAAAATAGAACGGCGCCACGCAGAATTTCGCCGAGAGCTGAACTGCGCACGCAGGTTCGCTCTGGCCATGTTTGTACGGTGGCACCTCCCTGTGATCGGCGCCGTGTGCCTGGCTGCCCAAGCGATAGCATCGCATGTACTTACACCGGAGCTGCTCATGGAAGCGCCACGACCAGCCTCTGTCGTGGCCAACGAAGCTGGCACCGCTGCCGTGATTGGTGTCAGCACTTTTTCGTCGCAGACAGGGGACGAGTCCAAGGCTTTGTACCATATCCCGCTCACGCAGGCTCGAGCATGGGACGAGGCGCCGAATGTACGTGTGCTTACCAACGACACGACGGAGGCGGCTTTTGTGGACGATGATACGTTGCTCTATGTAAAGGACAACCAAGTGTGCCAACGCTCTCTGCACGCTACCTTGAAAGGTACAGCCTGCCATGCCGTCGCAGAGCTGCCCACCAGCATCAAATATCTCAAAGTCGCACGTACGTCGAAGAACAAAGCGACTCTGGTCTTTGCTGCCACCGTGTATGACGACGGCGACTTGTACGCCGTCGCGAAGCACGACCGCAGTAAGGAATCGGAGCGTTGGAAGCATGCGAAAGGTACGTCATCCTCTTACTTACGCCAGTGTATGATACGATGTTTGCTCGGCACTGGGACCAGTGGATGGATCCACGTCGTCGTAGTCAGCTGTTTGCGTTGGATGTGCACAGGGACCCTACCACGGCCGCATGGCATGCCAAGGGCTCGATTCGCAACCTCATGCGCGGTACCAAGCTCGAGACGCCTGTCGGCCCCCTGGGTGAGGCGACGGATTTCAGCGTGTCGTCGAACTGGGTCGCGTTTGTCGCGAAAGATCTGCATGTCCCTCCCGCCTGGCATACCAAGCAGCAGGTCTTCCTTGTCCCGATCGACGGCAGTAAAGCGCCACGTCAAATTAGCAGCAATAACCGACATGGCTGGACTGGCATTCCTGCCATCTCGCCCAACGAGGATATGGTCGTGTTCTTGCAGCAGGACAAGGATGGATTCGAGAGCGACTTGAAAGTCTTGCAGACGTACTCGCTGCACGACGGCACGCTACGCACCTTCCACCGCGATTGGGATATGTCGCCGACGGCTCTGACCTTCTCGGCAGATGGTGCTTGGCTCTACGCCGTCGTGACCGAGGACGAGCAGCGCCCGATATACCGCATGCCTGTGGACGGCGCACACCTCGGTCCACGCACAGCGCTGGTCACGCACGGCTCTGTGTCGAATGTGGTGCCTCTGAAGCACGATCGTATGGTGTACACGCGTTCGACGCTGCACCACCCGAACGACGTGTACCTCCTGCACGTGGACGAGGACGAGGAACGTGCGTTGCGTCTTACCAACTTTTTCCGGTGGTCCAAGGCGCATCGCGATATTGACCTGGGGCCCAAGCCTGAACGCTTTACTTATGCAGGTTCGAACGACGTCCCTATGCACGGCTGGATTTTGAAGCCGCCGTCGTTTACGAAGGCGAAGGAACTGGGCGAGAAGCTTCCGCTCGCCGTGCTCATTCACGGTGGGCCGGAGAGTGACTGGAACGATGGCTGGTCGATTCGCTGGAACCCTGCGACGTTTGCAGCCGCTGGATTTGTTGTAGTTACGCTGGATCCGTCGGGCTCGACCGGCTTTGGCCAGGCCCTCACAGATCGCATTCTCGAGCACTGGGGCGATCGACCGCTGGACGATGTGATGAAGGGTGTGCACTATGTGCTGGACACGAAGTCGTACATCGACCGTGATCGCGTTGTGGCGGCTGGTGCGAGCTTCGGTGGGTACATGGTGAACATGCTGCAGGGCCACAATGACGAGAAGCTCTTTAAGGCGCTGGTAACGCACGATGGTGCGTTTAACACGATGGCCATGGCATACTCGACGGATGAGCTGTACTTTGCCGAGTCAGAGTTTGGCGGTGTGCCATGGGAACGCCCAGAGCTCTTGGACAAGTTCAGCCCGCACCAGTTTGTGCACAAGTGGAATACGCCGCACTTGATTGTGCATGGTGGCCATGATTTCCGCTTGAGCCCGGCCGAAGGTGTCAGTGCTTTCCATGCCCTCCAGCGCCGCGGCGTGCCGTCACGTCTTCTTTTCTTCCCAGAAGAGAGCCACTGGGTCCAGGAAACGGTGAACGCCGTGCAATGGCACCATGAGGTCCTAGGATGGCTCCAGCAATGGAGTGCGCCGTCCGACGAGCGCACGGCCCCCGTGCCCCTCGTGTTCCAATAGGCACCGTAGGCCGTCTGTATCACGTGATAGACCATGGAGGAGTCCTCCTCAGCGTACGCGACGCGCCGTCTGACGCGTCTCTTGTGGGAGCACGGATGCTGTACGTCGACAAGTACAGGCCACGCGATCTCAGTGAGCTGCAGTACCATCCGCAGCTCACGGAGCAGCTCCAGAGCTTGGTACGTATACCAGTACTAATGAGCTAGGCGGCGAGTGAAGATTTTCCTCATGTCTTGCTGTACGGCCCAACCGGAGCTGGGAAAAAGACGCGTATTACATGCCTCCTCAAGGCCCTCTACGGGCCCGGCGCTCTCAAAGTAGGTGTGGCATGCACTGACGTATCAGCTCAAAGTTGACCAACGTGTGTTCTTGAACCCCAGCAAGCGGAAGATTGAGGTCAATTTGATCAGCAGCAACTACCATATCGAGCTTACGCCCAGCGATGCAGGTACCTACGATCGCCTCGTGATCCAGGACATTCTGAAAGAGATTGCACAGACACAGCAAGTGGATCAAAATGCGGCGCGTCGGTTCAAAATTATTGTGATCAACGAGGCGGATCTACTTTCGCGCGACGCCCAGGCGGCGCTGCGTCGTACCATGGAAAAGTATATGCGCAACTTGCGTCTGATTCTATGTGCGAATAGCACCTCGCGGATTATCGCACCGATTCGCTCGCGATGCCTGCTCTTGCGCGTCGGTGCGCCCCGCGATGAGGATGTAGCACGTGTGCTGCGCCACGTTGCGAAGCGCGAGAAGTTCCATTTGCCCGACGAGGTGTCAGAAGCCATTGTGCGCGATGCCGATGGCAATATGCGCAAAGCCATCCTCGTCCTCGAGACACTGCGTGTGCAATCGTACGTATTCTCTCTCCCGCCCGTTCTTACGTACAGTCCGACCTTGGCCGGCCCCCTGTCGATTGCTCAGCCTGATTGGCAGACGTATTGCGAGCGCACCGCCGATTTGATCGTGAGCGAGCAGTCGCCAGCGCGTCTCCTAGAAGTGCGTGGACGCCTCTATGAACTGCTTGTCCATGCCATCCCGGCCTCAGTGATTTTCAAAACATTAACGCAGTACCTCGTCGCACGTGTGGACGCGTCGTTACGCGCTAGCATTGTACAGAAGGCGGCATTCTATGTATGTATGAGGCGCTCAGAGAAAACGCTGACACCCGCAGGAACTGCGCAGTGCGACAGGCAACAAGCCCATCTTCCACCTCGAGGCCTTCGTCGCTCAAGTCATGTTCCTACAAAAGTCGCTGTTTTTAGGCATGGATCTCCAGGAATAGACGCTACGTTCATAGTGGAGGGACGCCCTATCTACAGACAGTCAGACACGCACGTCCGATCGCCCCGCGCAACGGCCGGGGTGTGCGCATCACGTGTGAGTCACTTTAATGGGGCGTCGGGTTCTCGACAAAGTGGGGACGTCCGATGTTGCGACCACTACTACAGACACAACTTCGTAGTGTCCGACATTTTTCTACATCTATGACGACGCATAAGAAAGCGCTTACGATCGATACGATCAACCCTAATGTCTTGAAAGTACACTACGCCGTACGAGGCGAAATTCCCAACAAGGCAGCGGAGTTTGAGCAGCAGCTGCATGAAGGCAAGAACCTGCCGTTTGACTCGGTGGTGTGGACCAACATTGGCAACCCGCAGCAGCAGCCGAACCTGGGCCAGGAGCCTCTGACGTTCTGGCGTCAGGTCTCGGCGCTGACAGAGTACCCTGCACTTTTGGATATGCCTGCGGAGGCCCGCGATGCGATGTTCCCTGCCGACACCCAGGAGCGTGCGCGGGAGCTGCTTGAGGCGTTCGGTAGTGTGGGTGCGTACACATCCTCCAAGGGTGTGCCGCTTGTGCGCAGGCATGTCGCAGAATTTCTCAAGGAACGTGATGGCCACGACGAGGACATTCACAACATTTACCTTACCGCGGGTGCCTCGGCGGGCATTTCACTGATGTTCCAAGTGTTCTTCGGCAGCGGCGACGGTGTGCTGATCCCTATTCCGCAGTACCCTCTCTACTCGGCGACCCTCTCCCTGCTCAACGTGGAGCCGATGAAATACAGCCTGCGTAGCGACCACTGCTGGGACCCTTCGGACACGGACGTTCGCCGCCAGATTGACTTGGCGGTGAAGCATGGCATTAAGCCACGTGCAATTGTGGTGATCAACCCAGGCAACCCCACGGGCTCGTGCATGTCCAAGGAGCAGATTTACGATGTGATCAAGGTGGCATACGAATTCGATTTGGCGATCTTTGCCGATGAAGTATACCAGGTGAACATTTACCAAAAAGAACGACCCTTTGCATCGTTCCGCAAAGTGCTGCTCGATCTGCGCCACAGCAGTGACCCAACAGAGCGCGATATGAGCGAGAAGGTAGAGCTTGCGTCGCTGCACAGCACCAGTAAGGGTGTGGCGGGCGAGTGCGGTCGTCGTGGTGGCTTCTTTGTGCTAAACAACTTTGACGCAGACGTGGAAGCGCAGGTGAACAAAATGGCGAGCATTGGCCTGTGCCCGCCGACGCAGGGCCAGATTGGTGTGGATCTCCTTGTTCGTCCGCCCAAGCCAGGCGACCCAAGCTACGAGCTGTATGCGAAGCAGATTCACAACATTCACGAGACGCTGCACCAACGCTCGCTGCTGATTGCTGAGAAGTTCAACGAGTTGGAGGGTGTCAAGGCGGATCCGGCGATGGGCGCGCTCTACATGTTCCCGCGCCTGCACCTGCCGAAGGCCGTGGCAGACGAGGCGGAGAAGGTCGGCAAGAAGGTGGATGAGCTGTACTGTATGGAACTACTGAAGGAGACGGGTATCTGTGTCGTCCCTGGCTCGGGCTTTGGGTACACGCCACGTGTCTTGGACGACGGCTCGAGCTACTCGTACTTCCGCACGACGCTCCTGGCCAAGGCCACGGACAAGTTTGTGGAGCGGTATGTGCGCTTCCACAAGTCCTTCATGGAGCGTTACAAGAACAAGTAAACCACATAGACGATAGGCCCATATATACGTACGTATTCCACTCGCGAACGTCGCGTGCGAGAGGGAGGGCGCCACGCTAAAGAGGCGTGGCGCATTGTCTGCGTGTGCTCCACATGATTGGTCAGACTTTCTTGCCCCCTGCATACGACGACAAAACGTTGTGCAGACGAGGGTCTCGATCGGTCAAAGAAGGGAGGGAGAGACGAGCCGCGCTGCGCTACGTCGTCGACATACGGTCTTGCCATCATGTCGGATACGCTGGCTGGCCATCGATCGCCCAAGCGAACGACATGGGGGAAACTACCTACACCGCCCTCGTCAGGTGGTTCGGATAGTGTCACCCTTCACAGTGATGACAGGAAAGGAAAAGCACGCTTACTCACGGGCCCTGAGGCCGAGGCACGCGAAAGCAAACGTCCATGTCGTCGCGACTCCCGGATTCTTACGCCACCTAGTACACGCGGCCGGCGTATGCATGACAAGCTAGGACTCGCAAGCGAGGCACGTCGCCAACCGCAGTCGCGGCATTGGCGGCACTGCAGCGATTCTTTCGATGGGGCATGGCTCTTGGACGATATGAACATTGCCTCGTCCTCGACATCTTGCCGGCCTCTGGAGGACGGCTCTCTCGCGCCGGCCCTTCCTGCGTTATCGAGACCTGTGCGTGATACGCCACACAACCCCTTTGTGGAAGGAGGGCCAGCGGATGTCGGCATCACAGGGCCCAATGCACCGAATGCGCTCATGCGGTCGATGGGCCGACCGCCCAAGGACCCATCCCATACAATGTTTGTTTTGTACGTATATGTCCCCTGCCTAACATTCCAGCCGTGGCCAGCGTGTCGTGTGTTCCGATAAGGCTCTCGCCAGCCGCCGCCCATATGCAGCAGACGTGGGGCAATCGCCTCTCCGACCTCGACTGTTGTTCCCACCGCGGCAGCGGGAAGGTATGCAGTACGACGTACCGGAACGGAATGCCCTGTCTGACGACGAAACCTCGGGGCCTGTAGGCCCCAGTCGTAAGCCGCCGGGCCGCGGCTTGTTTGCGCGTGAACTAGCCTCGCGCGCGCCAGGCCCTTCGATCGTTGCCACGGATGACCTGGACGCCTCGTGGCTCGCTGGCCATGCCGCGGCTCAGGACAAGGCACCATACGTGGAGCCACCTACATACCCACCACGGACCTATACGCTACCGGCCAAAAACAGAGAGCTGCTCCAACGACTTGAGTCGGTGCAGTGGGCCGACGAGGCGTCGCCCCCCGAGGAGGCGTGAGTTGTATGTACAGTAGTTGCATGGTCTTATGTCATAGTAATAATGCCTACAATGCTCAAAGAAGCAAGCGCACGCCCAAAATGGGCCCAAAATCGTCCTTGCCTCTTTTTTATTTTAACCACGTGCGTCGGCATGGCCTTCCAAGCCTTACGCGCGCGACGCGATGCGCGTCAGCGGGACTGGCGTCGCCGCTCCACGGAGGCGCCTACGCATGCATGCCAGGCGATCCCAGGGACCTCACTGGAGGTCGAGGTAACGACATTGGCCGGCCGAGGCCTACGTCTCTCTCCGCAGGCAGCGCCATGTCAACCTGGCGACACGCTCGCAGAGTTTCCGACGTCCGTCTCTGTGCTTGCCACCTCGCAAGTCCCCCATCGATGCCACTTCTGCTTCAGCAAGCCGGACCATGCGCTTGTTCGCTGCTCGCGGTGCCATTTTGCGCGGTACTGCGGTGCCCAGTGCCAAGCCGCGGCATGGACCGACTATCGGCATCGTGATGAATGCCATGCGCTGCGCCGCTGGTTTCGTACGGCGGAGCACCCCGACACGCTCCCAGACCTCGCACGCGAGCCTGGCCCGTCTGTCCGGGCCCTAGCGCAGCTTCTGTGGCGCCGCCAACGACAGGATGCTGCATGGTGGCAGCCGCATGCACGCATGATCTCACACCGGACTACATTGGACGCAGCGAGCCAAGAAGAGGCCGCGTCGATCGCGTATCGACTGGCCCAGTTCCTCGGGTCCGAAGGCACGCTACGTGCCCTCGGGATCGAGCATGCCGATGCGTTGCTCGAGCTCGTGTGCCAGCACAGAGCGAATGGATTCACGCTCTCTGATCCTCACTTGGATCCCATCGGTGTATGTATCCAGCCCACGGCCGCGCTTCTCAATCATGCATGCGAGCCCAATGCCGTGGTGGTCTTCCCGGAGGCGAAGCCAGGCCATCGATGTCGTATGCACATTCTTGCTCTTCAGCCTATCCAGCCTGGTGACGCGGTACTTACGTCGTACGTCGACGTAGCGACGCCCCATGCAGAGCGGCAGCGAATCTTGCGGGAGCGCTATCACTTTACATGCCGCTGTGCACTGTGTACACGGCACGACAGCTGGATCGATCCACGCACAGCGCTATGGTGTCCGCATACGGGCTGCGTTGGATGGGTCTCGCCCACAGCGCCGTCGGCGTGCCGGCAGTGCCATCGTGTGCCTGGAGCGATGGATGTCCAAGCCACACTTGCACAAGCACAGGAAGCCGCGCTGCACGTCGAAAAGGCCATGGCATCAAACGACCTACACACGATACCCAGCTACGTGGCCATTTCGCTGCCTGGCCTCAGCGCTATCGCACCGCCCTCGCACCATCTCATGTGGACACTCCTGCACGCCGCGCAAGTTGTGGCGATTGAAAAAGAGGCGTGGGACGAAGCGATATCGTATGCCCTGCTTCTGTGTGCAGGCATGCAAGCGCGGGGCGCGCGGGATGCACGCAGCTGTCTCTATATACCCGGCCACCCCCAACGTGCTGTCCTCCTGGCGACGCTCGGGCGTCTTTTGGCACAGAGCACGTCCGACACGCCACCGACTGCCTCGGCATGGCTGGCACGGCCACCACCGATCCCACCCAGTGCCCAGGCACGCCGCGAGATGGCGTGGGCCATCTTGCAGCAGGCACAGCACGAGGCGCTGGTCGGATTCGGACGTGCGACGCAGGGCGGCACGGTGGGCCACCTCGTTCGTGCTACGCTGCATGTACTATCGCAAGAGCAGGAGGCCGCACGCACTATGTGCCAACCCACTTCATAGATTCAGTACTAGTATGCTACACCATTCGCCCCGAGGTAGGCGGGGGACCTGCTGTGGAGGCGGACGAGGAGGAGGAGGTGGTGGCATCGCCCTTCTTGTCCGTCGATAGATCCGCAAAGCCAAGGTTCGAAAAGTCGTCGCGGTCCATCAGTTCACTGCACGGTCAGCCCAAGCTATACGCACTTGTCCATACGGCACGCCAAGTACGCCTTGCTGAGGTGGCGGCATGCGCCATTGTTGTTCTTGTTGGCTTTGAGGCAGGCCAAGTATTCACGCATCGCGCTTGTGCATTCACCTATCCAAGTCAGCTTCGCAGCGACGTACCGTCATGATCCAACGGGAACGAGCCACGCTCCGGCGGCAGTACCTGAAAGTTGGAAAACGTCGGTGGGCGTCCAAACGACATGACGCGCCGTGCACAGGAAGGTGGGCAACCCACGAAGGGGCCAGACCGCCCAGCCGTACATCTCTTGGCCCCCTCCACATCGCCTTTCCCCTCCCCTCCGCCTCACGTCGTAGCGCCTGGGGCATGGGTCGCACGTCACGTACCGAGACGCGGACGCCCAGCTATGGCATCGTCTTAGATACAGGCGCCGCGTTTGTTCATGTCGGCCTAGCTTACCAACCTGATGTACATACCATTCCCAATGCGATTGCGCGCACGCGACCAGGCGTGCGCCGGCAAGTCCTGGTCGGCGACCTGATCGAGTCCGACTGCCTCGATTACGGCGGATTACAACTGCGGCTCCCTATGGACCGCGGCATGATCGTGGACTGGGCCGCGCAGAAAAACGTATGGGACCGCGCGCTCGTACGTGCCCTAGGCTGTGCCTCCGACACGTTCGGCGCGCTGCGTGGGCGAACGGTGATCGTGACCGAGCCCTACTTTCTCCTGCCCGAGCAGCAAAAGGCATTTGATGCGCTACTGTTCGACTGGTACGAAGCTGATGCAATATGGCGCGCTGTGCCCGCGCAACTCGTGCCATGGGCCCTTATGCCACGCTCCGAAGCGATGCTGGTCGTCGATCTCGGGCATAGCTATACGCATGCTGTGCCCATTGTACACAATGCCGTGCAATGGGACGCTGTACGCCGCCTAGATATCGGCGGCAGAGTGCTCACACACATCCTCAAGACCATGTTCTCGTACCGTCAATGGAATATGATGGACGAGACCTACTTGACCGACAAAATTAAGGCTGCTACTTGCTTTGTCGCAGCCTGCGAAAAGACGGACGAGCCGGCCATCCCCATGGCGGACAGACCGCCTCATACATGGAGCTTTGCGCAGCTGGTCGACCTGTTTCACACGCACAAGGACAACGATGTAGTCCAGCAGTACGTCTTGCCGGATTACGCCACACCGGACGACGTCGCTGATCCTGCGACCAAGTACGGCTACATTGTGTCAGGACCTCCTGCACCGACTGTCTCTGTGCTACCTGATGAAGCCCTGGACGATTTCATCGCCTCTCCATGGACCAAGCCATCGTCCAAGCTCCGAGACGAGCACCAAGTCCTTCGACTCGGCCAAGAACGATACCAACTCTTTGAATACCTCTTTGCCCCCGACCGACTTGGCTTGGATCAAGCACCCTTGCCTGAACTGATTGCAGATGCGATTCAGCATACGGATCCCTCGGCGCGCGATATGCTCTGGAGCAACGTGGTGCTCATAGGCGGCTCTGCTCGTGTCCCCGGCCTTGTCCCACGACTCCAACGTGAGCTACGCATGTGGGCCCCAGACGACGTGCCCGTGGCCGTGCATCGTGTGGATGATCCTATGGAGACACCAGTCCGAGGTGCACAAGTGCTATTGCAGTCGCCCCCCACATCGGACGCTGGCAAATTCCTCAGTTCGCACCTCGTGACGCGCCAGGCTTATCAGCAACGAGGCGGCAGTCAAGCGCCGCCAGGCGAACGTGGCGGCACAGCGTTGGGCGACGAGCGATTCGGCAGCTGGACGACGTCTTCCCCTACATCCTAGATAGAGACTCTTCATTCACAGGTAGCGACTCTACCTACCAATTCTATAATGGACAGAGCAAAACGCTTAGCAGGCACCGCACTTGGCGATCTCAATGCGGCTGCTGGTCTTGCCGCTGTTGCTGCCCTCGGCCTCGATGGCCTTGACAACGTCCATACCCTCGATGACCTCACCGAAGACGACGTGCTTGCCATCGAGCCACGGGGTGACCACAGTGGTAATGAAGAACTGCGAACCGTTGGTGTTCGGGCCAGCGTTGGCCATCGAAAGCAGACCCGGCTTCGAGTGCTTCAGCTGGAAGTTCTCGTCGGCGAACTTGGCACCGTAGATCGACTTGCCACCAGTACCGTTGCCGGCAGTGAAGTCACCACCCTGGAGCATGAAGTTCGGGATCACACGGTGGAAGTGCGAGCCGGCGTAGCCGAAGCCCTTCTCGCCAGTGCAGAGAGCACGGAAGTTGGCGGTGGTCTTCGGCACGACGTCGTCAAAGAGCTTGAACTTGATGGTGCCGAGAGGCGAGCCGTTCTTGGTAATGTCGAAGAAAACGTTAGACATGGTGCGAGTAGTAGCTGCAAATTGACGAACGATCGAAGGGGTAAAAGCCATCCTGTATTAGGCATAAGGAACGACAAAAAAACGCATTATACGTACGCGGTGTTGGTTGTGCGGATGGCTTGGGCGGCGGTGGTGGGCCCTTTTTATAGGGCATGCAGTGCCAGCACATCTGCTGTCCGTGCACGACGCTCGGCCTCATTCTACGGCCTTCGTTGGGCTCGCACGTGGTGCCACATGGCATCGATCGTGCGCGGCGCAGAGGCGAAGCGCCTGCCTGCCTGCCAGCCAGTCCAGACAGAGGTGGGGGGCCTTGCGGAGTCCACCGACAGTCCGAACGCTGTCTCCGTACGATGCCACTTGGTCGTTCGACCAAAGGTACACCCGCCCCCGCTATAGAGGGGGCGGAGCAAGGATCTGTCCCGGCGGAGGATGCACTGACGGAGTCGGCTTCCCATACGAGTTTCTCCTTGCCTTTTGGGCGAAGCGCTAGTCTCAATCAAAGCCATCACAGTCGGTCAGACCGGGCTGAGTCTTTGACATCCACGCGAAAGGCCAGCCGCGAAGGCATGATTTCCTCGAAGAACGGAAAGGGATTCGCAAAAATGCAGTCGAAGTCAACGACGTACTTTATCGATCTGCTCCGTCCTGATGAGGTCCGTGCAGCGCACCAGCTCCTCCTCTCCAACTTCCCGCGAGAGGAAGTGCTCTCTCTTTCGCGCCTTGCTACTCGCTTCGAGCAGGCACCGAGCCTATCTTTAGGTCTCTTTTTACCGCTGCATGGCGCTTCTCACGCCATGTCCACGAGCCCGAACGACTCACCCCGTCGTCTCGTGGCCTTTGCCAGCGCTACAGCGACGCCTGCTCCTATTATGCAGAGTGTCTTTGGCTCAAGTCGGTCGCCCTACGCACACGTCGTATGCATACACGACTTTTGCGTAGATCGCTCGTTCCGTCGACACGGATACGGACGCCGTCTACTCCATGAGTTTATCGCTCGGATCCAGAACCAGACCACCCAGGGCAACGTCGTGGCTGGCCAAATGTACGATGTAATTTCTGTGGTGTGTCCCGAGAAGCGCATCTCGTTCTTTAAGCAGTTTGGGTTTACGGTGCAATCCGTAAGCTACATATCCCGTGGTATTGATCCATGGTTCGAGATGCGTCGGTTTGTCCATATGGATATCGACCACAGTCAAGATACCTCCTTCATCCAAGATGATCCTGACTATCTGTCCATGTCGACGCAGACGCTTTCTTCGATTACTGCCACCTCTGTGAGCCCTGTGTACCCGTTATCGCTGACCAACTCTCATACGGGCAGCGATCAAGATTATGCTACGTTGGCAAACATGTCCCACCCCGGTATGGGTGCAGCGGTGTCTACCTCACCCCTCGCCATGACACCTACATCTCCTACGGGGCACATGGCCCACGATCAGATGATGGCCATGCTTATGAACAAGGCTACGTTGTCTGATGGAGCTGCACGGGATCTCGGACTTCCTCATACCTCCCAACCGAAGACCAACCCTGGTATGCCTTTCGAGAAGATTTTCGGCCAAGCGATTGCTGGCAAGACAGCCGCGGAAAATTTCCGTACGGCTCTCATTTCGCGTCTGGTGGACCGGAACTTGGGCCTTAATATGCACAAGCTCTTTTGCCCGAATGAGGCATGCGATTGTGTTTTGCTTGGTCGGCAAAAGGCTGAATGGCTCGTTCGCGAGACCGGTCCTTTGACGGAAACAGTTCCGACCACGGAAGATGATGCATCACCTGAATCCTCTCATACTGCGGAGAAGGCCAATGCACCGTGGATGAATTCGTTGTTCCAAAGTTCGTCTACCGTGGATACCATCGGCCCTCTGCGTGGCTTCTGGCATGTGCCTGGGCCTATGGGCTTTGACAATGTGGCTTTCTCGCGCGATGTCGAATGGCACGTGCCTAATCGTTCGGCGGCGGTCACCAGTAATGCACGCAGCAATTCCCAGAGCTCCAATGATGACATGGGCTCCTCGAAGCCACGCAAGCGTTCCTTCCGTGAACGAGGCAACAGTTTCGGCAGCTTACGAAACACCTTCCGTCCTCTCGAGCCCATTTCATCCCACCCTGTGAAAGACACTGTGGATGATAACCGCCTTGATGTGATGCCGGGTGAGATCCGCCATGTGAAGTATATCTTGTGTCCTGACTGTGGCTGTGGTCCTCTGGGCTTTCTGATCCACCCGCGTGAAGGCGAGTTGGCTAGTGATCCGTTGAAGCAGGCAGAGTGCTATCTTGCTGCTTTCCGCGTACGTTACGATGTATAGAATGGTGCTTAGAAGAATGGCATGTATGATAATTTACGAGATTGGTGTGTTGTCGTAATTTGAGGCGAGCAGGACTACATAATCGATTTGATTATTGGTATGAGAGTCAAGTACGCTCCCTGCGCAGGCCTTTACAACAACATGGGCGCATGGTCTAGAGGTATGATTCTTCTTTAGGGCTTGTCAACAGACATAGATCCATAGAAGAGGTCCTGGGTTCGATTCCCAGTGCGCCCCTTCGAACTTCCTTTTTACTTAGTCCGTGGACATGATTCTTAATTTTATTCAGCAGCCCTCCTAACTGGGGCTTTTCGTAGGATCGCCACTATGGCTATTGATTAGAATGCATTGAAGTACAAAGCGAGTGAGAACGTCGTCTACGTATTTACTCTTGTTTCGAGTCATCATCCTCACCCTCTTCACGAGTGTCGCCGTATACGCCGTAGATCGCGCTGTCATGTGTGAGTAGCCTAGCATACATACCGATACAGAACACGCCACATGATGACGTACCAGAAGATGTTGAGAAGAAGCAGAAGGAACAGAGGGGCGAACACATGGCACTGCATCCACCAAACGAGCCAATGTCCCTGGGAAGGGTAGAAAGTACGGGCGTACGCCGGAATGAGGTGGTAGTCGGCGTACACTGAGTAAATGGTCAGCGCGCTCAAATAGATCCGGAAGTACGACCAGACGACCATGAATGTACAGTAAACAATCGCTGCAAGGAGGTTCTTGTCCAAATAGTTGAGCATCTTGGAGAGGGCCAGCCATGTGTCCGGAATGTCCATGCAAACAAACACGGTGGTGCCGATCATGGTCAAGTTGATAAAGTACGACCAGCCAATGAGCCAGAGCGTCACTAGGTGATGGGCAACCAGCTCATAATAGTCCTTACGTGGACGCTCAAGGCCCAGAAGCATCACGAACGCCTGCTGCATCCAGTAACTGGCCTGTAGCATGTAGTATAGTTTCAATTCTGGGCGCATTTGCCAGTGTGGGTACTGGTACCACAGGTGCTCCAAGTTGTACCACCAGCTGTCCTGGAATGACATGACGTACAGGCCAATGATACTAGTCGTGCCCCAGTATGTGAGCGCATAGCCCTGCTCAGCAAAACGGATTCGCTTGTTCTCGCTCTTAATGCCCCAGCGCGACGCAAGGGGCTTGAAAACGCGTTCGGTGATGACCTGGCGGAGGATACTGAAGATGATAATGTAATAGCTCATAAAGCAGACATCGAGCCATCCCTTACCGTAGCGCAGCAAAGCCGGCTCGTTCGGGAAGAGCGTCTTGTGCACACCCTGGAAGAACTGACGCAGGTGTGTCAGTACCACATTGTCTGCCGAGTACGTCGGCGCAGGGCCGTACATCGGGTTTTGGGTCAGGCGCATAGCGACCTGCATGTTCGGAATGCGGTACGAAAGGAACAGGAAAGGACGGAAGGGGTTAACAGGGATCGGCACGACATGCTCAAACACGAGATAGCCGATCACAAACACCAGCGCAAATTGGAACGCCAGCCAGGGCGAAACAAGCCAACGAAGCGTGACAATATCACGCAGTACCGAGCGTTTGGGAGCCCGCTTGTGGTCCTGGGCCGAGACTGAAGGCGCCTTCGGGGCGTCTGCAACCGCACTGTCCATGATGGGTGGGGACAACTGGCACGAAACATAAAAAGGCCTCCCCTTTTTGTGAGTAAGTAAGCATGCATAAATGGGTGTCAATCCATTTTTTTGGACGTCGTCATGCCGGTCGCCACGATTGAGAGCACGGCGAGGATGTCTTCGTCGTCGTCCCCTGCCCCCCCTGGGCCGCCGCCTGGGCCGCCACCACGAAGGCCCGTAGTGCCCTTGAAGGCCTCCCTGCGGTCGGCCTCCGCGGCTGCTGCTGAGGAACAGCTTACACGTACGTACAAATGCCTCTCACTTGCAGCCAAGGAAAAATACGCTCGGAGTCAGCAGCGCGAGCTCGATCGGATATTAAAGACTGCTTTCCGTATGAATCCCTATGATATACTCGATCTCACACAGGAGGCGGATGAAAAGACCATCCAAAAAGTATACCGTAAAAAGAGTCTACTCATTCACCCTGATAAGATGAAAGACGACCAAGTACGCGCCGAAGAGGCGTTTGATCTGCTAAAAAAGGCACAGGACTACCTGTTTGACGAGGCGCGGCGTAAGGCGCTTGATGAGACTATGGATATCGCCAGGCAAGTTGCGCTGCGGGAGCTGGCGCTGCCCATCTCTATGACCAAGGACGAAATCGAATTGGAGCAGGTACCTGGCGGGCGCCTTGATGGCCTTGTCCCATCGTGGAACGACCGTGTGAAGCTATGCTACAAGCACATTACTCTGGACGAGGAGCTGAAAAAGCGCAAGTATGTATGATCGTTGCTACTGACGTCAGAGCCGTGCAAATGAAACAGGAAGCTGAGATTGATGCGGCGAAACTGCGCGAGGCGGCCGAGGCCGAGCGGAAACGACGTGCGGATATGGACAACGCATGGGAAGAATCACGCGAAGAGCGGGTACAAGGGTGGCGCTCGTTCCAAAAGGGCGCCAAGCGCAAGAAAAAGTCGCCGTCCGTGCTTGGATAGACTCTACCGCTGTTGACTATAGATACGCGCTAAGCGAGCTAGCGCGTCCTTGTAACATGACATATATGGCTCGAACACATCCGCTTTGATCTTCTCCGTGTGCACACGGTCCCACTGCCCAGCCTCACGTAGCATGCGCTTGAAGTGGTACACTTCCTGCTCTTCCACCAAGCTCCACGCATCGCCCGTTCGCCCAGCACGAGCTGTACGACCGACTCGATGCACGTACTTGGCCATGTCAATAGGAATGTCATAGGACACCACATGCTGCACATCCGGCAAATCAATACCACGCGCAATCAGATCCGAGCATACCAACACATCAATCTCGCCGTCTTGGAAGCGTCGAAGCATCGTTGCTCGCTCCCCTGTGCCCAGATCCGACGAGTAAAACTGGATCTGCAACGGCGGAGCACCAGCTTGTTGCGCCCACGCCTCTTCGAAGAACGTCAGCAGACGCACAAGGCGATTCGCAGCTTCTACACTCTTTGTAAAGCACAACGCATGCCGCACTGGCTGTGTGTACGTCGTATGCAGCAAGTGCAACAGGTGCAATACCTTGCTGTGACTCGGCGTGACTACCATATGCTGCTGCAGCTTGGCGGGTAGCGCAAACGACTCTTGCTCGGTACTTTCACCCAGATCGCGAACGCGAATATAGTGGGGATCACGAAGATGAAGTGCTCCCATCTTGGCAGGATCCCGCGTGAGCGTCGCACTAAACAGAAGCTTTTGCACACTGCTCTGTGGCGCAGCCAAGTCGTCCTGCGTCCATGGCGCCTCGGCCATCTCTGCCGCGAGCGACTGCGGAGCGGCCGTGCCTGCATGTGTATGCGACTCCATGGCATCGAGTAGAATCGGGACCCACTGCTGGAACGACTGGCCTAAGAGTCGATCAGCCTCATCGATGACCAGGAAACGCAAATGCTCCAACGTAAAGCCAGGTGTGCCACGTACATGATCGACCAAACGCCCAGGCGTAGCAATCACTACGTCGACCAAGCTTTGCGTATCGTCGCCCACTTGCCGGACCAATTGCGCCTGTTCCTGCCGGAACTTGTGGCTGCCGGTGATGGCGGCTGTTCGTAGCCCACTGCCTTTGCCGACCGCGTCGAACATATCACGCACTTGGACAGCCAAGTCGCGTGTCGGCACCAGGATCAAAGCACGGAGTTGGACAATGACGCGCGTTTGCAGCAGTTCCACAATGGGGACTGTGTATGCCAGCGTCTTACCACTGCCTGTCGGCGCTGAGACACAGAGATCACGAGGCGGTGCATACGGCAAGTACAGTCGATGCGATGCCGTATGATTCATGAGCCATGGAATGACAGAGGCTTGCACAGCAAACCATTCTTCGATACCTAGTCGTTCTAGCTGTCGGCGTACCGATGTGCTGAGGCGTACACCGCCAATGTCCTGGGTATCGAGGGTTTGGGTATGCGACATAGATACATCGGTCGGCTTCGATAGCGCGGCGGGAATGCCTTGCGACGTCAGCAACTGGGTATCAATGGCCGTCGTTTGCTGAGGCCGTGGAAATCGGTATAGGTATTTGGATGATGCAGGCTCTTCGGTCATCGCTTCTTCTTCCATGGATGCCTCTGTCCCAGGCTGCAATGGATCGGCCTGGATCGTTGTCGGGATCTCTTCTTCGTTTGGGACAACGGCTAGCGACTCCTCCTTGTCAAAGTGTGTCGCATCACTTTCTGTATCCGAAGAAGCGCTCTCCTTAGCCACAATCTCTGTAGGGCGTACACGTTTTGGTTCGGCGTGGTCGTCGTCCTGCCCCGGTGCCCTCTCCGCTGCCCGCTTTTTCTTGCCTTCGCCAAAGGGTTTGGGCCCAGCCGCTTTCCTGGCTTTCCGTCGTTCTTTCTTCGCTTTCAAGTACCGTTGCTTTGCCTTGGTCTTTGCCTTCGGCGCAGGCATCGCTGTACTCATGAGGACGCCAACGGTGCGCGCTACGACACAGGGCAAAAAAAATCTCGTATACGGCGTGCGTGCGTGTGTTCGCAAGTGGAGTGTTTCGACGCTGAGTCAGCACAACGAGCGTCTGAGGTTGTAGCCTCGCGTCGTTCGTGCTGGACAGCTCCAAGGCACTCTTAGCGCACGTCGCACGGTCCTTCCATCATGTCGAGCACATCACAGCAGGTGTTGAGCAATCGCGAGTACGATACATTAGTGAAGGAGAAACGGTTGGAGGCCTACAAGAAGTGCGATCCGATCGTGCAAGGTAGGTGCATGCTACATGCTAGGTACTTACATTGCGTAGAATTTGTCGCATGTACCAAGGAGTATATGCTCTCTGTGGGATGGGCCTGCAAGGAGCAGAGCCAGAAGATGCGCGAGTGTCTGCACCAATAGTACGTGAGAAGCGCTGGCTGACATTCAGTATGAACCCAGAGAGTCTGCTGGAGGCAGAGAAAGAATATCTACGAACCCACCGCAAACTAGCGCGTACCTCATAGATATGTAGTATGGTCCTACTGAGCACAAGATGTGGCCATCGCACCGCGCCATGTACGACTGTATGGCTCTGCCGCCGTCTGTGCGACGGCCACGTGGGTCTACGGATGCGAAGGACAGAGTGGCGTGTTTCCATATGAATACACACCTCTATTGCTATGTCACACGCCACTTGGGCCAACACCAAAAAAAAATGTGGCTGACCAACACAACCTTCTCATACCATCATGGTGGCCAAGTACACGAGTGAACAAGTGGCCAAGCACAGCACGGAGAAGGACTGTTGGGTCACCTTCCGGGGGAAGGTGTACAACCTGACTGAGTTCATCATGGATCATCCAGGTGGCGAGGATGTGATTCTGGAGTACGCTGGCAAGGATATCACAGCCATCATGGCGGACCCTCTCTCCCACGAGCACTCGAAGAGTGCGTATGCAATGATGGACGAGTTCCTGATTGGAGAGCTGGAAGCGATGCAGAATGTGAGCACTACTGATGATGATATGCCATTCTTGCCTGACAACGCGACCATCACGGATGATTTCCACCCGAAAGAGACCGATACGGCGAAGGACTTTGCCAAGCACCATTTCCTCGACCTGGACAAGCCGCTACTGGAGCAAATGTGGAAGGCCAACTTTACGAAGGAGTTTTACCTGGAGCAAGTGCACATTCCGCGCCACCGCAAGGAACCAGCAACGCTCATGCCATTTGCGTTCTTGGAAGTGTTCACGCTCACGCCATGGTACGTGATTCCGATGCTGTGGCTGCCGATTGCGGCTGTGTTCTTTTTCAAGTCGGTGATGCAGTTCCAAGCGCAGTTCACGGAGGGCGGCTGGGCGGCTTCGTCGGCGCTGGCCTACTCGAGCACGCTGGCCTGCTATGTGTTTGGCGTCGCATTCTGGACATTCCTTGAGTATCTTTTCCACCGTTTCCTCTTCCATATGGACAACTACCTGCCACGCTATCAGGTGTGCTACATGCTACACTTTTTGCTGCACGGTATCCACCATTTCCTGCCGATGGATCGCTACCGCCTTGTGATGCCGCCTGTGCTCTTTGCCATTCTCTCGTTCCCGATGCTTCTTCTAGCACATGCCGTGCTGCCTACGGCTTGGGCCAATGGCGTGATTGCTGGCTCGTACTCCATGTACGTTGTCTACGACACGATGCACTACGCGATGCACCACACCCGTCTGCCCGAGTACATCCGCAAGCAGAAGCGCTACCACCTTGAGCACCATTACAAGAACTACGAGCTTGGCTTTGGTGTGACCAGCCCGATTTGGGACTTTGTGTTTGGCACGCAGCTCCTCACTGTATAACATAGTTTATGACCCATGTAGTCTGTCCTTTTCTTGTCCTACGACGTCTCCTGCCACTGCTTCATCCATGCGCGACTATCGCCCTGCGTCATCGCCACATTGTGCGATACAGTGCGTAGTTGTACACGCATACCTGGCTGATGCCCTGTGATGGTATGCAAGGCTGGCCCGGCAATCGACGATACAGCGCTTGTGAGGGTGGGCATGTGCTCGGTGGCTACGCGGACCACCGCCTCGCCTACCACGCGCGGTGTCGGCTCTTGCGGCGGCCCGGCATAGAGCACATCGAGAGCTACAGCTCCATGGACCACGCCATGCATTTGCTCGAGGGCCTGTGCAAGTCCTTGTCGTACCGATAACTCGGACGGCGCACGTTGTGCTGGGTCTTGGGCCACGAACGTCACGACGAGGTACTGGTACGGCGTCTGTGTGCGCGTCGTGCGATGGGCCCTTGGGCGTTTTGGCGACGTTTCCATGGGGGGCGGAGCTGTGTGGGTGTTGGCCTTGGCCTCATTGCCTTGGTTTTCCTCGTCCTCGTCGTCCGCTTGGGGCTCCGCTTCCAGGACCAAGGCCATGGCAGGATGCGCGGCTATCATCCGACGTATATCGGCCGGGGTCATGCATGTCATATCGAAGGCAATACCTACAGGCCTTGCATTCTCACTCGCTGATGTGCTGAGCCGCGCCAGCTTCGGGTACCGCTGCGAAAAGTGCGTGAGAAGGACATGCGCCGCGTTCATTTTCTGCGCAATGTGCAAGGCCTGTCCGATGGTGCTATGCCCTTTCTGCGCCGCGAGCTCTGCCTCCTCGTCTTGCATCGTGGCTTCGTGAATGAGAACCGTAGCACCTTGAGCAGCGTCGGCCAACGCGTCGCATGGCATCGTATCACCGCTAAACGCGATGGACCATCCACGCTGATGCGTGAGGATCACGCCGTAGCAGTGACTTGCGCGGTGCTGCACGGCAACCGTTCGAACGCTGGCGAGGTGGGAATACTGCGTCAACAACGCCAGCACCCGCAACGATGCTACATCACGAGGTGGCGTGCCATTGTCTCTAGCCACATGTGGATCGGGATCAATACCATCCCGCCAGTCCAACGTCGCATTGTCGATCGTGAGAACACTGCCATCCCGCAGGCCAAGGTGCTCCAATCGATCGTATTCACGCAAGTAGAAGCGCGTATAGTTGTTCGATATCAAGATCAAGGGCCGAGACGGCGCTAGTTGGCGTCGTGCTAGCAACAGTCGCGCGACGCCCATATGATGATCGCCGTGAATATGACTGATGAAGATCATACGAAGCTGCCGCAGCACAGTCTCGATCCCCACGCCGTGCCAACCACGTTCACCCGGCCCAAAGTATCGCGCTAATTGGAAATACGTGCTTTCGCCTGCGTCTAGCAGGATGTATCCATCGCCATCGGGCAGACAGAGGAGCGTGCTCAACACGTTGCGGTACTTTGACGGCGCCGAACTGCCCGTTCCAAGAGTCACAATCTGGACATCGTCGGCCAGGCCAGCCGCTTCACTCGCTGGCGGCACAGGCGGCTGCGAACGCACTGTATCGGCCATAGCACAGTACGTCTGCCATGTGGACGCTAGAGCGCCTGACAACGCCGCGACATTGCTCATCTTCGCGATCGGCTTATCAAATACAGGCGCCACCTCCGGCAGAAGCATAGGCGATCCGCGCGGCTGCATGTTGATCAGCATGTGTCGTTGCACTGGCACAGCATCAGATACCTGCTGCTTAGGCTCCGTCGTGTATCCAGGTACACGGAATACGTTCTCATCCAGTTGCGAAAGCCGAAGAAGAGATACAGCACTAGATGTATACGATAGACTGTCAGCACACACCTCCCGATTTGCAACAATGTGATGACAGTCAGGGCCAAAGGTGGCCCGCCATGCAGCGTACCGTGCATCGGTATACACATGCATCGGTGTCGCATGCAGCATAACATGCGGTGTACGGCGCTGCTCGGGTGGGGACGTTGCATTTGCTGCGACTTGGTACGGCGCAAATGCTGCGGCAGCTGGTGCCGTCAACAGCGCTTCCAAGTATGCTGAGCTCGGAACGTGGCAATACACAAACACAGTGCCTGGCCGTGAAGGGCCGACCACGTCCGTACTGTGAATGCGGATGGTATCGGTAGGTACAGACGAAATGTCATCCTTCTTCCTTCGTCGTAGCCACTGCTGTCGCTCGTCCGCGCTCATAGATGACCATGCCTTGGGCCGCTCAATGTCCACATCCTCGCCCCGCGTAAGACGCGCATACGCCGGGCCGGGTGGGATCCCAAGCTCAGCGGCGCGTGCTGCATCAAACTTGCCACGTTGTTCTTGGCCGGCGACAATGTACGCAAAGATAGGGACCTGCCGACCTGCCTCACTGCCATGTGTCGCTGGCGGCAGCCATGGAGGTGGCAGGGCATGGGGCGATCGTGACGGCGCGTATCCCCGCTCCTCCGGTGGCGTCGGCGTTGTTTTCCACGCATCTGATAAAATGGCTTTGTACCAATGCTGCGCTTCAGCGCCTTGCAACGCGCTAGGACGCCATTCTGCCGAGCGCCAAGGCTCTTGACCTGGTATCCATGGCGCATCACTCGGCGCCGGCGGCGAGGGCAATGCGCCTAACAAAGATGGGACAAGCGGTACAGCCTGGACTTCAATGTGCTCGTCCGAAAAGCATACATGCGGCTCATCCACCCGCATTTCGTGCGTATGCACCGCCATTGATTCACGTCGTGCATAAAAACGTGTCGTGGCCAAGGCATACTCCAAATTCGGCGGGCCATGAAGATGTACACCACTGCGCCCTCCGTCAGCTAGTGTCATCAAGAGACCTGGGACACCGCCTATTGTCTCGGATGCGATCCGTGTGAGGAACAAATGCTCGACACGTGTATTCGAGGAACGGTACTGCGCCGAAAGACGCGTTGTGCCTTCCCCGGCGTTGAACATGTACTTCTTTGCATCACATTGAAGAAGCACTGTAGGGATATCACTGGTATCAGACGAAGGCGATGCAAGAAAACGAAGGCTCACAGGTGCCATCGTGACCTTAGTCCGCACACCCGCGCGGAGCCAGCTGGTTGCTGTGCGCACTCGCAACACGGCGTATGCCACTATACGAAGGCGTAAGTCGTCGCAAAAATGTGCTTTGCTGGGCAAGAATAGGCGTCCCTACACTCCCCTCCTCGCAACGCACACGTCACAGCTGTCCCTAGTAGCTCGCGTCCACGAGGCACCTGCGTCACGCTGCAATCGCGTGTCAGCGAAGGTCTACGCCCCCTCTCGTACCTCGTTTTTGCACGTGATACATCGCTCTACAAACGGATTACCTTTGAAGGTTTGGGCAGGTCTATGACGCAGGCGCGGATGGCTCTTTCGCATGTGCTGGCTCCTTTGACGTAGGGGCTGTACTGCCAAACCAACCTGGAGGCAGGGGACGTTGCTCCTCGCCAAGATATAGGCGTTTGTATAGCATATCTGTCCTAGGTTAGTCATACTCCCCAATTTGGTTTTTACCCACAAGAAGAGACCACCATAACGGGAATAGTAAAGGTAAGGACCTTAGCCATGAGTCGAGAAATGGGGGTTAACGTACGCGCAATCGCTGCTGGAAAGCTTGGTTGCTCATCGTAGCTTCACAGTTGATATAGAAAGAGAGAAAAAAATAACACTGGTACCGGTCTGTGTATAGCAGGCAGAACCTCAATTACCAAACCCTTGTCTCTATTTGGCTATGGACTTGGAACCGTGGTGGTGCTACCTGCGTTTTCAGAGATTGCTACCTTTGTCCGATGCTAGTGAAGATTCGAACTCAATCTGCATACATACACCGTCGATGGCCCGCATGGATCGGTGTGAATCTTTTTTTTTAGTAAGACAAAATGAGATGTTATGTTGGTTTTAAAATTCTTTCGCTCGATTGGTACCGTTGTTTATGAGAGGGACCCTTTTTTCGCGCGGGAAGGTGTGCATCCACAAGATATATGCATAGCACATGCAGGCTGTCCCGACCATCTCTTGCTGTGTCACAATCGGGCGTCACGCGTGATTTCAATGGTAGCGCCAACTGCCCGAAACAGCGATATTCTGAACGAAAAATACAAGTCTGACCAATAAGATTACCAGATCTCATTTCGATAGCGTTAAAGGTGCACGATGAGATTTCAACACAATGTCTTTCCATATTCCAACTCTATAATCCGATATGGCAATTGCTAGTGCCCGGTATAAATATTTCAAATTCTGAGTGTTTTTATTGCAAGAACAAGAGTCGAGACGACAACGATCTCGCCCTTCCCGCCCGTCTCGCCTCATTATGCTCAAGTTTCTCATTTTTTTCCTGGCTTGGGTATGCGTCGCTAGCTTTGCCGCTGTGTTGCCAATGGATTTGCAGAGTCGGCAGTATAGCACTGACACCCAGGAGGAGATCTCAAAGCAGTCTGAATCGGATCCCCTGGGTGCGACGAACAAGGTGCAAAAAATGCCGAATATTGGTACACCTGGCTACAAGAGCTTTGCTACATCCGAATACGGTGTTGTACACCCCGGCGAAAACTCAGCACACAACCAAGTGCCATGGTTCGATGATGGCGATTTCCCGTTTATGCAGCCCAAAGGTGCCGATCGTGATTCCAACGGCGGCCTTACCTCTGTTCCCCACTCGACGCATGGCTTTGTTCTTAAAGATGACCTGAAGCTCAAGGGTGATGCAGTTCAGCCCTACTATATAACGGAAGATTACGATGCCGATTCTGTAAAGCGTGCCGTGATTGTGTTCCCTGGTATGCCTCGCGATGCGTGGAAGTGGGCGACATTGATGCAGAATGCGTTCCACTACGTTTATGCGAAAGGCAAGTATGGAATGAAGAAGAAGGACACGATCATTCTTTCGCCTCTGGCTCTTAACGAAGATGATCAGACCGCTGGTGCTGTAACGAACAAGAATTGGGCAGTGTATCGGGGCTCGAATTGGGAAGCCGGTGGCGCTTCCATTGCGCCTTCGGGGGATGATGGTGTGTCTTTCTACACTATGGTTGACAAAATGATCGACATGCTGCTTGACAAAGATACTTTCCCTAATCTGGACAAGGTTGTTTTGGTTGGACACTCGATGGGCGCTCAGGCCGTGCAACACTACTCTGTCCTTCGCCAGAAGAATGATGATCAAGAGGATTCGTTGTTGTGGTGGATTGGCAACCCTGGCTCTTGGACTTGGCTGAACGGCGGCCGTCCGACGTACTGGCCTAACTGTCAAAGCCAGATGGACTTGTGGCCATATGGCTTGGACAAATCCGGTCGTATTAGCTACAACAAAGATACGAGCAAAGACGATCTCGTGTCTACGTTCCGTGGCCGTACTGTTCAATTCGCATTGGGTCTGGCTGACAATGGTGCGGGCAACACGCATTGTCAAGCATACTATCAGGGTGCCAACCATCTGGACCGTGGCTCACACTTTATTCAAAGTGTAGCTGGTATGAGTGGCGGCTTCCCAAGCAACTTTGAGGTCAACTATGTCGCAGGTGTAGCTCATCAAGACTATCCCATGTTTGCCTCCTTCCGTTCATTGGATTTCATTTTTGGCAAGGACTTTTAATCTCTGAACTCATATTTTTCTCAAGTTTCGTTGCATCCTGTTTCTGAACACACTTTGAATAGGATCCTACATAGACTATTGTTAAGGTTTTTTTCTTTCTTATTTGGCCTATTCATAACTACGCGTATTCGCGTTGCATGGTAAAAAAAAAAAAAGAATCGCAGCAACTGCAGCAGCATAAATCAGGAATGGCAAACGTACTACTACCGGCACGCGTTCTTCTTTCGTTTCTGCTCGTCATTCTGCTTTTCTTCCTGCATGAGATGCACATCCAACGTGTTGCGCGACGCGCGGCTCTCCGGCCGAAGCCCTACTAACTTTCACGTACCTCGGGCTTACCTAACCAAGCTGCAGCCAAATCGGTAATTGAATAATCCGTACGGGATTCTGCATGCAAACAGTCTGAATTCCCACACTCCATTGGATGGTGTATATATAATATCTATCATACATTCTTAATCGGTCCAATGCATGGATAAGTATGGGTTTCTGGTTAAGTATAGGTTTCTGGTAAACAGACAGTCTGGCTGCCCGCCCGCGAACGGCAAACAACAGACTCCGACGCCGCTTGCTCTCTCCCACACTCATCGTCATGACTGACGCGCAATCTACCCTGACCCGGGCCACGACTGCCAGTCGCAAGTCCACTATTGCTAGCCGTAATGCTTCGCTGATCAAGAAGAACACGGGCCCTCTTGAGCTCCGCCCGTCGGACATCCTGATCGAGCGCTTCAACGGTACGTGTATTTTGTTTATCGGCAGCCCCGAGGGAGTCTCAGACTGCGGTTTTGTGGTCTCCCATGGTGTCGAAGAACTCTAAGAACATGACTAACGTTCAGGCTGGAAGAACATTGTCAAGATGCTGATTGCCTACTTCGAGGGCATTGCTGACATTGAGTACAACACTGCCAAGGAGATGACCAAGCTTGGTGGCGTGATCCAGGTACCGTTCCGTGAGGGCAACCACTTCCTCGGTGAGGACGGTATCCAGGATGTGTTCTACAGCATTCGCGAGAAGTCGCGCACCATTGCTGACCACCACGCCAACCTGGCCAAGACCGTGGAGGGCTCGATTGTCCAGCACCTGCAGAAGCTCCGTGCCGAGATCAAGGCGCACATCCGCAACGTGCAGCAGGACACCGGTAAGCTCGCCAACTCGGTGGCTCGCGAGCGTGAGGTGTCGACCAAGATGATTTCGGACCTTGCCCGTTCGATTACTCTGCTGAAGAACACCCCGATGAGCGTGAGCCCGCGTGAGGACCCCTACCTGTCGAACCAGGGTGTGGCCTCGCAGCTGCAGCGCCAGGTGAACGAGGAGAACGCTCTGCAGAAGAGTATTATTATCATGCAGCAGAACTCGGCTCACTTCGAGGAGGGCATTGTCCGCAGCATCCAGAGTGCTTGGCAGACCTTCGACGAGTGGAGCGGCCGTATGTCGGCGCAGGTCCAGGACACCTGGCTGGGTCTTGGTGTGCACATGCGCAGCCTCGAGCCCAACGCCGAGTGGATTGCCTTTGCTTCGCGTTCGGACCACCTGCTCGACCCCGACACGCCGCTGCGCAACCCCGAGACGATCGACTACCCCGGCAAGGAGGACCCGTCGGTCATCCCGGTGCACCAGGGTATGCTCGAGCGCAAGAAGCGCTTCACCAACTCGTACAAGGAGTCGTACTACGTGCTCACCCCGGCCGGTTACCTCCACGAGCACGCCTCGTCGGACCAGACGCGCCACCCGTACCCCGAGCTGTCGCTCTTCTTGCCTGAGTGCACGCTCGGCGCTCCTTCGACTGCGCACGCCAACACCCACAAGTTCCACATTGAGGGCCGCACTGGTACGCAGAGCGGTGTGTTCGGCACCAACGTGGCTTACACGTTCCGTGCTCGCAGCCACGACGAGATGATGGAGTGGTGGAACGACATCAAGCAGCTCGCTAAGGTCTACCTGACCACCAGCGAGCAGATGGACCGCTCGGGCCCTGTTCCGGCCGCTGTCCGCGCTGCTGGTTACCGCGACGAGGATGAGGAAGACGACGAGGAAGATGATGAGGAAGACGAGGAGGAGGAGTACGAGGAGGGTGAGTACCTCCCCTCGTCGAGCCACCACTACGGTGCTGCCCCGCCGATCCCCTCGAACGTGACGGCGGCTGCCCCGGTTACCGTGCTGGATGACAAGCGCCGTGAACAGATCCCGGCCTACTCGGGTCCGGGCCGCAACTCGGGTGTGGAGATCGGCTCGAACGGTTACGCCGTTGAGAAGAAGCCGGAGTTGAAGGATGGCGCGCAGGAGACTGCTCACATTTCCTCGTAGATTCTTACCCTGCCTTTACCTCACTTGATGAGTGAGGAAACTACTGATCGTCTAATCGTTTTATAAATATCCCTTGGCTTCCGTTAAGGTTGAATTAAATCGTTGTGGAGTTTCTCTCTATTGGTGGTAGTATGTGTGTATATTATAGGTTTGCACCCAGGGACTAGGAGGAGCGACGCCCTCCACTTCGTCGCTTCAGCCCACACGCGATATGAGCGACGTGGCATCTGCCGGCGGCTTTGCGCCTGCCTCTGGGTCCGCTGCCTCGCCACTTCAGGAGGCGGGACCTAGTGCACGTCGTGTGTCGTACTGGGCCCCTTCCAAGTACTTGGAAGCCCCTTCCCTTCCTTCACAGGACACGCGCGAAAAGGAGGAAGAGGCTGCGACAGCGACTGCCATTGCTGTAGGGTACGAAGGCCGACGTGCTCGTCGTTATGTTCATCGACGTACGATCGACTACTGGGGTAGTATTCCTCTCTATGCATACAAACGCGCATGTTTGGCTACAGGTGGGCGTCGCGACTGGTACTTGCGGCCCAGTCCTCACCAAGTCGTGGACTTGTTGCCTGCGCATGCCTACCCTGAATCTGCCACGTCTGTGGCGAGCGTGCTTGTCCACACATCTACAAACAAGGTCCGATGTCCTGTCAACATAGTGCGCTGGCTTCCGGAAGGCCGGCGTCTCTTGACAGGCTCTACGAGTGGCGAGTTTACATTGTGGAATGGCTTCACCTTCAACTTTGAGACCATTCTGCAAGCACATGACTCGGCAGTGCGTGCGATGGAATGGTCCCACTCTGGCTCTTGGCTTATTTCAGCGGATCAGAATGGTCAGATCAAGTACTTTCAAAGCAATATGAACAATGTACAAGCTTATACAGGTCATCGTGATGCGATTCGTGGTATGAGCTTTGCGCCGGATGACCAGCGATTTGTAACGGCATCGGACGATAGTACGCTCAAGATCTGGGGCTTCGATGAGGCGCAAGAAGAATCTACACTCAAGGGCCACGGCTGGGAAGTCAAGTGTGTGGAATGGCATCCGACCCAAGCGCTTCTCGTATCTGGCAGCAAAGACAATCTTGTGAAGTTTTGGGACCCGCGTTCAGGCGGTGAGCTTGGTACCTTCCATGGCCACAAGAATACCGTGCAGGCGGTGCGCTGGAATCCGAATGGCTATCTGGTCGCTACAGCCTCTCGTGATCAGTCTATCAAAATTTATGATACCCGTGCTATGAAAGATGTATACACCTTGCGTGGTCATGCGAAAGAAGTATGCAGCTTGGAATGGCACCCTATTCATCATGACCTACTTGTATCCGGTGGCTCCGAAGGGTCCATGCTCTTCTGGTCACTACGATCTTCCACGCCAGAGACGCCCATCCATGTCATGGAGGCGGCGCACGAATCCAACGTATGGAGTGTGCAATGGCATCCGTTTGGTCACTTACTGGCCAGTGGGAGCAATGATCATACAACACGGTTCTGGAGCCGCAGTAGGCCTGGTGAGCAGGTGCAAGAGGCCCATGATGCGGCGGACGATCAATGGAATGCAGGTGTCGCCTCTGACGTACAAGGTATGTCGATTGTCGCTACTTACCTCCTAGACGGTGTGATCCCTGGTTTGGCACGACGAGACCGAGCCGTTCGTGACCAGCGTTCAGGTACGCCCACCATGGCATCGTCGGACGATGCCATCCCGGGCCTGGGCGCTCGGTCTTTGTCGCGCCCTGTGCGCCGCGGCGATCGATGGCACACCCACACAGGCGGTTGGTAGACAGCCACGCTGAGGTGTTGCCACGTGTTCACATACACACCTCCATCGCGTAGGACGTCCTTGACGCGGTGCCCGCGGCCAGGATGGTTTCTCGCGTCCATCGCCTTCGCGGTATGTATCTTCTCCCTTCCCCCTCCTTTTGTATGATGAACGGTTCGCTTTGCTGGCACCAGTCGTAGCCTACATGCCGATACCTACCCCGAGCGGGCATTTTACGCTATTGGCCTTAGCTCCTGAGACACTTCCCCTCCCCTTCTCTCCCCTCCCTGTGTTTGGAGCTGAATGCTAACGTCATAGATGCCACAAGACAAGGACAAACAGTCGCGGACGCCAAAGCGGCGCTCCAAGGCGGATGTCGATAGTGAAATCGAGTTTTCTTCTCCCACGAAGCGATCCAAGCTGCGCCGCAAACGCACGAGTGAGAAAAAGGCGAAGCATAGTGACGACGAGGCTCGTCCAGCGACGCCAGACACGCCATGGACGCCACCCCGCTCATTTTCGCCTAGCAAGGTAGTGACGCCGACGACGCCGGCGACGCCGGCGACGCTGCCTCGCTCACCCACACCGCCTCCTACGTTCATGCGGCCTGTGAGTGTGCAGCCTTCACCTGCGCCTTCTTCACTCTCGCCGTTCCGGTCATCTGCGGCACCGAAATTCTCCGAGACCATCATACCCACGCCGTCCAAGGCTTCACGTTCGGACGATATACCCGCGGCATCCATGCCGACAAGCACCCCTTCGCCTACGCCTCTTGAAGAACCGGACGATTTGCGCCTGGAGCAACAGATAGCGCGACGGGCTCGTGTGGCTCGCAAACTGAGCCAATATGCCCCTGTACTCCGTACGCTCCTTCTTCTTGGTGCTCTGCTTTTGCTTGTGCTGCTGCCGATTGCCAAAGAGCCCTTCTCACGGGCTGTGTATGTCGACGAGAATGCACTGCAGCCCGGCCAGACGTCCACGTCATGGAGTATGGACGATGTCCATGAAGCCGATCGCTTCTCTGCCGACTTGCTGGCCCTGGCTGAGCGCAATGTGACAGAGCGGTACGAGTACATTGCCGCTCAGCTTCGCGCCTTTGGACTCGATGTGTATACACAGTCCTATTCGTTCCACGTACCTGGCTCAGCGCCGATTCAAGGTACCAATATCTATGCACGTGCACGAACGCCTCGCATTGACGGACGTGAGGCCATTGTGCTGGGCGCTAGCTGGCAAAGCCGTTGGCGTGCGTCGCCCACGGCTTCGAAAGTCTTACCGTACGTCCCAAACGACGGCACGGATTGTGCTCTGAACATTCGCGGCGTATCTTTGACGTTGGCCATGGCCCAGCATGTGTCACGCATTCCTTACTGGAGTAAAGATGTGGTATTCGTGCTGTCGGACAGCTACTTGGACGGCATGCAGGCGTGGGCCTCAGCATGGTTTGGACAAATGCATCCACATCTCCACGCTGAGCCCGTCTATGGTGCTGGCTCGCAGATCTGGAATGCACTGATGCTGGACTATCCCGGCGACTCCTACTCGTCGATCTCGTATCTCCATGAGGGCCGCGATGGTCAGCTGCCCAATCTCGACACTCTTAATGCGATTACGGAGATCCTGCGTTTGTCGCATATGCAACCAGCCTTGGGCTTGCATGGCTCGACGCACGAGCAAGTGCTTCAGACACCACACGCTTCCGCATTCCCCTCATGGCTACCCATGTCCTGGCTGGAGACCACATTGCTTGGCCGCGATGGCGTGCATTGGTACTTGGCCGGCTGGCGTGCGTTGCTGACACAGTTCCGCTTGCTCCTTGCTGGCCATCCCAGTGGTATTCACGGCGTCCTTCTGCCTTTCCATGTGGACGCTGTCACTCTCTTTGCCGAGCCCGCCTCGGGCCCGTACGGTTTCCAGCATCTGGGTCACGTCACAGAGTCGGCGCTGCGTACGTTTTCCAACTTGTTAGAACGACTGCATCATTCGCAGTTCTTTTACCTGCTTCCCACGCCGTATCGCTTCGTACCTATCGGCGTGTTCCTGTTTGTGCCGCTCTTGCTTGCTGCTGTCCTAACGCTTCGGGGCCTGTCGTTATGGAATGCCTTGGGCCGAGCGCGTGATGCCCAGCGCACAGCATGGCGCACGCAGCACACACCTGCCGATGACGCGGGGGCCCTCTCGCTGCTGGCCCAGCCGACGTACGCTGAGTTTGCTGCGCTGTGCCAGGATGAAAACGCACGCGCTCAGTTCCTGTCGTACAACCGCCCTGTCCTCTCAGCCCTGCTCGCCATGGTGTTGATGGTGGCAACCGGCCTAGCCGGCCTGGCCGTCCTGGTATCCATGACGCCGACGCCTCGGGCGTTTACGCAGCTCATTGTGACGCTTACCTTGGTGCCTTTGGTCTGTGTGCAAATGTGCCCACGTTCATGGGCCAAGTCGTTGGCACAATGCATCCACGCCTTTGCCCTCCTGCACGCCGGAATGCTGATCAGTGTGCTAGCGACGTTGAACTTCGCGCAGGCTACTGCCATGGCCTTGTGCTTGAGCCTGACACTCTATCCGCTGTCCCCACCAACGTGCTCTTCTCGGGTTGGATACAGACTCATGACGTTGTGGCTGACCATCGCTACGCCGCTGAGTCTTTGGGTTATAGCCCTCGCTGTGCCGTCGACGTCGGCGATGGCGCAGGCCTTGCTTTTGCATGCTGTGCGGGATTGGTACGTTGTACGTACCTCTACTCTCAGTGTGCTCTTTGTAGGATACATGCCGCTGGCATGGCAGAGCGTGCTAGCCGCAGGTCTGTACGCTCGCGCTGCATAGGATGCCGTCTCATCATAGTAGCCATTCCAACCATTGACGAAAAAAGTGGAGGGACCTCTCGGTATCGCTCCACGCCGTACATTCGCGTTTCCCCTGTGCTGTGATGCTGGTGCTACGCCACGCCGCTGTGCAGGCTGTGCGCACCTCGCGCATTGCGCGTGCCATGCACACAGCCTCTTCGATTGACCCTTCGGACATTGCACACTTTTCGCGCCTGGCCGAGCATTGGTGGGACGAGGATGGCGAGTTTGCGCCGCTGCATCGTATGAACCGAGTACGTATCGACTTTATGCGGCAGAAGCTGGAGGAGGTACGTGAATGGGACGCAGCAATGGCCGATGTGTGCGGTACATCATACGACTACCAACCTTCGACCACTTTCCTGGACGGGATGGACATGCTGGATGTTGGCTGTGGTGGCGGTATCCTCGCTGAAGCAGCGACGCGGCTGGGAGCTCGCGTTACCGGCGTCGATGCTTCCGCTGAAAATATTCGCATTGCCTCGCTGCATGCTGCACAAGACCCTGCCTTGCGTCTTCGTGAGGCTGACAGCGAGGCGCCGGCCGGCGCCTCGCTGGCTTACGTCCACTCATCTGCTGAAGCCTTGCAAGCGCAAGGCCGGCAATTCGATATCGTCACAGCGATGGAAGTGGTCGAGCATGTGAACCAGCCAGCCGACTTCCTGCGGTGCCTCGCCTCGCTTGTCAAGCCGGGCGGCCACTTGTTCATGTCAACCATGTCGCGCACGGCGCTCTCGTACTTCATCACGATCTTTATGGCTGAGCATATGCTGCGTGTCGTGACACCAGGCACACACCGTCATTCCCAGTATATCAACCCTGACGAAATGGTCAGCTTTTTCCGTACATTGGGTTGGATCCCGACCGAAGCCGACGTCCTCTCGCAGCGCCCCACTTTGCCCGACGGACGAAAAGCTGCGCCGCTGCCGCCGCGTCTCCAATTCGAGACGCGCGGTACAATGTACATCCCTGGCCTAGGGCGCTGGGTGCTTGCGCCGTCGTCTGTCGCAGACTCACATGCTACAGGGCGCTCAGAGGCTTGGCTGCCTACGTTGCTAGGCGGCGGCTTACGTCCTACCGAACTATGCAACTACTTTTTCTGGGTTCGTCGGCCCCTCTCATCATCATAGTCTTGCTTCTAGTATACAGTTGCGGAACCACTGCGTATCGTGCGTGCCACATTCATCTCGTGCAATCGTCCCTGTCTCTTGCTCTACACTTGTGAGCAAATCACGGATTAGTGCTAAAGGGGTGTGCTCCACCTGGGCCACGTCCGCGGTGCTACGTCCTTCCGGCTGCACGGCGTCCAAGTACGCCAACACACGTGCCTCGAACGCTTCCGAAGCAAAGCGCGGCGTATGGAGCACCATCAAGCCAGAGGGCAGCGTACGCACATCCACACGCGGCCATGTCACCTGCGGAAGGAACACCGTTGCGGCTCGCATCGTCTTGGGCGAGACCAGAGCAACGCCTCGTGCTCGATTCCACAAACCCCACACTTCGTCCAAAGGCAAAATACCACGGCCGGTATCGCTGTACGTCGTAGACGGTATGCGGCCATCACGCACGACGCATCCTGGGCCAAGGAGTCCTTGCTGGCCAAGCAAGACGCTGCCCAGCTCACAGGCCAGCTCCTTGTGGTACTCGCGCTCATTGCGTACCATATCTGGTGTTACCGCTGGCGCAGCCAAGCCAAGTTGAACGAGTGCGGATTGGAGCATACTTGCCTCTTCATTATCGTCTGTTCGGCCAGCTTCGGCCATTGCACGTTCTCGCCGTTCCAGCTGCGTACGTAGCGAGGCGGCCAAGTCGACCATTTGTCGCGCTCGGCGCATGAGCGCTTCCAAATCGGCGAGCGCGTCGGTGGGTGGCGTAGGTACGGGCGTCATCCCCTTGGCTGCATCAACGAGCATCAGACCCGGGGCAGCGCGCTCCACCGTTTTTGTCCACGCCTTTTGTTGCAGGGTATCTCGGAGGCATGCATAGAATGGGTTGTCACCACCTTGTCGAAAGCTGAGTTTGCACACCACGCGTTTGGAGGCAGGTTGTAGTGACGTACCGCATATATCACACCGCGATGCTGACGCTGAGTTACGGTACGTGCAGGCTCGACAAGTGCGCTCTGTGGGCGAGGGTGATGAGGCTGTGACACCACACTTGGTACATCGTCCGTCGAGGGCAGCCACAGTGTGAAACGTGCCACATACATGACACGTCCATGGTACACGCTCTTCCAGTTGGCACGTCAGCACTACCTTGGGACTGGAACGTAAAAAGCCCGAGTAGTGCTCGGTCTGACGTATGAGCGCGAGGCGTACATACGCTGAGTGAGCCTGCGGCGCTTTCGTGTCCAAGTACCCTAAACGGTGGGTCGTTAGAATCAGTGTCCCAGCATTGCGCTGCGCCACTTTGGCATCGCCATCGTACAGGCCCACTCCCGCCTGCGTCGTTATGATCGACTCCCCCTGCGCTAGCTCGGACGCACGAGGCATCGCCTCGAGCGCCCACGCATCCCAAGCCTCCATGTGGCCGTGTGGAGTGTTGAGCGTGGGACGAGCGAAAGGTCGGTGGTCCGACCGTGGGGTTGGGTTACGTGAATCTGACCAAGCCATGCGCCACCCATCCGCAGCCGGAAGAACACGAGTAAAACGAGTGACTTCCTTGGACGATCCATCCATTCGCTATGGCTGAGACGGGGAGTGAGCCTGAAGCGACCTTTGAGCTTGAGCTGCTGCTGCCTCCGCGGCCGCTCCTGCCGAAGAATGTCGTCTCGCTGGGCCTACCTGAAACGCCTTCGCCTCTCAAAGTCGCCGTCACACCGCAGGAAACCCTAAACGATCTGCGGACAACGCTGAACGATAGCCCTGAAGGCTACTGGCTCGGGGCGTTCAGTTTCCGACGTCCTTCCTCGCATTCTCAGAGTGGCGAGGTTGTGAACGAGTGGCTTGAGCTGCGTGAAGTGTTTGAAGGTGTGCCGCCTACGCAACGCGTTCTACAGGTTTCGCATGAGCCGTTCAACAGCGCCGAAGTGCGCCTGCACATCCAGCGCCTGCGTGACCTACTCAGCGGTACGAGCACCGATCCTACCGCGCTCAGCATCGATGCTGGCGTGTCTGTCCACGATGCCGTTTGTCATGCAGAGGAATGGGCCGAGGAAACTCGCACCACGCCGCCTACCAAACCTACGTGGTCAGGATGGCCGGCAGATACGACCTCGCAGCTCTTGCCTGCTTCGATGCACAGGCACCGTGTGCTTCCCAAGTGCGTGCGTGGCATGTCGCTGAGCGCATGGAACCCGCCACCGAAGCCCATGGCCCTGCAAGGCCACCTACTCTACCTGCAAATCGATACGCTGGAAGGTGAGATCCTGCATGTGACAGCGTGTGAGAATGGGTTCTTTATCAATGGCTCGTCCTCGCAACGCTTCCAGCCGCAGCCTCATCCGACTAAGAAGATCGAGTCGGCGTCCCTCTTTGATTTGCTGTGCGCCGCCTCACCGCTCTTCCTCCAAAACTTTGCGCGTCTTTTCAACGACCCCGTATCGACGCGTGACTACTTTTCGGCGCTCCCGGTCATGAACTCGCTTCCTGCTGTGCCATGGCTGGCGCGGGTGCCGAAGCACGATACCGACCCTATGCGCCTGCAATCGGCGTTCCTTTTGACGGGGGCTCTCACGGCCGACAGCATCGATGCAAGCCGCGACTGGAACGAAGAGTTGCAGTCGTCGCGTGAACTGCCCCGCTCGACACTTGCCGAGCGCCTGCTGCGCGACCGTGTGCTAAACCGCTTGCAGGCCGAGTTTGCGCTTGCAGCGGCGCGGGCCGTACCGCGTGTCGCTGCAGGCGAAGTCGCACCGATGAACCCTGCCGATGCGCCGCAAGCCCACATGTACCTCTTCAACAATTTGTTTGTTACGCGTGGTATTGACAGTGTCGACATGTACGAGTTCCTTGGCGGCGATGCCGCAGCGCATGCGGCTGTGGGCAAGGACGCACAGGGTGTGCGTATCTTTAGTGCACTGGATACCGAAGGTCTGCATGCGCTTGGCACGGTGGTGGTCGACTGGCTGGGTGAGCGCTGGGTCGTCCAGACGGTGCTTCCTGGCCTCTTCCGCCAGGTTGCTGCAGAGGCTGAGGCAGCCGCGGCGGCCGCCGAGCAGGGCACGCCAGAAGCAGAGGCTCATGCGGATGCTGCGGCATCGTCGACGCATGTCGCCTACGGTGGTGTGGAAGGCCCGGATACGATCCACGTGGACCCGACGTTCCATGAGCGCCTGCAAAGCGTTGCAAAGCGTTTGCACCTGGCTGAACACGCAGTGTCTGATGCCCAAGGCACTTCGCACCAACTGGCCCTGAGTGTCGATTGCAAGGGTCTGCGGGGCACGGATGGCCGTATGTACGTGCTGGACCTCTCGCGCCTGGCCCCTGTGGATGTCGCGTGGCTTGAGCAGGATATGAAAGCACCGGTCCTCGAGGGCAAGGAAGCTGCGTCGTACCCTCATCACATGGCACTCCTTCGGCCGGAACTGATCGAGGCGTATTGGGACTCGCGTCTGCGTGAGTTTGCGCGCGCGAAGCTGGCACACCAGCGTGAAGAAGGTGGCGAGACCCCGGCGCGCATCGACGTGGCGGACTTTGACTTGTCGTTCAACCCGGATGCGTTCGTGGAGTACAAGAGCGGCTCGTCCAAGGTCGTGACACCTGTATGTGACGAGTCGGAGGCGGCTGTGGCTGCTGTGCGTGCTGCCTCGACGTACCTGCGTGAGGAGGTGCTTGTGCGCCTCGTGAGCGAGGTGGCCGCGGGCCTTGCGTCGGCTGTGGATAGCGTAGCGCTTACGCAGCAAATGCATGCGCGCGGTATTAACATGCGCTACCTCGGTCACTTGGCCCACCTGAGCCAGTCGTCGGAGAGGCACCGTCTTGACGAGACTGTGGTCTCGAAACTCGGCTCAGGTCATGAAGCTCTGCTTACTGCCTTCCGTCGCGTGGTGATCCAGGAGATGATTGTACGTGCAGCCAAGCACCGGCTGCGCAGCTATCTTCGCGGCTTGCCCATGTCGGCGGTGTCTGCATGCGTTGCGCACTTTTTCAACTGTCTGTTTGGCACAGCGAAGAATGCGTCGCCGGAGCCCGTAGTGCCTTCGCCAGCGCTCGGCCGTGCGTCGGCATCGTACGACTGGCTTTCGCTCACGCCTGCGCAGCTTCAGCAGGATCTGCAGGCAGACGTGCGCGATCGTTTCCGCTTTGAGTTGCCGGCGGATTCCTTGACCACCGAGCTGCGAAAGCCCCAGGCTCTTCGTGCGCTCTGCTGGAAGATGGGCGTGCAGCTTGAGCTTCGTGACTACGAGTTTGAGCCTACGCCGGAGCCTACGCCTGCGCCCGCTTCGTCTTCAAGCCATGCGCCCGCGTCGAAGGGCAAGAAGGGCAAGAAGTCTGCCGCCCCTGTCGAGCCGCCACGTGCTACGACGTTTGTGCCATCTGATGTGCTGTGCCTTGCGCCTGTGGTCAAGACCGCGACGCCGAAGAGCTCGCTGGTCGAAGAAGCCTTTGAGGCTGGTCGTCTCTCGTTCTCGCGTGGCGATCGTGAGCTGGGTACGGAGCTCTTGTTGGAAGGCATCGGCTTCCACGAGCAAGTCTATGGCTTGGTACACCCTGAGACGGCCAAGTGTTACTCGCTCTTTGCCTCGTTGGTGCATCACTACGTCGTGGAGTTTGCACGGGAGACGGCCGAAAAGGCGGCCAAGGCCAAGGCCAAGGCCGAGCAGGCGGAGAAGGCCGAGCAGGGTGAGCAGGCGGAGTCTGCCGAGGCGACCGAGTCGAACGACGAAGAGAAGGAAGCGCCGCTCCCACCCATTGTTGCCGAGACGTTCACGATCGACAATGCCTTGCGCTTCCAGCGCCAGGCTGTGACTGTCTCGGAGCGGACGCAGGGCTTGGATCACCCGGATACAATGGTGCAGTACATCAACTTGGCCGTGCTGGAACGCTCTGCTGGTCATTTTGACGTGGCGCTGCGCTATCAGGAGCGCATCATGCAGCTGTGGCAGCTGCTGTACGGCCGCGATCACCCTGATGTCGTGCATACGCTCTCGTCCATTGCCTTACTCCTGCAGAGCCGCCACGACTTTGACACGTCGCTGAAGGCGTACCAAGCATCGTACGATCTGGCCTTGCAGCTGTTTGGCTCCGACTCGATTTACACCGGCAACATGGCACACGAACTGAGCCAGGCGCACACGCTCAGTGGCGACTTGAAGTCGGCGATTCACGTCGAGAAGGACGCGGCGCGCGTGTTCAAGGCGTGCCTGGGCGACGAGGACCCGCTGACCAAGGAGAGTGAAGCGTTCCTCTCCGGCCTCGCTGCCAGTGCTGTGCGTATGGCCAAGGTCGAGGAAGCGGCTCGGCATCAGCATGTGCGTGAGCTGGTGGCTGCTTCGCAGGCCCCGCGCACACAGACTACCACGGCGGCCTCACGCACCGTGCATGCCAACCCGGCGCTGGCCGATCGCTCGTTGGATGACTTGGTCCAGTACATTCAAGGCGCACCAGGTACTGGTACGAGTCGCGCGGCGCGCAAGCGTGCTGCGCGCCACCGCCGCACGTAACGATCTTGCAGGAAAGGGCGTCACGCGCCTTCGTTGCCATAGTTGTTAGTAAAAATGGAGACCCACGCTGCGTGGAGTGATCACGTGGCTTCCTTCGTGACCCAGCGCACGCTCATCTTCTTGCCTCCTCCGTTTGCTCGCCATGAACGCGCCGGCGGGTCCGCGTGCACGCTCTGTACACGCGCCCCTGCGCGCTGCGATCTATGCAGCGACATATGTCGCACGACATCCCATTGAGGCGATCGTAGCGGCCTTCATGATTACTACTCTGGCGTACTTCGTCTTGGTGCAAGCCATTACACACTCCACGGTGTTCTCCAACCTGAGCGACGTCGCCTCCCTCTCTGTGCTTTCGATGCATGCGGAACACTCGCGTCTGCCTGTGTTCTTGTTGGATGAAGAGAATACGTGGAGGTCCGCGCAGGGCACGTTCGAGCAGCATGGCCATATTGACCTCGCCGACTGGCTCCTTGTGACCGACTTGGCTGGCGGGAGCGAGACGGAGCAACAGGTCCGCCGCTCGTACGTGCTGCGTAGCATCGTCGAGCAGCTTCAAGAGGCAGGGGGAGCCAACTGTGCATGGCCTTCGGCCCGCGAGGTCGACGCCAACAACACGATGAGCGACGCTGTCGTGTGCTTTGAGAAGGACCACTACGATGCGGCGGCCATTCACGAGCTGCTTCACCAAAAATTCCTTGACGCAGTTATTGGCAAGGCTCTAGACACGCTTCCGGCGTCCATTGATAATGCCTTGCTTGCGCGCTGGCGTCAAGGCGATCTTCGCTTGTACGCCCTCACGCCTCAAAGTCAATGGTTTACCAACGATGGCGAAGACATGTACTCGCTGCAGTGGCTAGGCTCGTTCCTGCTAAGTGCCGTTACGCGTGCATGGCTCGTGATTCGCAGTGCGGATGCTCTGGACTTTACCGTGCTTCTCTGTGCCTACTTGATGATGCATGGCTCGTTCGTGCATTTGTACGTGTCCATGCGTCCGTTCCCGAAACGATTCTGGCTAGGCTCCTGTGTCCTGCTTTCGTGCGGATTTGCTTTTCTTCTGGCTCTGGTCACAGCGAATGCCGTTCACATCCCTGTGGACCCCATTGTGATCTCAGAGGGCTTGCCGTTCCTTGTGATCACAGTCGGGTTTGAAAAGCCATTCCTGCTGACCAAGGCCTTCTTCAAGTATGCATCGCAGGAAGAAGATATTAGCGATAAGAGCCTGCATCGCTCGTCGCCTGAAGCTGATTTCGTCCGTGCGCTTACGCAGCGTGTGCAGGAGGAACAGGCACTGGGTCTCATGTCGAAGTCCATGTCGCCTATGAACCAGGTCACCGACAGGGCTGTACTGGAGGCGGGTCCTGGCCTTTTGCGTGCGTACGCGATTGAGATCAGTATCTTGATTGCGGGCGTTATGAGTGGCATTCATGGACTACGTGAATTCTGCTTCTTGGCTGCCTTGACGTTGGTGTACGACTGCCTGCTGCTCTTCACATTTTTCGTGGCAGTCCTATGTGTGACAGTGGAGGTACAGCGTCTGCGTGAGCCGCTTGGTACTCCACGAACCTTCCTGCCTGACCCGGCTAACGACAATGCTGAGGCACCTGCCGAGCCCAAGCTGCTTCATCCCAAAACGACACGGGAGCCCAAGTCGCTGTACAAGCGCATTATCGGCCCCGTGAACCACCCAATATCACGCCTGAAGCTGCTTCTGCTCTTGACGCTCGTCACACTGCATGTCCTCAATCTCCTCACGACCCTGTCGCTGCCTACTACCATTGCACGGCACCAAACGGGCCGTACGCCCACTTTGTACGAAGAGTCAATCTCTTCGTCCCATGTGTTTAATGCTACGCTCTCACACTCTGCCGTGTCGGCCTTCCTGAAGACCTACGCTCAACAGGGTGCAGCCGCTAGCTCAAGTGTGATGTTCACGATGCCCAATGTGCTCATCCTCTTGGACTCTCGTATTCCCACGGAAAACCCCTTGGCTGCCGCAGCGATGCAGGCTTCGTTGTCGTCGAAAGACTCTGGCAGCACTATGTCTGCCATTGAGAGCTTCATGGCCATGTGGACATCAGTGGCAAGCGATCCGGTGATTGGTAAATGGTTGTCCATTGCGCTGGTGATTAGCGTGTTTTTGAACACGTTCCTGCTCAAGGGCATCGCAACGCGCAACCCTGCGGTGATTGAAGGCAACGCTGTGCGTGTTACGGCGCAGGCTGCTGCGCGTTTGATTGGTGCGCACCTTGTAGAAGACTGGCACAAGACGCCCAAGTCTGATACCACGGAGGCAAATACGCCGACCATCAGCGTGTCCGCTCCACCGAAGGAGCCTGCTAAACCTACGTTGCCGCCGCCCCCTGCGTCGGATCCTCCGCGTCCCTACAATGAAGTTTTGTCCATCTTCCGTAAGGATGGTACTGGTTTTCTGAACGACGAAGAAGTCATTCTGCTCGTGCAAAAGGGCATGATTGCTACGTATGCGCTGGAAAAGACCTTGGGTGACTTTGAACGTGCTGTGGTTGTGCGTCGTGCAGTCCTTTCGCGTGCCTCCGAACTGCACACCCTCGAGCGCAGCTTGTTGCCGTACAAGGACTACAACTATAATGCCGTGTTTGGCGCGTGCTGCGAGAATGTGGTGGGCTTCATGCCGCTGCCCCTGGGTATTGCTGGCCCGCTGAAGATTGATGGCCACATGACGCCCATTCCTATGGCCACGACCGAAGGCACCTTGGTCGCCTCAACGAGCCGTGGATGCAAAGCCCTCAACGCCAGTGGCGGTGTTACCACGGTGCTCACACAGGACGCGATGACACGGGGTCCTGTGATTGAATTTCCCTCGCTGACGAGTGCTGCGCGTGCGAAGCGCTGGATCGATTCGACGTCGGGTGCCGAGGCCATCAAAGCGGCGTTTGACAGCACGTCGCGCTTTGCGCGGTTGGCCTCGCTTCATACTGTGCTGGCGGGTCGCACGTTGTTTGTGCGGTTTGCTACATCCACGGGTGATGCTATGGGTATGAACATGATTTCCAAGGGTGTGGAAGCGGCTTTGGGTATGATGAAAGAAAAGCATTTCCCGGAAATGGAGCTCTTGTCCCTCTCCGGCAATTACTGCACCGACAAGAAGCCTGCGGCTATCAATTGGATCGAAGGCCGCGGTAAGAGTGTGGTGGCTGAAGCTGTGATTCGGGGCGACGTGGTGCGTACCGTACTTAAATGCACGGTTGCCGACTTGGTTCGTCTCAACACGAAGAAAAACCTGGTGGGCAGTGCGATGGCAGGCTCGATCGGTGGCTTTAACGCCCACGCGGCGAACATCCTCACGGCTATTTACATCGCGACTGGTCAGGATCCGGCGCAGAACGTGGAAAGCAGCAACTGTATGACGCTCATGGAGGCGGTTAACGATGGCCAAGACCTACTTGTCTCGGTCAGCATGCCCTCGGTGGAAGTTGGCACCGTCGGCGGTGGAACAGGCTTGCCTCCGCAGCGTGCCATGCTGGAGCTGTTGGGCGTCCAGGGACCGCACAAGGATACACCCGGTGCGAATGCCCAGCGCCTGGCACGTATCATTGCTGCCTCGGTGATGGCCGGCGAGCTGAGTCTGATGGGAGCGTTATCGGCGGGTCACCTGATCAAGGCGCACATGGCCCACAACCGTAGTGCGCCTGTGACGCCCAGTACACGTTCGCCTGTGAACCGAGATGTGCAATACCTCCCTACCATGACACCTCTCATCGCAACGCCCATCGCAGACTCCAAGCCTGGAAGCCCCTCTTCTGACGTCGCTACCCCGAAGGAACGCACTACATCCTCCTCGATGTCTACATAGATGCATGTTGGTCTATAGACCTCTCTTTTTTCTTGTAATGCCACGTGGCTTAGCTCCTGACCTGCAAGCACCGTTCGCGCGCGCCAGAGTGTTGCGTTTGTCTCCACCCGATGTCATCCTCGTCGGCGCTGTCGCCAGAGGCACAAGCAGATGCCCTTCTGCTTCATTATCTCTCACCGCGTGATGATCGGCGTGAGAGTGTATGGACAGAGTCGTACGCGGCCAATGTACGTGAACGCCGAGCCCACGCGCTGAAGGGCCAACTGTTTATGGATCGTCTCTTGGCCGACGCTGGCATTGAAGGTACGTGCTGATGCCTCTATCACTTACACATCCAGCGTCCCTGTTCCCTCCTACCTCTGCCTCGGACACATACATCCTTCTGGTAGAGATCCTGACGTGCGACGCTCCTGACAAACTCAAGCAATCGCTTGTGTATTACCTTGGCTTGGAACACCAAGCCCTAGAGCCACGCGCTATGACAGACCCGCATAGTGTCACAGGCCTGGTCTCGTACATTCACGCTTCATCTGGTACGTGCTCGGAGACGCAGGCGTACTGGGCTGTCGACCATGGCCATCTCCAGCAAGCCGTTCTTGCTGGGCGCCATGCGCGTTTCGTATCTGTTCTCGCCGAAGTCTTGGTATCATCCCCTGCTTCTCTTCTCCAGCTGTACGATGTCCAAGGCTCTTTGCCTCCGTTGGATGGAAAGCCTACAGAAGCATCTTTGCAAGACTTGGTCCGCATCACGGTGGCCTTGGCGCACGTCGAAGGCCTTGCCTCTGCCTGGAATGCGTGCCGCGTGATTTTGGAAGGACAGCCAGCGGAATATGCACCGATTCTACGAGAGCATATGTTTGGCACATTGCTACGCTTATGCTTTGCGCCGCCGCAGGCCCCCTTTATCCGCGAATTGCTTATGCTTCCTTTGTATACGGTGGAAGAGCGATTCTGGGAGACGATGGCCCTTTCCACGATGAAGAAGAACGATGCTGCGATCTCCCTGGACACACTCCTTATTAAATGGGTCAACCAAGGCCGCTATGTCGATGCGATCCATCTGGATCGGCGCGCATCGCAACTAGAGAGGACGATGGCGTTTTCCGACAGCGACAGCGAGGCGTTCCAGCGTACACGCCACCGACGCCGTGCACTTCTCGATGGTCTATGGGCCATCCTTCCGAAAGTCCAGCGTGATGCACTTCTGGCGCGTGATATTCGTCCGGAAGATAGCCAGGAGGACAGCGATATGGACGTACAATCGCCGCCACCTCGACCTCATACTCCGTTGAGTGCCTCTTTGAGCAGCAAGACCATGTCGGAGGCTATTCCATCGTCACCAGATATCCAGCTTCTTCGTGCATCGATCCGCGTGCCTTCTGTCACATCGAGTCGCGACTCGTCGCAGCGTCATGCGTCGCCTCAGGTCGTGCGTATGGAACAGTCGCCCGTCCCCCACAACAGCAGCCCCTTCTCTGGTTGGAAGCGGCCTGGTCCTTCGGCCCAGCCGCCGCCCTCATCCTACGTGCCTCGTGCGTCGTGGGGCGTACCTGTTCCCCCGCCGGCGGTCAACGCAGAGGATGCCGCGATGGACGAGCGATCGACAGAGAATGAAGCACCGCGTGTGTCCGAGACGGCTGTATCGGAAACGGAGCCCATGGAAGAGATGCAGGACGATGTGCCCGTGTCGGCGCTTGCGGACGAGCACATGGAGAGCGAAGAGCCGCCTGTAGAGGCACCTGTACGTCGGCGCGGTGGTCGTCGTCGTGCTGCACAAAAAGCAACAGAGGCGCTTCGTAAGACACTTCGGCCCGAAGACGCCCATCCATCGTTGCCTGGCAGTTTTCCGATGGACGAGGAGGCGCCTTCGGCACCTCCGAGTGAACCATCCCGGGCGAAGACACGACGCTCCGCACGGCGGTCTACGCGAAAAGGACCTGATGCCACGTCCGACGAAGTCGGTGAGAGCGACGCTGCCGTACCGCCGGCACGCTCACGACGAGCCTCCACTGCGGACGCTTCTGCGTATCCTCAAAAGTCGCTCGCTCGATTGCAAGCGTTGCACGATCACCGGCCTATTGCTCGTCGCACACGCGCACAGACGGCTGAGCTGGAATCGCATGGATCGCAGGCTAGTACAGAGGCAGGGGAAGGCGACGAGGCGTCGGAGCTGGAGAGCGAGGTTGCGCCTACCCCGTCCCGTCCTCGTCGGAAAACCCGCGAACCTACCTCGCCGGTAGCCGCCACACCCCAGCGAGGTACACGTACGTCTCGGCGTCGTCGTGAAGGCTCTCTAGCTGCTGCTACTGGGTCGCGAACCACTCGGCGTGGAGGAGCATCGCATGCCGAGTGAGATGCCATCATAGTTGTTCTTAGCTTAAGACATGCACATGACATCTACGTGAATACCCTATCGCTCCGGACGAACCACGCTATTCACAGTGAGACCTCTGGTAATAAGAAAGGGAAAGGAGGGAAGCGGTCTTGTATCGTGCAACAAAGTCGGTAGGCTGTTTTAAATTTACGGGTAGACAGCGCTAATCTGCTTCTTGTATTTGGTCTCGACCTCCTTGCGCTGCACCTTCTGCGCAGCCGTGAGCGGCAGCTCCTCGGGGATAAGGACCACACACTGCAGCTGTTCCATCGGCGCAAAGCCAGCCTCCTTGCCCACGGCATTCACTTCTTTGAGGATAAAGTCTGCCACCTTCTTCTCATGGCACATATCGTCCAGTTCCGCATCAGCAAGGTGCGAAAGGCCAAGGCCAGGCAGCGCCTTGCGCAGGTTGTCTTCGCGGGGGAAGATGACGCCCATGGGCTTGTTGGCATCCGAGTTCGCGTACACGCAAATGTTGCTAACATAGTTTGACGACTTGTACGTGCTCTCGAGACGTTCAATGGCAATGTACTCACCGCCTGCCAGTTTGACCAGGTTCTTCTTACGGTCGATCAGGCTCAGGGTACCGTCCGCATTCCACTGACCAACGTCACCTGTCATGAGCCAGCCATCCTCTGTGATGGCCTCCTTGGTAAGATCAGGGCGCTTAAAGTAGCCCTGCGTCACCGAGGGACCGCGGATCAGCACCTCACCCTGCGGCACACTGTTGCTCGAGTAGTAGCCCGCCTCCGGCACATCCTTCAACTTCACTTCCACCGACGGCATAGGGCAGCCGACACAGCCGTACTTGAAGAACGGCGGCGTGAGAATCGCGCACATCGCCGACGACTCAGTCATACCGTAGCCCTGAATGATCTGCACAAGAGCCGTGTTCAGGAAACGATGCGTCTCGCGACTGATCGGCGCGCCACCAGAAAGCGCAAAGCGCAGGCGGCCGCCCGTCTGCTCACGCACAGCCTTGAACACAACGGCATTCGCGAACTGTGTAAGACCAGGCACCTTATGCTGCTTTGCCCACATGCTCATACCAAACATCTTCTGCTTCATAGCGCCGCTAGTCTCCAACTTGGACACAATGCCCTTGCGGATCTGCTCCCACACGGCTGGGACACCGACCATAAGAGTCGGACGGAAAGCCTTCAAGTCACCATCACAGTTGCGTACACTCGCCTGCGTCAGCGTCTTGATACGGGCGTAACCGATTGCAATACCGCGCAGGAAACAGAAACATTCCACCACGAACTCCAGAATGTGGGCAAGCGGCAGGTACGCCAGGAGCGCCTCATCCTCAGTTAGGTACGGGTTGAGCAGCATCGGGATCGCACCCAACGTCGCCACCAAGTTCGAGTGCGTGAGAATGACACCCTTCGGCTTGCCAGTCGAGCCCGACGTGTACATAATACACGCCACGTCGTCCCCTGTCAGCTGCGCAGGCGACATCTTGTGCGTGCGACCCAACTGATACACCTCATCGGCATGCACAATACGGGCTTTAGAGCGGTCCTTGAGTTTTGCCTCAATGCGCGACACCACATTGGGGTCGGCCTTGCCATCGTACACGACAAAGCGGAGAAGCGGCGTCTTCTTCACAATCTTTTCCACAACAGGGAGATGATCTGCATTGGTAAACAGACCACTCACTTCAGGCTCTTCAAGCGATACATGCAGACCATCCGGGCCGAGCGTGTCGTAGGCCGTGCAGAATGTCATACCGATACGGAAGCACGACTGCGCAGCGATCTGCCACGATACAGCTGTCGAAGCAAAAATATTAAAGCGGTGCTTGCTAGACAGGCCGAGTGCGCTCAAACCACTCGCAAAGAGCTCCACGCGGTCGCAAAACTCATTCAGGGTCATGTACGAGTAGGGGCTGAGCTCAAAGTAGGTCCATGTCTTGGTCTCTTCGATCTCTTCGCCACCTACCTTCTTCTTCACCTTCTTTTCTTCCTTGTGTTCCTTGATTACCTCGCGGCTCGCAATCATCTTCTTGTTGCCGTGCTTCTTTCTTGCATACTCAAGTACGTCGATCATGGTATTGATACCCTCTGCAGGGCGCATAACAAGTTGGTCTGGTGACAGTGTCGAGCGACGGATCTGTCCTTCCGTGCCATCGGCACCACTGACGCCAACACTGGCCAATTCGCGGTGGAGCATTGGGGGGAACGGCTCGGTATGGTCGGGTCAAACGAGAACCGACCCGTACTACGCACGGAGGGTAAACGTCAGAAAAACGTGATTGCCTGCTTACGTTCTCCCCACCGCACAAGCAATTCAGTGCCCAACAATGTGTGCTCTGTATTTATGGTTTCACTGTCACGTGGTTACTGCGTGAAGCGCCACGTCCACTCGGCGTACCGGGCTGAGGGACTTTACTGTCCGTGCGCCATGTCGAAATCTGTGGCGGTTTTTCTTGCTCAGGGTACTGAGGAGATGGAATTCTCCATCACGTACGACGTGCTCGTACGTGGTGAGGTAAAGGTCACCTCGGTCTATGTACCTGCTGATGGCCAGCCTTCGTCGCCACCCGACGGCTACGTTGTGGCCTCGCGTGGTGTGAAGATTGTGCCCGACACAACTCTGGAGGCCATGATGGCACAAGGCGGCCTTGCCCCCTACGATGGTGTAGTTGTCCCGGGTGGTGCAGGTGGTGCTGAGATTATCTCGAAGAATGCAGCGGTGCAGAAGCTTCTGCAAGAAGCGATGTCACAGGGCAAGATCGTCGGAATGATCTGCGCTGGCTCGTTGGCGGCGCTCGAGGCCCAAATCGGCCTGGGTGGCGCTATTACCAGCCATCCGTCTGTGGCAGAAAAACTCCAGGCTTCGTACGACTACAAGGAGCAGGCTGTAGCTACAGCTAACAACCTTGTGACCAGCCGCGGACCCGGTACGACATTCCCCTTCGCTCTTACGTTGGTGGAGAAACTGGTCGGCGCTGACGTGCGCAAGAAGATTGCGCCACCCATGATGCTGGCTCAGGAGCATTTGTAAGAGAGTGTATGTAGTATGAAAATCCATCTATGCATCTGGCATGGCTACATCGTCATCGTCATCGTCTTCGTCCTCTTCGTCGTAGTCCTCTTCACCCTGCGCCACGTGCAGCGCAGGCACGTCGAGTTCTCGGTCGGCGCCCACGTAGCTATCGCTCATCAGGTACAACTTCAGCCGATCGTGTGTGCCTGCGGGCAAATGGAACTCCAAGCGCACTTGCAGCGATCGCGCAAATGTAATGCGCTTAATGCTGAGCAAGTTCCGTGTGCCTGGATCGCCAACGACTAGCCACCAAGCCATCATCTTCGGCGATGGATAGAATGGCGCAATGGCCGTGGGGTCCGGCATTTCGTCGTCCTCTTCGTCCATATCGCGCTCCAGCGTAGCATGCAGCACAATTGGCGTCGCACTATCGAGCGACGCACGATCCTCAATGTCGAACTGGACTTCGATGTACGGGAATTCGTTCGTAAGCCTTGCGACATCTGCCAACTGACGCTTGCTCATCCGGAGCAAGTCATCCCGTTCGTTGTCCGACATATCTGGCAGTGCATCGGCCAACGCGTACACGTCGTCAATGCCGCGCTTCTGGCACCGCTCAATGGTCTCTGCCGTGAAGTGCGGGACTTGACGCAAGGGCGAATCACGATCCCATACCGCTTGGACGCACATGTGGCTCAGTTCCATAGCGACAATGGCATTCAGCATAGCGCCCGAGCTCATCACGTCGACACATGCATTGAGGAGGGTCAGGACACGATCGAGAATCTCGCGCTGGTCCTGCGCCAGGTCGGCCGGCAGTGTGAGACGCGAGAAGTGGGCCTGTAGCAGGATAAACACCTTGTGATGTGGACTCTCAAAGTTGATCTTATCGAGTTTCAGGGGCACGCGGTCGTAGATACGTCGCAGCAGTACATCTTCGTTGTGCCGAATCGGGACGTTTTCAAACTCACTCGCACTCGAGACAATTTCCAGCATACCGCGCAGCTTTGTCGCACTGCTGAGCGATAGGTGGAATACGTCGATCGTCGCGTAGCTCACATTGTAGAAGCTTGCGATCATACCTAGGTTGAGGGGGCTCACATCCATCTCGTCCTCCACCGCAATACACTTGCTCTGCTCCAACTCACCCAGCGTACTCTCGACCAACTCGGAGAGGAAGTCACCAATGTGCTGCATATCGCGGCCCTGGCATCCGTACGCCTGCGGGTTCTTTTGCAGGCGGCGGTACATCAGCGTCCACGTAAGCATATCCACAGCGCCCTGCTTGTCTTCGATGGTACGGGAGACGATCTCAGCATTCAGGAAGTCTTGGGTATACGCTGCCAACCGACTCTCCAAAGGCAGACCTTCCGCGAGGAACTTCTTGAAGTAGTTCTTGCGGTTGGCCTGGCTGAATAGCATGCAGCGACTATGTCCGTCTTCGCCCGGCACTGTGCACTTGCCCACCATTTCCAGCATATCTGTGAGCGTATAGTCCACGTAGCGATGCTCACGACCTTCATACGTCTGCAGCGAGAGCAGCAGGACCAGGTGCGCACTCACCGGCAAACTCCATACCGTATCTTTGCTCGCGACCATGACCTGAATGGCGCCTGCCGAGAACAAACGCTCGACCACGCGTCGATCCGACTTGCTGAGGCCTTCGTGGTAGTACGCAATGCCATGCGCCACACACTCCGCCAGGTCACGGTCCTGCAGACGGTCCAGATGCGGCTGCAAGTCGTCACGGTCCATGTTCAGGAATCGGGACTCGGCTCCCTCTTCATCGCGTTCGCTGTCCGCTAATGCATACGACAGGATATCGTCCACGGTCAGCTTGGTCTGCTTGCGTGTAGGCACAAAGATGAGGACGGGCTGTTGCGGTGCATACTCCATGATCGCGACGTACGCAGGCTTGGCCATCGCAATCATCAGCGAGGGGAAGTGAGGAATGCTGAAAGGCTGAATGTGCACTTCCATCGGGATCGGGCGGGCGCTGGGCGCCAAGTTGATGGTCTGCGTCGCGCCCAGCCATTCCGCCACGTCCGTCGCATTCGCCAACGGCGCCGACAGACCGACAAAGCGCGTGTCTGTACCTGTCTGCGCAGCAATGAAACGCGCACGCGAGCATACCACTTCGTACGTCGCGCCCATCCACGCATCACTCAGCAGGTGCAGATCGTCAAAGATGTACAGACGCACTTGTTGCACATTCTTGCGCTGCCGCCATCGTCGTGATAGTACATCCCACTGTTCGGGCGTAGCGATAATCACATCGGACGTCTCGAGGAGGCGCAAATTTGTACTGGTCTCCGCCGCAAGGGCCGATACCGTCTTGTCAGCAAACCGTGCTTTCCAAAGCGCCAACCGTGGGGCGACCATGGAGACGTACGGCACAATGCACACCGCCCGTCCTCCTCCCTGCTGCCATAAGCGGTACAGTGCCAGCTCCGCACAGAACGTTTTGCCTGCTCCCACCGGCGCTGCTAGAAGGACCGACGCGTCCGTCTCGTACAGCGCATGGAACGCTTGCGTCTGGACGCGGTTCATATGGGGCCACTCGTACGTTGCCGCGACGGAGCCGCCCAGTACGGATAGAGGTTGGGGCTGCAGATCCAGCAGCGGCGTGGGCGGCGCAAACTTCTCCGGCAAAATCAAATGCTTGAACGAGATGGGCAAACGCACTTCGCTGTGCAGCCATCGTTCACTTACCAACGATATGTAGTAGTTGGGCGGCAAAGGCTCTGTGAGCGGCACGGTAAACGAGATTTGGTGCTCGTCCGTCGCATACCGACGCAGGAGCACAAACTGGTCGTAAAAGAGAATCGTTTCGCCATCGACGTCCTCGACCCACAACCAGAAACTCTGTGCACCGCCATGCACACGATCGTCCCACTCAAAGTCCGGCGTGATGGTCAAGTGCACTTGCAGCAGGGAGCGCGTAAGTGGCTGGAAGTACGCCTGCATATCGACATGCGGGAACTGGAACACGAGACGATGCAAAAGGCGCCCAGCTCGTGGAATGCCGATCAATTCGCCCATCTCATTCGGCTCCAAGTCACGCAGGCGCGACCATGGGAACTCTTTGCGCTCCAGGCGGCGGATCAGATCAGGCGCGACGCCGGCAAATTGCCGCAACGGCGTCATGGACGCCCACTGCCGCCGCTCCGTCATCTTTGCGAGCTCCAACGCATGCCGCGAGGTGCGTGCGTACCCTCGGATGATGCAAATCTCGACCAGGGCACGCAGAATACGCGAGGCCGACTGTGTGACATAGACCATGTCAGCGGCCAGCGCGTACCCCTCCAGCGAGTGCTGAGAAATCCACGTTTGGAGCAAGACATTGATCTTTGCACTCGGCTCCTCAATGCCTTCTTTGATGGGGATCGGCACGCGTTCACGCAGCTTGCCGATCTCCAACTTTTCATCCTGCCGCACAATCTGGTGCTTGAACTCGTCGCTGAAGCTGAAAATGCGCAGGAGCTCAATCATGCCTGTGTAGCTGCGCAAGTGCTTGTGGTACGTGCCCATGGACGTATGCGTAAGATAGTAGTGCGACGCAATGCGTGCCAGCTCGTTCGACACAAATAAGCCGGTCTTGCGATCGTAACGCAACAGCCCAGCTTTTTCCAAAAGCACCGCCGCACTGTGCACAATGTCCGAGCGTTTCTGCTCCAGGAACGGGTCGTCGTCCATATAGTCGGCCGTGACACTGTACAGCGCAGGCGTGCGGAGCATACGGACGTACAAGTACGTGTAGCCGAGCCACGTAATCGCCTCGTCACGATTGCGGATGGTGCCCAGCACAATTTCCGCATTGAGATTGTCGGCGAGGCGCGAGACAAACTGCGATTCAATCGGAAGCTGCTGATTAAGTAGCGACAGGTAGTACTGCAGCTCCGAGTGCTGCGTGATAATAATACCTTCACCGACCGTATCGAACTGCGGACGGCCTGCACGGCCAAGCATCTGCAGCATATCTTGCGGCGAGAGTTCACACCAGCGGCTCTTTTCCGGGTTGTAGATCTGGGTGCCCTTGATGATCACCGTATGCGCCGGCAAATTGACACCCCAAGCCAGTGTCGCTGTGCTCACAAGCACTTGCAAATGCTTACCGGCAAACAGATCTTCGACCAACTCGCGATCCGAGCGCGTCATACCGGCATGGTGAATACCAAAGCCGTACTGCAGCAAATCACGCAGGTGGGCATCCTTTGCCTCGTCCGCCGCCTCACGCAGCACCTCACGCGAGGCACCCGTTTGCGGAAGGAAAGAACTGAGCGTTTCCCGCGCTTCTGCGGTATCGCGCAAAAACTTGGCCGTTTTCGCCGTCTCCTTACGCGAGTGTGTGAAGATCAAAATCTGGTTCTTGCCTGCGTGCTCCATGACCTTGTCGTATGTCACTTCGTTCATCAGCTGCAGTCGCTTGATAGCCTTGGTCTCTGTAAGCCCGATAAATTCCTGGCGTAGTGGGCACGGTCGGTAGTGGGCGGGGAAGTACAGCAGACCACTCTCCGGGTTCACACGCAAGAACGCCGCCACATCTTCGTAGTTCGGCAGCGTCGCACTCAGACCCACAATACGCACAGGATCATTCAGCTGCTCCATTCGCCGAATGGTACGCGCCACAATGGCTTCCAATACAGGACCACGGTCATCGTGCAAAAGATGGATCTCATCAATGATGATCAGGCGCACCAGGTTGGTATACGAGGTATCCGAGCTCTTACGGCTAATCACATCCCACTTCTCCGGTGTCGTGACGATAATATGCGTCTCTGCAATCTGTGCTTTGGTCAGCTGACTGTCACCCGTGAGCTCGTTGACCACAACGCCATACTGCGTCAAGCGGGAGCGGAAATTGTTCGCTTGCTCTGCGACCAGCGCTTTCATCGGCGCCACATACACTATCTTGCACGCCGTCAAGTCCCATTGACCCGTCTCTTCGTCACGCCACTTGCCTAGCTCATGTAGGATCGTAAGCATGGCCACATTCGTCTTGCCCGCACCCGTCGGCGCACAGAGCAACATGGGCTCGTCGCTCCCGAATGCCACCGGGAAACATTTCGATTGCACAGGGTTCAGTGTCGTGGCATTCGCAAACGCAGGCTGCGCCCACGCAGGGAGTCGGCTGATCGGCACAAGTTCATCGGGCGATACAGTGCGCTTCTCTGGGGCTGGAATATGGATCTCTTCGTACCCCTTCTTCGTCCGCTTAAAGCTGCCCGCAGGCAGACGCACTTTCGGGTTCGTGTTCAAGTGGCCACCCTCGCTAAAAGCCATCGCCTCCAAATCCACTGTACCTCGTGGTGCTGCCATCGAACCGGGTGCCAAGGTCGCACGCGACGTAAGACGATGGGCTTCCCGCTTCGCAGCTTCCAAGTCATCCGCGCCCAGCGCCGGCTTCGCCGCGTCGCCAGCCAATCGTTTAAGGATCCATCCGACGTTCTTCTCACGCATGGCTACTTCCAAGTCCATACGATCGTCGTCTTTCGCTCGTGCCAAACGTGTACACCAGTAAATTACATCGCGGTTCTTGGTCAGCGTCTGTACAATATCAAAGTGATCGTAGTCAAACAGCTCCATCAAGCTGTTTTCGCAATCGCGCATATCCGACGCACTACCGAGAATCTCCAGCGCAGCATCCGCCTTCTCACTGGCCTCCATGGCATCAGGGTATGGCGTGCTCAAGAGACGCTGCAGCCAGTAGGCGTCCACATCGTGGACAGAGAGGGCATTGGCATCCGTCTCTGTTTCGTCACCAAGCACGAGATCGTCTTCGCCAGGCACATTTTCATCGTCCTGCTCCTCCTTGGGCTCTGCATTGTCGTCCTCCTCGTCATCATCCTCTGACTCTTCACGCACGACATACGTCTCTTCGTCTGGATTGCTTTCTTCCTCTTCATTGTCAAAGAGCACAGCCACACCAGCCTCACCGTCAACATTGGCAGCATCAGGCGCCGTTGCTGTTTCTTCCTCATAGTCAGTGAGACGCTTGCTAAGGTTCACATATTGGCTGAAGGTCTCTTCCGGTAGAGGGCCCAGGAAGCTTTCCATCTCTCGCTTCTTATCGAGGTCACGCATATTTTCGTCCTTCAGGACCTCAAGCGCAGTATCTGTCGCAGACCGAACAACTTCGCTTGTCTGATCACCCAGCGCGGACTGCACCATGCTGAGAATGAGCTCATATACATTACGTGTCTCGTCCGTGCGCGGCAAGTAGCGCAAACCGTCTAACTCTGCACTGGCTTGCAGCACATTTGCGTACTGGCCGGCCCCTGCACCATGCGCACGCTTCTTGGATACGACCAACTCGTCATTTTCAGCCGCCTTGCGCTTCTTTTTCTCGACGTCTGTGACTTGCGTCCGGGCTACACGCGAGCCCATGGCCTTGGGGTCAATACGACCCACAAGCGATTCCGCCTCGCCTGTAGGCTCATTCTCACCCTGCCTACGACCAGCGCTAAGGACCAACGATGACAGGGCCGAGTACTGGTACCCTGACAGGTCGCGCTGGCTCTTGGGCGGCATGTCGTCGTCGACCGTCTGTCGAGGCCCAGACGTGGTCGTCACCCCTCCTTTGCGTTCCTATCACGTGATGCAAAGTGGCAAAATGCGAATTTTTAATCGTCGCGCTGCAGACGACCGGAAGGAGGCGCGAACCCCATCGCCGTCGCTCCCTCTTCACGCGAGTCGTGTGTGTCATGAAGCTTGTGGCGTGTCCCATCGTAGCCTAACGTGTGTGAGAAGTGATCTTTGCACAGATTGGACAGGAGGACAGCGTTGATCTAGCTTTTCTGCCTTGGTTTTTACACCAGATCCGACCACCCTTACGACAAGAGACTCGTACGCGCCCGTTCTAACTCCCACCCTTGGCCCTCGCGGCGTAGGGCGGATTGCACAATGATATCAATTACAGAGCCTATGGAAAAGGCTACCAATATACCCAGTGTGCCAGCAGCTGCACCTACGCTTGCTTACCATGCCGACGCCAAAGCCAAGCCCCCTGCCTTGGGGCCGGTTATGGGCTCGTTTGCGCGGCCCGACGAGGTAAGCCACACGGCGGCACAGCCTTATGCAGCCGAGGAACCGCCTCCTGCAGAAGACGCGACCGATTCAGGCGATAATGACCAAGGCACCGATGAAGAAGCAGGTATTATTCGTTGCATTTGCCAATGCGATGATGACGATGGATTTACCATTCAGTGTGATCGCTGCTTGGTCTGGCAGCACTGTGCTTGTTTCGGCATGTCTCATGCTAGTGTACCTGACGAGTACTTGTGTGAACAGTGTGATCCACGGCCTGTCAACGTAGAATATGCTCGCGCTGTCCAACGCCGGCGGCTCCAGGAAGAGGCGCGGAAAGCTTCCAAAGTGCGTGATGCTACAGCGGCGGTGACGTTCTTTGAGTCAGCCGCGCAAGCGGCATGGAATACGGCCGTGCATGGCGAGAGTCCTCCCACGTCGCTGGGCCGGCGGCGTGCTACAGACGGACGTACATCGCCTGTGCGTGCCTCGGAGTCTGACAAGGGTGACGACGCCGAGCCAGCTTCGTCTGGCCGCGCCAAAACCAAAGCCAAGCGTGGCCGCTCTGCCTCGCGGAAGACTGGCAGTATTTCCATTCCCGCGCATTTGCGTGGCAGTGATGACGAAGACTACGACAAGCTGGAATCATGGCAAATTGAGTTTTCGCCCATCACGGCCAACATCATTCGTGACAATACTACAAAGCAGCGACTGGCCGACTATACGCAGCAATGGCACAAACGTACGCCGTTGCAGGCAGACGTCGACGAGCAGGGATGGATGATCGCGCCATTACGGTATGTCCAGGATGTGCATGGCGAGTTGTCCAACCCTGTGGCCGGTGATCCTAGGTATACCAAGTACGGCTTGGCCCCGATTGGCCATGAGTGTATCCCGATTTCGATGCGCTGTGCTTCGCTGTGCGACTATGCCGCTCGCGTTTATGTTCGTTCGATTTCCGACCAGGTGACCAACAACTTCTTCAACAATATCATGCACAAACCCACGGATGCGTCGCAGCCGCAAAAAATCTGGTCGGCGTCCAAGACGTTTTGCCGTCCAGCCATGTTTGGGCTGTTTGCGCAAGCGGCCATTCCGCCCGGTGCGTTTATTTCAGAATACTGTGGTGAAGTTTACGATGCGCATTCGTACCGCATGAATCCCATCAATCAGTACCGCCAGATGGGCACGTGCAAGCCGCATGTCCGCATGTTTCCCACGCCCCTCCATGTCGTGGTGGATGCACGGACGTATGGCAATATTGCTCGGTTTGTGCGAGCGAGTTGCCATCCCAATGCGGTGGTCCGTCCCATTTTGCAGTACACGGAGCGCGAGGAGCCACGGTGGGTGCTTGGCCTCTTTGCGATTGCTCCCATTCCCAAGTCGCATGAGATTACTGTCGGATGGGATTGGGATGATCAACATATTGTCCATGTGCTACCGGGCCTGGTCAAGCGGCCGTGGGCGTTTGACGATACGCCGCGTTTCCGGTCCGCCACGGAGGCCAAGCGCCAGCGGGCGTTGGAATTGGAAGCGTTCACGCAGCGTGGCGATTTTCCGTATGCGAACACCATCCTTGCGACGAAGCTGCATGTCGTGATGGCCTTGCTACTCAGCTATGCCACGTGCGGGTGTCTGGGCCCGTCGTTGGGCGGCTCGAGCACCAATGCCTTCTTAATGCGACGGCAAAACTGTGCAGTGACACAGATGTTGCGTGTGAGCCAGGGCATGCCGTTGTTGTACACGACGCACATTATGAAAAGCTCTACCAAAGCGAAGCCCATTACCTTGACGCCGCTTGTAGGTGTGTTCCGTTATTGGACCGACGAGACGCCGATGACCAGCGAAGATCACTTGCGTGCGAAGCTGGCGCAGAATGGATGCTATGTGCAGCGTGTGATGCAGACAGGCGACGAGCCGCCATGCCGTAATGAAGCGGACGAGCCGATAGACGCCGAGGACCCATGGGACGCTGGCTACGCCTCTTCCGCGACCGAATTTATGGAAGATGGCATGGCGTACGCCAGTGACGAGGAGGACCCGATTGTGACGAAAGCTATGGATGTCATCAAGCAGGAGCAGGAGACATCGCTATCGCCACCATGGGGCGCTACCCCACGGCCTGCCGCCAAGAAGAACGATCGTCGACGTGCTCGGCCGGCTGTAGCGGCGCCTGCGCTAGTCGCCGAGGCCCCGAAAGCGCGGACCAAGCGAGCAGCGCGCCCAAGTACGGTGCCGACTCGCACAGAGAGCGCAGCGAAGCGTCAGAAAGTACGTGCGCTCTTTGATGTGGGCGATGCGAGCTCGCCTGTGACGTCGGACGAGGAGCGTGAGCGAGAGCGATCACCCTCGCGGCATGTGCGGACCAAGTCGACGACGCCAGAGGAGAAAAGCACATCGACTCGGGCAAGTCGTCACGTCTCGCCGACCTCGTCTCGGTCCGCAGCGACGCCGCCTGTGGCCTCGCCCACGGTGGTGCCGACGTCCAAGGATGCGGTGCCGATGCGCACACCTACGCCGCCCGTGGCCAAGACGTTGCTGCCTGTGTCCTCGACGCCTGTCGTGGAGGCGGCGACGGTGCCTGCCGTGGAGCCTACATCGGCCTCGGCGACGCCTGTGCCTGAGCCCGTGCCTGAGCCAGCCCCGCCGCCGAAGCGGTTGTCGCTGGCCGAGTACAAGAAACGGCTCGCGAGTCGTCGACAATCGGAAGCGACAAACGATGCGCCAAGTTCCACGACACCCACCGGCACCTCGACACCGTCGAACGACTCGCCTGTGCCTGTGCCTACGACGCCGAGCCTAACGACGTTCCCCAGCACAGGCAACACGGCAACGACCCCGCCTTCGGTGCCGCTCTCGGATCGTGACGCCGTTCGATCGGTGATCATACCCCAATCACCCTCGCCTCCTCACGTGCCATCTCCCCGCGCCATCGCACCCACCTGGGAGTCACGGGCAGCGACGCTGACGACGA